GCCACTTATTTCAATATCCATATTTAGTCTGTATTAACACTTTACCAACCGGCGAATTTGGAAGTAAATGGCGATCACGGGTATCGTAAAACCGATTAATAGGCTTCCGGTCGGTAAAGTGTTAAATTTGAATTTCATTATCAAGAGAAGGAAAATAATTTTTTCCAATTGTAAGAAATTATTCGATTTGAGGGAACAGTGAAATGTCAAAGAAATGTTTAGGTGAATTTCACGTCAGGAAATAATTCGGAAGATAGCTGGCCTTGAATTACTTCAAACGCTCATGCCGGCTGTGAAATGAACCCTTGACGAAATCTCCGCAATTTTCCCGCCGCGAGATGGGAATTCTTGAGGCTGAGTGTACCTCCATTCATTTTTAATGTATTCAAGCCGAAGGACCGTTTCTTAAAATTCATAGCTTCTAATGAAAATATTGTAGAACCTCGAGTGAGGGCTCATTTAAATCCCTGAAGAACGCACTTTAAAATGTATGAACACCTGTGCCTCTAAAAGAGATTTGCACCTGCAAAGCTACCGCGCCCTAAAGTCCAATTTCGGAGATACTCCTACTCGGCGTTTTCATCAACACTAAATTTCCACACCTCTGACACGTATGACGTTACTTCAGCCCGGCATATTTATTCATAAATATTATTTCATATACGAGCATCAAACGATGCGACGAAATTCGCAAAGACCAAAAACACGGCAAAGATTCAACGGGTGAGAAAATGAAAATCCAGCTCAGCCGGTCCAATCAATCCGTTCTTGGTTATTTTTTCAGTGTCTTCTAATAAGAAGAAAAATTGAAAAATCAAAGCATAACGTTACTTCAAAGAGACGAGGTCGTTTTCTCGGACGTCCTGCGACCAGACCTTGGCCGTCCAGTCGCCAACTGTCAGGAAGTTGCTCAAGCAAACTGGATGTCGATCAATGGCCACGACAGGGCCAGGATGGCATTTAAATCTGTATCCCAATTTCTCCAGGGCATTTTTGGCCCCCCTGGTCCCCCTGACGACGACTCCATTTTCCATGCCAGCCAGGAATCGGTTGCCCTTGGTGGGCTCGTAGTGCAGGGAGGAGACGCCGATCGCTCCTGTCGTACTCTGTCTCAAAGGATCCTCCAAATCCATCACCAAGGTCTCGGTTGGCGCCCGCAATTTCCGAATGTCCCACCATTTCATTAATCCGTCCGTCGAGGCGGAGAAGAACTCCGAGTTGGTCTTGGAATTGATCCAGAGCGCCAAGTTTGCCGGGCTCCTTGAAGAGGTTCATGGCCGGGATGGATTTTTCAACTTTGCTAACTCAATCGCGGCACAAACTTTCGGCCCGATTCCCGATTCAATGGGTGTTATATACATACATACGAACCGATCGCACCTACCTGTGACTGAATTTCAGATGGGACACATCGATCGGCGCTTGTCCCGAACGAATATCCCAGCTGCAAACTTGCCCCGACATCAAACCGCTGATCAGCATCCACGGGTTCCGAGAGTTGTACTCTATTGTTACACTCGGGCAAAATGCCTCCAGACTCATGAATGGCCTGCCCAGGTGTCCTGCTAACGTAATATCGCTATCTATTTTTTTCTAATGTTATCTGGTAAAATTCGATCCGATACCTAGATCCCATATGTAGGAAGGACTTGCATCCGATAAAACCTTTTGAAATTCCGTGCAACAATATGCAACTGCCAATTGCTTCCCCTCGTCAGGTGACCAGGATAGACTCGAGACCGGCCTTACCTGCGATTGCGGATCTGCGTATACCTTCGTGGTCCTACAGATTAAAAAAATTTTTTTAAATCTTTTTCACGTGGACATTTTATTGTTAATCATATTACCTGACATCCAGAGGCGAGACCAACTCGGTTGGAATCATGTCGTCGAAAAAGTGCCGATAAATGTCGCTCGTGCCGTTTTGGAGCACGTACTTTTCCATAGTCTGCGACACAATACACGCATTATCGATGAATCCGGCATTGATTTTGAACAACTAGGAATTATCGGCTCGGCGTATATGAAAGCCGCCTGATTTAGAGTTTGACGAAGTTGGAACGAAAAATAAACAGCTCAAGGTTGTTTTGCCAGCTGTACGGCATGGAAAAGGAGGGCTTCTAAATTTGGAATCTTTCTTATTGTTAACCGGTCGTTCGATTGTGTGTTCTTCTATTTTAATGAGATGTTTAGAATTATTTATATAAACAAGATATTTCCGCGAAAGCTTCACGAGATAAGTAGGACGCCGTCAATGCGTTCGAAAAAGAAAAAGTAGAAAACTACTTTCGTGAGTTCTCTCATCTTCGGAGCCCAGTAATTGCTTCTTTCGACTCGCTTCCGGTATCTGGCAGCGATTTCCGGATCGTTCGCGTTGATCTCTCTTGGCCAGCCACCTTCTGTGTGCAACACTCCGGTTTCCACCAATTTTTTCCCTTCGGTTTGTACCTGTTTACGAGAGTAATCGATAACTAGACCACTGGAGATTAAGAATCTAAGAATACTCCTGAAAGTATGAAAAAATTGCAGGGGTTTTTTGCAGTTAGAGCTCGAGGGTTTATTAACTTTACTGATTTCACTGGCAGTGGTTACAGCATTTTCTCGGTTTAATGCTAACCTCGTGTAAAGCCAGCTGGGAGTGCACTTGGATCCCAGCATCAAGAACACTTTTGTATGTAAAATTCTTCCTAAGCTCATTTTGAGGTTGCAGATTTTCCTCGATAAAGGGTCCAACGTTATTGAATATACACTGTTTTCCAAAATCCGATCTGGTCTTCACGTAAACATACTGCACCTCCATCGTCGTAATATTGTAAATAAATGGAAAATATAACATCCAGAAAATTGTATAATTCGACTAAAAGTAATGTAAAATATCTTCAAACTATAAAAAGGGAAACTGACAGAGTAGAAATCATGTCTGGCAGTTTGACGTTTACAAGATTTAATTAATCTTGCCTTTTCAATGGACATAATCGAACTGACATCCGAATGCAGTCATATTCACATGAAACAATTTGTCTCACTACTCTCGGCTATGACTGGCGTTAACATGTCAAAATTAAAAAAAAATGTATACATTTCTCAAATATTTGTTTCCTCAGTTATGTAGAAAAAAGAACTACAAACGTCACTACGTAATCAAGATATAAAACAGATGTATCTAATGGAGTGCGAAATTTGCAAACTGTATAAATAAGAAGGATTCAATTTCAAATTTTCAAAAAGGCTATAAATTCCGTCAAAATCATGTTCCGAAGTCGCATCTGCGAGTACCTCCAAAAGGTGACAATTACCCTTTCTCACATTTTTTCTAATTCCTATTTAAAAAATCTCCTCTCTTCGATTTATCATCACGTTTTTTATCCAGGCAACGTCTCTTCTATGGTCCACCCTGAAAACCCTAAAAACTGACTCAATATCCCCACCGGACAAGGCCATTACTTCAACTTGCATCCCAAAGCACTGCCATCTATCACTCAAAAATCCTTATCCAGTTGGTCCCCGAAAGCCCAGCATAACCCTCGACAAGAAACGACTGCTTGTCATAAATCAGCAGCAAATTTACATCCTAACGAATTACCCGCAAATCACGGCGGATGGCAGAAGAGCCTTCTCTTCGACAGGAAGAAAGTCTCCCCTGGAGGAAATAAAATCCTGTACCAAGATCAAGCCCACTTCGAGAAATGATTCATGCGCCAAAAAACTCGTCGCATCGGAGACCAGCTGCCCTGCAGTTTTTCCACCCTTCCCCAGACCCTACCATCCCCCAGAAGTAATCGAAATACCCCACGAACCGGATCATCCACCACCCATGCACAAAAAGAGCAAGCCATTTCCAGACTCTCCATCCAAAATGCTCATCTCTCCTCCGTGTCCCCCAAAACCCATGGTCTACTCTCCTGCAAGTGCGACCACTTGTCCGGAGTTCGGTCCATCGGCAACGATCCTTGCTCCCAGAAAGTCCATGAATGTCATCCAGGAATCCGAGTCCTGTCTGGGCCCCCAGCCGATCAGCTCCAAGCCTTACACGACGAAGATGCAGGAGTGCGCAGCGCCTCGCCTTCGAGAACGCCGTCAGGATCTAGTCTGCTGCGTGGATTTCCCCAGGATGAAGGTGCAGGAAGTTAGGTCGTGTAAACGTCAATGCGTTATCAGCTTTGATGAGAAATGCAAGTCTGGAATACGTTTGCCTCGAGAGTTGACTCCTGCGGAGTCGGCCAAAAGGGGTCCGCTCGTCAAGGCGGTGGGAAGTTGCTGCTTGAAGAGGTTCCCCGACGTCTTCAGCATCGAGGATCTGAGCGACTGCAGACCCAATGTCTCCTCCCTGAAATACCGCGTCTCGAGGTGTCCCACCCTAGGGAGGATGTGGTGCACTCGCAAGGAGGTGCCCGCTGTGGCTCCGGATCCTCTTCCCAGGAAGATCTATCATCCCATGGTGAAGAAATCCCGCAGGAAGATCGAGAGATTCAACTCCGACGGAGCCTGGATGAGGCAGAAACTCTGCCTCAGACGACGCGTCTACAGGTGTCCTCCTAGGACCCCCAAGAAGCAGACCTCCAGGGATCCCTGTCCTCCGGTTCTCCAGGAAGTTCGATGCGACCACTGCTCGCCTCAGCCTGCTGCGACCTTGCTGACCGACGTTTGCAAAACCGATCTTCCGTCAATGGATCGGAGGGAACTACCTAAAAGAATGCCGAAGAGACCGCCCTCCAAGTGTTGCATTTCACCTACAGATGACTGCAGACTCGTCAAGCTGAAGAACTACCAGATGAAAATGGACGAAAGTAGACATGTCAAGGAAGAGGATGAATCCAGGCCCTGGCGTCGTTCGCGTTGATTGTTATCTAGTGAATTTCTCGTGTATCGGTATCTAATAAACGCCATTAGACCCTGCCTTGACGTTTTAATCCTTACTTGATATTTGTCTCCTTGCTGAACTGAAGCTATTTGAAGGTCTCGTGAGAACCTTTTATCGACGCCGGAATTTCTGTCCACAGATAATAGACGACTGGTACCACCTGGAACATCGATCCGTGGTGAAGAGATCGACGGAACCGCATTATGAGGTGCACAATCGACTCATCAAGGACTCCAGAGTCAGACGGGCAGAACAACAGCGAGCCAAATCGCGGACCAAAAGAGACTTGATAGTCAGACGTCCACCCAATACGCAGATCCTTCTGAACGACGATCGATGGCCTCAGATGTGGTACTTGGTGAGTAGACTCCGTTATCAAGAAATGCTAGGAATAATATATCAAAACGAAAGACTAACCTCCACTCAAAATATTTGTTCACTGCATTGGAGGGATCGGTTTATGTTTCAGAATCGAGGAAACGGGCTGGACATGAACGTGCAGGGTGCATGGTCGGAAGGAGTGACCGGAAGTGGCGTCGTGGTCACCATCCTCGACGACGGTTTGGAGAAGGATCATCCGGACCTCTACAGAAATTACGTGAGTGCTTTAAAAAAAACCTCCCCATAATTCTTCCTCGGTAAGTGAAAAGTGCCCCTTCATGCATGAACCCCGGTAACGCAGATGCTCATCCAGTCCATCCATTTTATCGGTCTCGTCGAGATGCCATCTAGTCAGAAGCTGGCAGGATAATGGCAGAGCATTGTTCTCTTCCAGGATCCACAAGCCAGCTACGACGTCAATAGTCATGACGAAGATCCCATGCCGAGGTACGACGTAGTAGACAGTAATCGACACGGCACCCGATGTGCAGGTGAAGTGGCAGCCACTGCAAACAATTCCATCTGCGCTGTCGGCGTTGCCTTTGGCGCCGGAGTTGGAGGCAAGTCTGCATAAAATGAATACGTAACGAGCTGGGAATGAAATCTCTCCATGAGGAGATTTTTCCTTACAACTTTCCTCTTTCCTCACAGGGGTGCGGATGCTGGACGGAGACGTCACCGACGCAGTCGAGGCGAGATCTCTGAGTCTGAATCCTCAGCACATCGACATCTACAGCGCTTCTTGGGGCCCTGACGATGATGGAAAAACCGTCGACGGACCTGGTGAACTGGCCACCAGAGCCTTTGTCGAAGGAATCACGAAGGCAAGTCGAAGATCTCGAAGATCGGCCAGAAATTAGACGCCTGGGGAGAATTTCTCGAGTAAACCCAAGGAACAGGATGAGATCACAAGGCGGCGGGGTCAATATCATTAATATCGGCACTGGTCTTTTATTTACCCGATACAAAGGAGTTCGGAGAATTCTGTTTCGAGACAATGCTCAGGTTCCCACTGGAGTACAGGTCGGTGCAGTTATCCCTTGAAAAGGGACGAAAGTTACAATCGTATCGCACTCGGTAACGTCTCGAGACATTCAATCTGGGCCTTACAAAGGGACATTGTTAGACGACGCATTCATGCCAAGTACGGGGAAATGTCTTCGGGGCTCCGTGCGCCTAACAGAACGTACTAATCGGGGAGGGATCGATAAGTCTTCGGGCATTTAATCGAATCGAAGACTAGGTGCAACAATAATTGAATTGCTCGTAAATGAAACGACCGACAGGGAGTCGGTTCTCCGAGAGGGAAAGAAATGGATGTCCACTCTTGCTCCGAGTTACGGCCAAGATTCGTTTTAATGCGCCATATTACCTCCATTCCGGTAGCGATTCGATATATCGGTCGACGAACCAGGAAAGTGGTGCAATACCAATCTAATACCGGTCGCGATAAATCCCGCTGGAGCGGCCTGACTAACTCGGAACAAGCTCAACGGCTCTGCAGTAATCTCGGAACGATGATCCCTCCGGAGTTAAGGAACTCGTCCGTAAGAAATAATTTCATTAACGGCAACGACAAGGTCGGGGTTGTAGAAGGTGCCACCGAATCTGCCGAACCGGCGCACTAATAGATTCCGCGGTCTATCTGGAGATGAAAGTTTCTAATTGGCGCTTTTAAGCGTTTCTCAACGTCTCGACGGTGCACGTCTGCATACATTAGCATATTAAACTTACTCCGGGCCAACTTCGTGACTCACCGGTCTTGTAAGTCATATGCAAATGTAAGCTCTGCCGAAGCCTTTCCGGAAGAATCAAACCACGCTCGGGAGATCCTAACTTCGTAATTCCCGAAACAGGTACAACCTGTAACCGAGATGAGCTTGGATACGCATACGCCGATGCCTCTTCGGGTTCCTGGTCGATCTCATTGGTTTTCCCTCGTTGTTTCTCGATTCGACGAACTTTTTAAGTGCGTTTTGATTCCCTAGGGCCGCAATGGGAAGGGGTCCATTTTTGTCTGGGCTTCGGGGAACGGCGGCAAGGACTACGACAACTGCAACTGCGACGGCTACACCAACAGCATCTGGACCCTCTCCATCAGCAGCGCCACGGAGAACGGCTTGGTGCCCTGGTACAGCGAAGCTTGTTCGTCCACTTTGGCCACCACGTACAGTTCGGGATCGACGGGGGAAAAACAGGTCGTAACGACGGATCTGCATCACCACTGCACCAGCAGCCACACAGGAACTTCTGCATCTGCACCCCTGGCAGCCGGAATATGCGCCCTCGCCCTGGAAGCAAACAGGGATCTAACTTGGAGGGACATGCAGCACATCGTTGTTAGAACTGCCAAGCCTGCCAACTTAAAGGCCCCTGACTGGGTCGTCAACGGAGTTGGTCGAAACGGTTAGTGAAATTAGAGATCACTTGTCCATTTTCCAAAAGAGGCAAACCTAAATTCGATGATAAAGGCCGGAAAAACGTAGGCTCCGAAAAGGACATGGTCATATCTACGTCTTTGATTTTTGTTGCCGAAAATCATTGATCTTGCAATGGAATTTTAATGACATCGTAATTGAGGTTTGTACGTTTCACCGGGAAAAGGAGTTGAATTAAATTTTTCCTATTTCTGGGACTTCGCCGAGACGGGAGGGATATCGATTATCGGAGGGTACTCCCAGAACGGGTCTGATAGATTTCAAAGTTAAACTTGCGGGTCATAATGGGATGACTTTTATCACGTTTTTCTCTGACATGTTGCAGTGAGCCATAGCTTCGGTTACGGTCTGATGGATGCAACTGCAATGGTTCGACTTGCTAGGAAATGGAGAACAGTGCCGGAGCAGCGGAAGTGCGAAGTTTCTGCCCCTCACACCGGCAGGTCGCGAATCTTATCAAAACTCGTGATAACGCTCTACTTTCGATCCTATATTTTTTTTTGTCTCGGTGTTCCGCCGCTTTCTTTTCGAGGACGTCTTCGGACGAGCGTCCATCGATCGCCTCGTGAATTTGCATGGATTTGAGATTCCAGTGTTCCGCTGTGCGATCTCTTTTGTGTGTTTCTATTGCATTCATTTGCGCCACTTGGCGCTTAAAAGAAAAGGAATTTTAATAGAGCGACCACCCTGGAATACCGTGACATGAAAGCGGGTCCTGATTTAAACAATTTTACGCAACGACGCACCAACGCGAAACCAAGTTTTACCGTCAGCTGTTTTTCAGGCAAATTCCTGCGAAGAGTCAATTGGTGCTCGAGCTGCACGTGAAGGAATGCAGCGGTGTCAATTTCCTGGAGCACGTACAAGTGAGTGTCTTCTTCCTCAATTCGGGAAATGGAAGGGAAATTAAAAATAGTTCGCCCGACTATCTCCACGAAAGAATCGGGGACCATTTCTGTACCCTGTACAGAAACAAGGAGCGATGCGACGAAAATTTTCGAAGCCCCCTTCCACAAGTCTCCTGCCCTTTGGTTTGATCGCATCCAACATTAAAAATCCACAAGTCCAATATTAAAAATCCACAATGAATGTGCATTCTCAAGTCCAAGTGTTGCAATGCAGCCGCAAGTTGCAGGTGCATAGTCATCGAACGGGTGAAAGTAATGCCACCGGTGACGTCGGAAATTCTAAGTTGACCTTTTCTTCCCATCACAGGCGAAGGTGTCTTTAATGGCCACAAGAAGAGGGGACCTTCAGATACATTTAACATCTCCCCGGGGAACGAAGAGCACTCTCTTGGCAAAGAGGCAACACGACATCTCAAAAGCCGGCTTTAACCAATGGCCGTTCATGTCGGTCCACACGTGGGGCGAAAGGCCCCATGGTACGTGGAAATTGGAAATCCACAACGAGGGCCGTTACCTTGGTAAGTTTCTATCCCGTTCCTAAGGAACACGAATTACTCGCAGCTTTTATCAGCCACGGCTCCGAAATCGATTTCAGTAACGTAATCGATTACGTCCGAGCGGTGCTCCGAACTACTAGAATCCACCTATTGATGGCGAATGATCGAGTTGTTTTAAACTAAAAGAAAATTTTAGGGCCAATATTTCCCTCCCCCCCCCCCCTCAGAAATGTTATAAGGGAATTATAATTCAACGTTAAATAAAATTGTTTTAACTTGTTGCTTGAAAGCTGACCGCCGAAGCTGGGAACACACCTCTCGTATTTCATCGTACCGGATAACTTTTGCGATTGCGTGCGATGTCGCACGTGCCATAGTTGCCAGTAATTCCATCAATTGTTCAAAAGTACCCTAACGCGTTCATAGGAAACTAGATTAGGACAGAGTTCAACTGCCTCGTATATGATTTCGACACCGGACAACTTCGCCGTTGTCAAGTAGAACCGAACGCTTCCCTGACGTTGAACAAAAAGGTGATAGCTGCATTTATTATCTGGAATTAGATGCAGGATGAATATCGTAGAATCGATTCATTCGCGATCTCGTGTCGATCATTCGCCATCGTAATCGTTGCGGTGCTACGGGCTGACTTGGCTGACCAGAATAACCAGCACACCCACTAACCATCCATACTGGCAGCTTTTCGAGCCGACTCGGACCCAAGGCTGCCGACACCGTTTCTAGAGCATACGTCATCGGGAATTGACCCTTTGCAATATGCGTAGCTCGCTCGATAGCGAAAATCTAAATTCGGACATTCGAGCGGTCTAAATCCGTCGAGTAGCAATAATCGAACGCGTTTGCTAGACGTCTGGCCGAGAACGCAGTGCGGCGCAAACCGCGCCGATAATAGCGAAGCTTTTTTCATGCTTCAACCGGCCATGAAGTACTTTTCCAGATTACTCAATGGCGCATTCAAGTGACTCAATGACATTGTTTTTCGCCTCGGTGGCATTAACGTTACGACCCCGAACGATAACGGATCGGCGAGACTTTTAAGGTATCCATGACGAGGCGTATCATAATTTCGTCTGATCACAGATAGCTTTTAGTTAATAAGATTCGAGAAAAATCAACTGTCACAGGTGACTATACCGTGGGAGATTTTTTATAGAAGTTTCATTTGACTAATGGCAAGAACGCCGGATATTTTTGAGTCGTGAAATTCCGGGAAATTCGGGAATATACGCTCTCAGAGTTCATTGCAACGTATGTCGCGTTCATGTCACGAGAGAAAAGTGGTCGGAGTAGGTTCCAACCTCTGGCGTTGGTCGTTTCACCGTTCTCCGGAACGGGTCGATCTTTGACCTCGGTTAGAGTAGCCTACGGGAAATAGGAAGTTAGCCGTGAGCCCGGATTTTGTTGAACGTTGTTCCCTCGATGATGGAGGAAGTAGAATGCAGATTGTAACCTGCGGACGGTGTTGTGCGATTTTTCGGTCGATCCTATCGACCGGTAGGTCGCGCCACCCTGCACGAGTGGGCGCTGATCTTCTACGGGACATCGACGATGCCCGATCGAACGGAGTACTCCGAGTATGGACCATCGGCGATAAACGCCCAGCGAAGGCCGTTCATGAGATCGAGAGAGACGAACTTCTCGAAGAACCACAACCCCCTGATGGCGGGACCCTACAAGAGCAAGCAGATCCAGCAGAAGCTGGTCAAGTCGGGGCCCGGGGTGGGACAACCCTACGTCATCAACGCCCAAACGCCTAACCAGAAGAAGGGCAAGTTCAGAGGTCAGCACAAAAATGGAAAATCGGCCAACAGACCCACTGCAAAGCCCACGATCCAGACCTTGAGGGGATACACGGGACTCCGTGGACCCAACGTTCCCGACGTCAGATTGGTCACCAGCAGGCCGAGAGGCAGGAGCACCCCTAGGCCGGAAACCACCACCTCGGTTTTGCCCACCACGAGGCGACCCACGGAACCTACCGTCACCAGAGAGAGGACCATTCTACCAGTGACTATGCCGGCCATCCAGAGGGGCATCATCCTGATGGAACCACCCGCCAAGGCGGCGACCAACAAGGTTCCAGCTATTTTCAAGCAGTACCCCAAGATCCAAGAGCTTTATCCCATGTATCCCGTCTATGCTGGGGCTAGAGGAGCTGGACAGCAGCACGCTACCAGGGCCAAGGGCCATGACTTGCTGCAGGACGAGCAGTTCGAACCCAAGAACCTGCAGCTGGACAAGGGTACCGTCAATGCATACGGGGCACTTGCGATGCTAGGGATGTTTTCTGTAGATGGGCTGCGACCCCTGGACCGGTGACGAAGAGAAGTGCGAATTTCGTAAGGACGAGGCGTTGCTTAAAATTGGTTTCGATTAGAAGTTATACTCGAAGGTTTGGGGTCGAAAATGAGGCGCTCTCCGCCAGACAAACAACGGAGCTTCGTGTTCTTCTCTGTTAAAGGGCGCTACTCTCGCTCGTGCTCATTGGCCTGCAGTGGCTTTGATCTCGACACGGGCCAATAACCATGAACGAGTACAGAGCCATTCAAAGACCGACACCCAGAGCTTCCAAAATAGTTGTTACAATTTTCCTCGTATTTAACCGAACGGACTGACTGAGACACCCCTTTCTGGAAAAGGCGGATTTTTTAATTACTGGAGTCCGATCCCGAACTCGGATCGACGCTGAAATTGTTGATAAGAGGTGAAAAGTTACTCCTCAGGAATTGTTAACGCTTAGCCAGCCAGGTTTGTCCGGTAATTGAACAACTGAATTAATAATCCGCACTTCTCTTGCCGTCATAACGCCGCCGTATTGCCGCTTTTAACATTTCGAGCGAAGAGCTCGTAAGTCGCGATTATTGCGGATTTTTTTTACATCGCCGGAGCTTGATGACGATTTTTCTCGGTATATAAAAAAATGTCAGTCGTGCAAAGTGCAAGAGTAATTGATCGGTCAGTAAACGAGAATCCATCCTCATCAAGCGGAGGTGTCGGCGAGTTCAAAGCTGCATCTGCATAGTAACGTAGAAATGCACTGTCACCTCACACGAAACTGCAGTTTTATAAGTTTAATCACATCGTTGGCACTGTTTATTGTTAGTTAGCCGTTTTCCTCCGCTTAATGTCCGTTGCATTTTTTTTTCTTATCGCTATCTCTACAATATCTGTTAAACTTTACTCTGCCGTACGTCTTTGGTGTTGTAGTTCTTTACCAGTAAATTTCAGGGATAGAAATTCTGCCTCGAAGATCGCCCAATTTTTCGTTGCCTTTCGGTACTTTTTCTCACTTCTTGAGAATTCTTCGTAGACTCGGTGTTGATTTAAATGGACAGTCTTCGAAGCAGGCCGACGGAAAGTACGGTCAATCAAGGGCATACTGTTGGTATTGACGACCGTGTTTACGATTTTAGCAACTCGCTCATAAACCGTGGACATTTCCCTCGACTTCCTGCCGTCCTTCATATATTCAACGCACGTTCCAAACACGAATCTGCAGAGTGCAGAAGACGCGAATAACCTCATCAGTTCCTTACATCGCGTCAAATTCAGTTTCCACCTCGTCGACGAATTTCCATGGTCATTCTCCGTTCGTCAGTCTGCAATTAACGTATCTAATACTTCATTACCACAGTAGCGATTTAAAGCTTGGACAAAATTGACCGAATCTGCTTCGGACTCGTCCAAGAGCTCCGTAAATATCCCGAATACACCGGATCGATCATTCGTGCATTCTAAGTACAGCGATTTCAATCACGGTCCATGTCCCTCTTCCTCGGATGTCCCACTCCGGGAGACGTACGATACCCTGGGCCAATATTTTCTAACCACCCCGTGTGTCCATAATAAATGCGTTTTAATGCTCTTTTTATTACGAGCAGCGCCAACCGGAAATTTATGGTCTTAGCAAGAAAGAGGGTATACGGGGAATCACTTCCTTCTTCCTCCTCCCTCTTAGCCCGACTACCTTGCATCCGTCTCTCTCTTTATCTCCGTCCCTCCGCAAGCTTTAAGCGCTGGACGAAATTCCCCCGCCGGCGTCGTGACGCTTTATTAATTTTCCGACGCCGACGGCGCCGTCCCTACGACACGTCCTACAGTTCGTGTCGGGTAAATACAATGTAGTTTTGTTTCGTCGTCAAGCAGTTCTTCCACCAACCGTGTCAGGTGAAACGTCAAAGCGCGTCTCCAAAAATGCCCCGCGAACTCGTGTCGCGGGATACCAGGATCGCTGGATTTTTTTTATCGCGCTTTTCATTAAAAGTCGAATCGAAAAGGCCTCTTGAAAAATTTCAGGAGAGCCTTCCTTATCGAGATATTAAATGGCGAAGTTGATCCTGCATCGCGTAGTTGAAACCTGGAGATCGAATGACCTCTCTGATTGGTCATATTTTTTTCGCATTTTGAAAGGGAGAGTTTCGATTCGATTTTTTTTTAAGGGATCGGGGAACTTTGGCCTTTGTTGCTGGAGTATTGCGATCCCTTTGTACCTCGATTGGAAACGGCTTGGGTGATTTATGCCATTAGGTTGTTTTCACGGAAACCTGTACGGTGCGAACTGTACGGTTTTATGCAAATTCGCGGTTCATGTTTGGCTTATCGCGCTCGGATAATGCGGGCATACAGTGAGGAATACTTGCCGTGGAATGTACATTCCACTGCTTAATGTATGTACCATCGAGTACATTGCGTGATGCGGACGTGGACCTAAGGTACTGCTTCCTTACGTTCCGAAACTTTAACCGGAGAAGCAATATTCCTTCTGAGAAATCTGCGCGCAAAACGCGTGGCGATGGTCGGTTTTACGGTTAACCTCTAAATCGTAGCAATTACAAGAATTTACAAGTGGCAAGTCCCCCTTCATTTTCCGCATGTTTTTGCAAACTCGACCCCGCGATATTACGTTGATTCATTTTACGCTAAGCGGCGCGATCGTTAAGGAGAATTACCTTCGTTGGCACATTTTTCACTCTGTGTTTATATCCTTGATGTCATGTAGTTAATTGCACGCTTTCGCAGTTTTACCTTACGGATAATTATTTCGCAACGACTTCATTTGTTGTACCGTTTTTGGTTAGTTGCTAGGCATCGTGCGTAGCTCATTAAGTTCAATTTATCTTTGTTGGATCCCACGTCGAGCGTGTGCATTAAGTGTATTAACAATACTACTTTTAGCATGCTTGTATCAATTATATGTATAGATAGCAACGAATGTACGTACATGTTGTCCCTAGTGTGCAAGATTTACAGCCGTGTACTTTCTGTGATACTTTCGACATTCGTCTCTTCTCCACCGCGAAACGTTTAAATCGGTGCTCGGAATTAGAAATACATTCCATGTTTTTTTTTTTTTTTTTTAATTAATTTCAATATACGCATAAGGATAGAAATCTACCGTGCAGATTAGTACATTTCAAGTGTCGAGTTCGTGACGTTTCTCAGTGGAAAAAAAAATTATCATCGACCCTGTAATTCAGGCTGAAAATCTGGCTTAACGAACAGTCCGCGAGATCAGATGAATCCGAGAGAAATTTTCGCCGAGAACGTCTAACTTAATAAATTCGAATTTCTATCAATTAAGCTATGAGGCTCGATTGGAACGGCTTCCTCGAGTCTTCTTGATCAAGGTCATTTAAATTGTTATAATCGTCTGCATTGACAGAATTTATTCATACGAAACGATATTTCACGGTCGAGTCGGGTAAAGATTTTAGTTTCCCCGTAAAGCGAAACCTCCCAACGTTCGATACTGGGAAAGCCTCTAACAACAATCGGCAATTTGCAGATACGTTAGAGAAGTGGAAGATGGTGTTTTATGGGACGGAAACGTCTCTGGAGGAGGAGGAGGACGAGCTGGACAAGGATAAACCGGGTCCTGGAGTGGTCCAGCTGAAGAACATCCAGGACAACACGGACACGGAGGTCCGGCAGAACGTCGTCGACACCGAGGGCGATCCCTGGACCGGAAGTCAACAGATGGACCGAGTCTCCCATCCGGAAGTTCAGAAGCCGACCACGGAGAATCAGATAAGCGGGGCGTGCAACAGTTTCGATGGTGCCAAATGTTTAGGTGCGTGTCTAATTCTACTCCTTCTACTATCGCTGTCGAGAGCTGACGGTCTCGCCAGACTCGAGTCGAGCAGGACTCCCGAAGGTCCTGCTTCCGAAGGGAAGAAGGGCTCCCTGGCTGCGTCCCCATCTTCCCAGGTCCTTGACCTGGCCAGACTCGCAGGACCAAGTCAGGACGTAGTTCCTCGAACTCCGAGGAACTTGTGACGGAGAGAATGGTAATGGCGAGCTCTCTCGCGGCTTAGGATAGGAGTGACATAGAGACGCGAGGTCGAGTATGCGTGCCTCGTCCTACCTCCACGTCCGTTGCGAGGCTCCTCGTTCCTGGAAAGGCTCCGATAGCGGTCTCTGCATCTTCTGGCAAGACACCTGCAAAAACCTGCAATTAGGGCCGATGACGAATGCACCGGTGTACGTGATCCACTCGGCCTCTGCTATCCTTAGCGAGGACCCTCAGCGAAGAAGCAAGGCTACTGATGGTCCTTGTCAGGAAGCACGAGCACGTCCGCCATTGGACGCATCCTGGCTCGATCGAGTTTGCGAAACAAACTGCTGATCGGACGAGGGTGCCGAGCTCGAAGCCCATTGTAGATTCCTACCTTGGGAGGGAAACTCGCGTAGTGGGATTTGCGTGACTGGACGGTGAAGCATGGATACTTCGGTTTTCACCTGACGGAATACACGAAAAGAATGGGACGTCGCGGTTCTTCTTGTTCTGAAAGTATGACCCACTCTTGAAATCGGACAGTTCCATCATGACAATTTGGCCCAGTCAAGTCAAGGCCACCTTGCCCTAGCAGAGCTGGCACTTTCCTTTCCTAAATTACTAATGGTACTGACGGTTAAGTGCACTTTTGTATTAACGATAGAAGCGTCTCTAAGGTCCTAAGAAGTAATTAACACGCAGGTCGGCTTTTTTACAAGGACGACGAGCTCGAGGAGTGAGCGACGCGAAGCATACGTCATATTGCTGCATCTAGACGCATAATTTAATCGCACAGGGGGATTATGAATGAGAAAGTGCAACCTATGGTTTTCAGCACTGCCGAAACTAGAACATACATACGAAAAAAAAAATAATATGCAATTGATCAACGATCTTTGAAGTTCCGGACAAGCGACAGCTTCTCAAAGTTGTCGGGAATTTTGGAATGACGATCCGTCATTATTACGGAAGAAAGTAAATCACATCGCACTGCCTACCGCGGTTGTTTCTGTAATTGCTGTACAATTGTAGAGATATTTTGCGTGTTACGCGTTGTATTCGTCAGGTCATGCTCTCGTTTTGTACACTTCTACTGCCGGAGAACTCCAGCCTAAAGTATCGCGAATAAATTAATAAAATTGTTAAACGTGGATGAAATTCAGAGCGATCCGTAAATCTTTCGTTTACTTTCGATTTTAATTCGTGCGTCACCAATTTTCCGTATAGAAACATTATTCGACACGTCGAGTTGAATTTTGGAAGCTAATAGCAAAACCATCCGCTGAGTGCGCTTATGTCTTGAAGAATTAAATTTCCTGAAATTCGCAACTAAGTCACCTAGATAAAAATTGTCGAGGCGTCCCGAGTTTCAGCCACGCTTTTCTTGGAGCATTCATCATTGTCAATTTCTCGGAATTGACAGGTTTTCCATCTTGGTGAACAACGAACTAACGGATCGAGTTTCGCGTGTCGTCGATTTAGAAGTATCTCGTTCCATGTAGTAAGGAAGATCAATAGTTTTGCGAAGAACATAAAATTTCGTTTAAAAAATAATCAGCTCAACCGTTGTGTAGCTGACTTCAAGTTTCTTCCGATATCTAGTTTTCTCTCTATTTTATGGAAATCTGAACCGGTTGACAAATTAACATCGAGACGGCAGTATGCAACGATCGCTTACAAATGCCTAAAGTAAGGAACAATCGCAACACCATGCAGCGCCACGTTATAGAAGACGTAAAAAAAAGAACATAAAAATTTTCGCGTTTTTCGGAAACCTGGAAGAAGGTAATCTATACGAGAAAAAGGATCGCAAATTACCTCGGCGTGTTGTAAAGAAACGGGAACTAGGGCACTGTAGGATCTTGTGCCACGAAGTGTTCACATTCAGTGCCAAAGGGTTCGCACCTCGCACAGGGAGGACGTAATTTTATAAATAAACGCTGGGGACGAAGAAACACATCTAGGACCTACGAAAGCGCATTACGTCTTTGTCATAGTAACTGTTTCGTCAGGACGTGAAAAAGTGCAATTACCATAATAAGCAGACTTACATCGCATCGTGGGGAGTACGCGTGAAAAACGGTGCCATGAATTGTCGAAAAATTTCCTCATCAAATTAGTCGGGAGATTGTCAAAATCCGAAGTCATCTCTTTATATGCATTTTGATTTTCCAGATTTTATTTCAATTTTCGAGAGCTGCGGTAATAAGTCGCAATGCATGGCGAAATTGTTTACTCGCGTACCCCATGTGTACTATAGCGTTGCCAAACAAAAGTAATGGGAGATATGTTAAAACTTCGTTAAGCAGTCCGATGCAAGAAAAGGTCGAGGTAAATCGCACGTGCGTTTTTCAATAAAAACACGGACAAACACGAATCAGTATTACGTTTAGTACATCTAGATTGTAAACCGATGTACCTATCCATATATGTATATGTACCTTTATGCCCGTGTACGTACATATATGCGCGCGCGTGTGTTCCGTAATAAATAATTCTGTAAATAAATTTTTAAAGAGATTCTATAAAAAATAAGCTGCAGACCGATTGATCGTAGATGCTTCAGCGAGGAGAGCTGCCCCGTGGAAAAATTGCATATTTTATAAACAAATTACAGCCAGATGTCAAGAGGCTGTATGAGAACTTTTGCGTTTGTCTCTTGTCGAGAGATAAAGATAACTTCGTTGCATCGTGCAACGTTAAAGGATTTACTCTGCTGCTTGCTTTTGTGTTTAATTTTTCTTGTTGCTTAGACGGTGATATCTCCTCAATGAATTCACTATTTGCGATTAATGTTATACGGCTGCTTGGAATCTGAATTCAATTTACATTGATTAATCAAATTGTTGAACGGATCACAATGTAAACGTTTACGGGAGAGTATGAAGTGAAATCGTTCATATCATTTTAAAATTTCTGTAAGCGTTTTCGAGAGTCATGATCATTTTTCAATTGTTAACGCCTGCATCGAGTTTACGTTCTACAAGGTGATTCGTCCTGAAAGAGGATGATTATCCTCTCGAGGATACTAGAGAATGGCGAGCTCGTCGATTTACTTTACTGCGGAAAGTTAGTAGACGTAAATTTATTATTAATATTTTTATTTAATGAGGAATTATGACATACACTGTGCGGAGAGTGACAAGAGCTTTAGAAATTTACATGTATCGTTTATCAGAGGATAGAAGTATTTTTAGTGGGCAGATATCGACATTCCGCATAGCACTACATAGCTTCCTGTTATTTAAGTGGATCCTAAATATTTACATTATATCTGTTCATCTATCAATCGATAAAAACAATTTCATAGTTGACAATAATAATACTAGGTTCGTAGCATAATGATAATTGATTGTTTAACGAAAAAGGTTGAAACGACATTGTTTGAATAATTTAATTATATTATCTACATTGAGAAGTTCTAGCAAATGGATTGGGAGTCTTTTTTAAGACTCGAGATTACTCTTGGGACACTTCTCGATATAATTGCAAAATCATATCAATTGTTTTCAAGCACTTGTCGACCGTGCGTGAAATGATTTTGTTAATTGTATTGGTTCTCTACTTCCACGAAGTAATTATTCATACCACGCAGGATGGTGTAGTATCGTGATGATGTTGCATCTTACTTGTAAAGTTATGTACAGTGACAATATATTGTTCCGAAAAAATAATACGTAGGAAACGTAAGACTTCTAATTAGGCTAGAAACGTCCTCTCGATAAATACCCGTTTCCCTTAAAATGTCTCTAACTAAAGAGTAGAGAACCAAGAGAAATCTGATACCGTGATAAATAATCCGGGTATTTTACACAATTTGTGCTTCAAGGTCCTCGCCAGAAAATTCCAGTTATTGGAACTAAATTATTTCCGTCGTTCAGACATCAATACCGAATTGCATCCCCTGACAAGTGCAATAATTAATAGTTGTTTAAATAGTGACAGCGAAATCCGTACGAACGATTCCATGCTATGCGGAATTTATCAAGATTACTTTCGCACTGTTGATAATTGATAGTTTCGTTTCGTGGGCGCCAACTGGACGTGTCAATTATCATTGACAATTGTACTTAAGGACGGTTAAAAAGAATACGTAGTAATTTATGCACGTCGAACTTAATCGTAAAGTTATTCAAACTCACACCGCGCGTTACATCGTGCACGAAAAGCTGATTTCCAAAACGCCTCAAATCCTCAAGTTTTTACCAACGAACTTCAATGTACCTCCTTTCAAGTTACCTATCAAGTTACGTGCCAGAAGCTCCATATCGGCAGTTTGCGTTAAGTTTTTAATTCGTTTAATCATAGATTTAAGATGTTTCGGAACGAAGCCTTTCCAAATGTCTCTGCTCCAGCCGAAAACCGACCAAATTCACGTCAAATTAAACTAAAGATTCTCGTCAGCGTAAGGCCGTTTGCATAGATATTGGCAAAACCGGCGCCGGCGCTTTTCTGCCAAAAACAATGTAACTTTCATTTATTTACATTATTACTATCGAAGAAAAACCGGTGCCGGCACTGGGTTTGTCGGTCGTGTGCAAACGGGTTTACAACTGGCGGAGTAATGAAGGATAAACACATTCAAATAGTGTCTGTGATCGAATTTTAATTTATAAGACATCGCCGGGTCTTTCGTGGCTTGAAACTTTCGTGTCGTCAGTGTCGCGAAAGTACAGAGTTCCTTCGCTTAATTAAATCGATTATCGCACTTAGGTTCCGAGGGATTGCGATATCACGCTGCGTATAAGTTTAAAGACGGTTCGGTGTATCATCGTATCATGATTATATATTAATTACGTCGCCATTATTAATATCCTAGTATATTTTATAACTACCGCAATCGAGTGCTGTGCAATATTGACAGAATAATAGATAGAATTATATCGAAGAATAACCGAGTGGTCAATACGTCTTTCCAGTTGTCACGAAAATCAGAGATTGCCGAGTACATTGTTTAAAAGAGAGAGAAAAAAAAATCGGGAATACTCCCGGAAAGTATATAATTATTAAACATTGTCAAGCCAAAAGAGCGAGAATTCTTGCGACAGGCAAACCTTTGTGCAGCAGGACTCTTTCTTTGCCTTTCTGGTTTACCTTTCACAAGGTATACTACACAATGTACTGCTATTATGATTACGATGTAAACTATAGTGTACATACGACATAACCCATGACACGTGTTAGACAAATTATTATAAAAATAGTAAGGAATGAGAAATACTTCTTCAACATTAAAAATGCAATTAATGTAGTAAGGATTTTCACTGTATATACACTGTATAACGAACTACTCTCCTGCAGCCATTTTATATAATTTTTAACCAAAAATTGGCGAAGAGTAAAAATTACCCTGTGCGTTTCCACGACCTAGAAATCATAATCTCTGCATTCTCTTGCAATTAGACGTACCGCTCGTGTATATACGTACCTAAGTCATATATGCAAATGTATAAAATAGATATTCACGCGTAATGGTGGTACAGGTGCAGTATGCACGACTCGACAATGGATTGGAGGGCTTGAACAGTTAAGCTCGTTTCACTTACCCAAATGATCCGAATATTCGTTTCGACCACAGGATAGAAAATTGTTTGCACATTTCAAAATGTTTCCACCTCTTTTGTTTCTTTTTCTTTTTTTAATTCGGTACTAGTGTACACGTTTGAGCTTAATGCTTAGTCGGGGAGAAATATCAATTACGGAAAGTGTGATCGTTGTGCGTACGATTAATGAATATAAATTTCACGTGGCCAGAGAGTATAAAAGTTACGTGTACATCATTTCATTGGCATGCAAAGGAACCTGAAAATGTACAGTAACGCGATCGCAACTGCAAAGCCTTCCGAATGAATGTACGTGCTTTTGTGCAATTAAACCGAAGTCGGAATCGCTCTAATGAAATCACCTCGCAATGCCGAAAGAATGCTTCCCCTGAGGCGGCACGTTATTATAAAGAGAATATTTAAACGAGATCAAAATGACGATATCTAATTGGTTGTACGGCTCGTAGGAAATCGATTTTCTTAATCCCGCGACGTTGATTTATTACAACGGTGATATCGAGGCTTCCCGAGGCAACAATCTCGCAACGATTTTCCGTTAATCGATCTACGTTGCGAAATTTATTCTAAAATTTGTTCGAGCGGTCGAACCTACTTATCTTACGTGTAAGCAAGACATATCTCCTTTGACATTTTTGGTGCGGACGCTTAATCGTAAATGTGATTTCGAAATTATATCCATCATTAGCGAGGTATTCAAGAATTGATACGTGTAGGCTTATCGTAGGCAAATTTAAATTATATTCGTATAATTTTTTATAAAATTTATTACGTGTACTCATCGAGAGTCGCAAGAAACGCGTCGACATATTGGTTCGCGAGAACTTAGGTATTTATATAACTTTGAAGCAAAAGTATATATATACGTATAATATATGTTGTACTCTTAGGCGTAACTTGGCCAGTATCAAAGTGTTGTATTTGAGTGTGTTAACGGTATGACGAGGTGATTAATTAAAACGATTCGCAACGTAAATTTCGGGGGCGGCGAGAAATCGGCCTTCGCGTATGCTCGACATAATAGATACTATGTATTTACTGTAAATGTTTGTATGTAATGTAAAATGTCTCGTAACTTAAAGAGCAACATATCTTAAGTTACATTATCCCTGAAAAACAGCAAAAGTGATCGCGTCTCGCGCCGTGGCCACTCTTGACCTCTTCCAACTTCGATTTCCACCTTCGACGACGTGCATAAAGGGACGCAAAATATGTACGGTCGTTTCAAATAGAACCGAAGGCCCGGCAGAAGGTATAAGTGTGTGACAAGAGGAGATGCAAGTGCTCCGTCGAAATAAGTACCATTAACAAATAAGAAGCCATTGCGATGAAACGATATACGTGTAGCGCGAGACGAAGTATATAGGTATAAATATGAATATAATATATTATGTAAGCACACAACTAAAACTCTTATGATCATTATATATGATACTAATATTTGTATATGATGAATTAATTAAAAGAGGAAGTTATCCTTATAACAGTGATGATTAGAGTGCCTTGCTGTGAACCCTGTGAAAGAGTGATTGGTTTAAATTTGTACGTTCTCGAGGCGACACATTTTTTTTTTTATATCGCAGAAATAATCCCTGAAAACAATGTATTCCATTGGTTTACACTTGCTTTTCATCCTACATGTTTATCTATTTATAGGAACCTGTCTTCAGATAGTCTTCGGCCAAGACTTTCAACGCATTCACTTAAAAACGCACTTCATATGTCATAAAATAATTGCCAACCAATGCATCATTTAATTGTCTAATGTTTGTGTGCCGTAAGGAATTACGTCGAGTTCCTTATTAATCATTTTAATATCCCCCTTCTATCTACATTTCGACTTGTCCGTTCACCCATTTCCTAGCTCTCGGAAAAATAATGGTAAAATTGTTTGTCTGTCATGCATTATCCCCTACCATTTGCTTTGCGAGACTTCAGGTAATCGGTCAGTGGAAATAACGAAAAAGAGAACGAAGCAGAAATGGAAAATAAGAAATAATGAATTCATCCCTCGACAACTTATAGAAGTCTCAGTCTTAACCGATAACTGGCTCAAAAAGGAGTGACCTTTATTAAGGGCGCCGAAAACGGCTCCAATTCGCAAAAGAATCCTCGGGAAACGATCCTGCCCAAAGGAGGGAACTTTTCCACTTTTCTGCTCACTTTGTAGTGCACAGAGAGATTAACGGATAAATTCAGGTTCCGGTCTTCATGGGTTGCGGTGCGGACTTTCTCAGCTCAGCTACCACCACATCCACATCCACAACCACATATCTGCAACCAAAAAGACCCATTCCTGATCGCTTCACCAGCACGGTGAGTCTAATCTATCGTTTTCTACGGCTCTGTTCGTCCAATTTCTGCATCTTTTTATTGCTAACCCTTGGTCTATTAACCTAATGAGCCTGCGCATTAAAACCCGTCCTTCTGTAATGCATCATGGATCGCGAAAAAATGCCGAGAAGCCGTTTCTTGGTTCTTTTTCCCTCCCAGAAACCTTTTTCCTGATCTCTGCATGTAACTTATTCCACTCTGGTTGCTTTTTGTTTTAAGTGTTTCCCCTGCATCACTGGCCGACTCGGATATTTTATTAATACATACATATGATAATTTGCAGCAGTATTGATGATTTAATGCCTTTGCACGGATCCTCGCGATAATACAATTAAACCAACCGAGGAATGTCGATAGTCGAACTGCATGTGATACTAAGGCGTATGTAAGATCCGAATTTAGACTCTTAACATATCTCTTCCCTGTTTGTACACCTAATTGTGCCGACGATTCGTGGGAGTAAAATAACTGAAAAATTCTTCGTTGAGAAATTGTCCCACAAGGTGCCCATGTTGACGCTAGATTTTTTGCTGTCATTGCTGCCCCCTATTGTTATTGTACTGGTCAATTCTCTTAAGTACTCCCCTGAATATCCAGATTCGTGTTAGCAAAACTTTTCCCTTTTGATCTAGGCTAGTCATTAAGAGAAAATGATTATTCTCTAAAGTACCGGTTGAACCTGAAATCGAAACCGTGAGACGTATGAAACCACAATTGCACCGCGTAATTCTGTTGTATTATTTCTAATTGCGCGATACTTTTACGCAATAGCGTGATCGGCGTTTCTCTGTAATTATCATCTGTGGTGGAAACAACGTAATTGCGCTAACTCGTGCGTGTTTTTTCAGAGTGTGCCGAGGGTTGGTACTTATTGGACGGGGAATGCATCGACCAATGCCCGAACGGCACATATGCCATTTTGGATCGAACAGGGGGAATTTGCTCTTCCTGTCATTATTCCTGCTCAACATGCTCGGGACCATCGGATACGGAATGCACGTCCTGCCACACGGATTCCTCTCTGTTGACAGTCGACCAGGGAGAGACCCATTGCGTCCTCAGCTCCCTCACCTGGAGCATGCAGTCCACTAAGTGGTTTTATCGGCTATTCGTCCTGTTTGCCCTGAATCTAACATTGTTAATAGTGGCCTCCATCAGTGCCTGCATCTACTGGTTCGGTGTAAATCGCAGATCTCAACGGGTCAACGGATATAGCAAAGTTATGTACTCCAGTAACGGCTACGCCAAGCAAGACCCTGATAGTCAGCAGGAAAAGTTATGCGACACCGACAGCGATTAGTCCTTAAATTACTACATATCTTTGTATAGTAACCATTAAACGTGATAATGTCAAAGGATATTAGGATAATTGGACTCTCCCAGTCTTTGGTCTAATCTCGTCCATCAGTCAGGAGTATTGAATAATGTCTTCTTATTAACTTATGTAAATATGCATGTACATTTTACCGATCGCGAGACAGTCTCTGCCACTGTACTCACATGCGTCGAATGAGTATTGTTAACGGTCTCGATTAGAAATTATATTTCCGGTGGATATTGTTTACACGTGGATTAACAAAGAGATAGACTTATCAGTCCTCCGTTGCTTATCCTACGTTACTACTTCTATGCTTCTAGCTCGGTACCAAATAATTATTGGTTGTGCGACGGAAACATAACACGTAAAGACATATTCGTGTATCCATGATAGATCGCCTGCTTAATGCAATGGCAAGAATTTTACCATGTTTATAGTGTGTATAGTGTACAGAGCATTGCCAAATAAGACTACCCAGCGACTAGGACCATATCGTTACTTGTTATGTTTGAAAGACCATCGAATAAAACGGAGCTTTCATAGCAAAGACCTACTCAGATTCACTCCCCCCCACCCTTTTCATAATCACGAACACTACACAAAAATCGAATCTACCTAGAAATTACGAAAACAAGTCAGTAAAACACAAATCGGCTATCAGAATAAATGCATACTGTATGTACGAGATTTGAAATTAAAATAACGAGCCATCTGTAGGGATTCTTCGGAACTTCGAAGCGCCTGATAGAAGTCAACGTGTACGAGCTTCCGCGGCAACCTGCTAGATGGCGCAATCGGATCTCGCGTCGCGAGTGCGCGAGCTTCTATCAGAAATTCGTTGCGCCGCCCTTGGGGGCAAAAAACGGTGAAAGCTAACGTACGAAACCAGAGGGCAGCACAGGATGCGGTCGCGCGATCCTGCCCGTGAGCAATCTCCCAACTCATCTCTGCACAGGATACAATCGCACGATCCTTCCCGTGAGCAATCTCCCAACTCATCTCTGGTCTACACCACGCGGAACGGCGTCTTAGCAGGGGTGCTCGATCTCTGGCGGTCGTGGGTGCGTCCCTGAGGATGAGTCACCTCCCAAGATCGCCTGCAGAGGCGCCTCGCCGCCATGGCCGCGGTCCGCGTCGGCGGCTCGGCCAAGACCCTCCGTGACGCGCGTCGGCGCTCGCGGTCGGTTCTTCCCAGCGGCGCAGTCCGTGGCAGTCCGTGCTCGGTGGTGGGTCTCCGCTCGCGCGTTTCCGACGGTCATGACCGCGAAGTGTCGCGACTGCGTTCCGACCCCGTGAAGTAGCGAGCAGAAGGTGACAGCGATTAATCGAATCCGAAATCGAGAATCCGCCGGAAGGTACGCGTCGAGTCTCGAGGGCCACGCCAGGTAGAAAACAGTCGGCGATCGTGCGCGGTAGGGACCGCACGTCGAGGAGCAAGTGATCAGATAGAGGCGGCATCACCGCGTAACCTTACGGCGAGGGATGCGCGCTTACCTCCAAATCCTCCGTCTTTTCCGGTCCCCCGCACAGACGAAACGACTCGACGCGTTTTTTCGCCCCCTCCCCACACCTAAAATACTCATTCTTCCTAACAATCTTTTCTATCCTTATTTCGGGCTTGCTCGGGAGTAAGGGGGGTTAAGGTGCACCTTAGAATCGCGGGATGAGTCGTGCGGTTTTGGGTTTTTTTATCTCACTGACGCGACCGGTAACTCCACGTGTACGACCCTAAGGTCCCCCGGAGCGCCGCAGTCTCGCTTAAACCCTGGTTTATGTTTCTTAACCCTAACTTAACCCTGGGTTAATTACTCACTGTATGCAAATTCATGGGGGATGTTTATGCTTCCCTTATCTTAGCTACGCGTTTTAGCGTAAACGCTCTCCGTGAATTCTTAACCGTGAATAATTTAGTTCGTCGAGTTGAGGTTAGGGGGGAAGCGTGAACCAGGCTTAACGCTTCGAGCCGCTCGACTGCAGCTCCGATTTTCCGCAGAGGGTTTCGCAATTGTTTCCTCCTTTCTTGGCATTCCCTGCCGCGTCGTTAGCTTTAAGGTCTTCGCTCGAGGTTCGCGCCGTAAAACGAACCTCGCCTTGAGACCGGTAGCATTTTTATTTCCCCTTTTCCATTAGTCTGAGGACTGCCTCGCAACGTTTCCAGACTTCCCGCCGGGACCGAAATAATGACTTTCGAGTCTACGAGAAGTCGACGTCGATGCGGATATAAATATCGATTTGTCGTTTGGCTGGCAATTGTGGCGACTCGAACTCACTCAAATCGGGATTTTTGGTCGGAAGGAGGCCGGCCTCGGGTGAAATTGACTAGTCACTCGGCCGTGTCGCAATCTCGGTGACCGCCGACGTGACACACCTTCGCGAGGGGGAGATTCCCCGAAAGAGCGTCTTCCTTTTATCCGACACGCTTCGATGCGAATATCCTCTTATATAAGCGAGGATGGAATCGACGAGGTCGCCCTAATCGACACGAAACGTCTTACAGCCTGGTCATTTTAACCGAGATTACCTTCTGCCCCTTTATTGGATCTCTTATCGCTATCGGGAATCGTTTTATCGCGAATTATCGGGATTGTCGGAATCTCGTAGGCGCGAGGAATGCACTCGTTCGATTTGGATTCGATGCAGTTTTTCGCGGCAGTCGGGTCGATGCTTGCTTGAAAATATTTTTCCGGCGAGTTTCACGCGACCGCGATCAGCTGAGCACACGCGATTGCGATTCATGTGAATAATTAAGAGGTTCATTCACGAAACCGTGACCAACGACCATGTGCAATTAATTTCTGACGTTGACGCTATCTTATAAATTCTTTCAAGCCTTTAACCCGTTTACGGAGGTATCGATGATCGGGTGCAAAAACTGAGCACATGCGTTCGCAATTTACATGCAGAATTAAGAGGTTCATTTACGAAACCGTGGCCAACGACCATGTGCAATTCATTTCTGACGTTGACGCTCTCTCGTAAAAATCTTTCAGGAGTTTTTTTTTTCCCCCTCCTTTTTGGATCGATAACCGGGCGCGAAAGATGTTCATCGGCGGATGAAATTCACCGCGACCGACTGTCGGCGTTTGCTTTCATCTTACGAGCCAACTGAAACGCACTCCGAAGTGCAAGTCAGCTGACTGACGGGTGTTGGACTACTGATACCGGTAAACCGATACTAGAGAGGATCTATTTATTTGAATTGCACTCTAGACGAACGTGATGACTGCGTTGCGAACGGACCGTAATCGTTATCTGGAGGTCTACTAGATCATTCAGTGTTGCACTTGCTGGACAAACTTTCAAATTTCCATGGCGGTATAAATCGCACCGAAGTTCTTTAATTAATAACTTTCGGTTGATTACTTCAAGTACCGTGGGAAATCACCCCCGATATTAAAGTAATTCGGTACTATTCGGTACCAAAACAACATTGGAGATATAAATGCCGGAATAGATTCTAAAATTCCCGAAACACTTTCCAGTCGTTCGGAGGGTCTGGGTCAAGGTAGCGAAAATTCGGTCGACTGGAGGTTTCCCAAAATGAGCGAAATTTTTTTTTCTCCCGCGTGCATAAAAGGACGACGCTCCTCCGTCTCCCCTTTTACATACTCTGGAGGTCGATTGCTGGTGATAAAAGCGAGAGGTGCCCTATAATCCTCGCACTGAGGCCGGACTCGTTCCGAAATCGTTACTTCCTTGGCCGCCGCCGAGTCGTCCTCGGCCGAGAACTTTTCGCCGACTCGGCGGCGGATAATCCGGGCCGATTTATTCGCGACACTTTTCATTCCACGTAATGCACCCTCCCAATGTGCCCGAATATGATCCATGCGTCCAATGCAGAGTCCGCGTTCCCTTGCAAACACGAGCCGCAATCGATTCGCCATATCGAAGGACGCGAGCGTTATTCCCCGCCGCGGCGTTGAGTAACTTCCGAGTCGCTTTATTTAATTAGTTTACGCGCCCCGGGAATTCCCTTAGCCACGTAGAGACGCTGACCTTGCATCTGTTGCACGCTGAATTAGATCCAGCCTCATCGCTCTAATCGCTGCGACGTCATCGGCCTGCGGAAGTAAGAGCGCAATCGCGAGGGAACGCGAAAACTCCCGGTCGAGGGAAACCGGAAACCGGAAACAGAGAAAGAAAGGGAGAAAAGGCGATGCTTCTTTGCCGGTGACTCGAGGCGAATACTTTCGAGGTTTAACAGCACCCATGCCGAAGTCGGCCGCGAAGTGGACATTTTGGAGGTCTCTGACACGGCTCTCAAACCTGCTCCTTATATCTATATATTTATATCCTTATTTATATATGTACATGTATACATGTGTATACGTTAATCGCGCAGTCGATCATCAGGCTTCGAGAGGGTCGCTTCGGGCTGGGGAGCTGCTGCGCTGCGGACCTTCATAGGGTGGTCGAGCATTTTTATGGGGACTAAAAAAGACCACCGTGCTACAGTAATTTCAGGCTCGAATGTTTTAAGATGTCTGGCAAGGTCGCGGCAATATTACTAAGTACCGTGGAAATTCCACGTCCACGCGGTGTTAAAAATATTCGTGAAAGTGCACTTTCAAGGCACCAGGTCGTGGTGGAATTACAAGTCCGATGTTCTAAAAGAATCGCTCTATACCCGTAAATTTCTAAGTGAATTTTTCATCGTATATTTTATTTGAGAGCCGCAGAAGATGAGGGCACCCTGTCTGGGTGGAATTTGCGAGAAAAGTGTTATTAAATTGGAATATCTTTCCTTTCTTTTGTGCATGTGACAGGGAATATCAAGCAGCGCAACAGCTCCGGGTAACTCATTGCGTGGTGTCGTTGTCGATCGCGCAAGGCAATTAAGAGGAAACCTTTCCTCGGAAGGTGTCACTCACAGAAATAATCCTCTATCGCTGCACGCGCCGCGCGTCGTCATTATACAGTCAAAGGAGGCTGGTTCATTTATTCACGAAACCATCTTCCAAGGCACTCGGGTGTTTGCGAGCAGCATAATACGTAAAACTCCGCGAACTCCGTTTGCGTCGCGCTTTGTCGCGCTTTGCGTCTCCGCTTGGGCCTCGCATCACCTCTGAGCTGTTGCTTCCGAGTAACCGATGCGCGGCTTACGATCGAGTAAATGCACATTATAGAACCAAATGAAGGTGATAACTCCATTAGTAAATCCCGCTCTCAAGGCATTCCAGTCCCGTGCAGTTCCGCGTCTTTCGTCCTGGCATTTCAACCCTACACCGTGTCGCAATACTCGGTCTCGATTTCGCTCGTCGCCGGGAAAGGTGTAATTTCTCGATTCCCGTCGTCCGGGCGAACGCGGAATCGAACAAAGTGCCGAAACATTTGCTCGCGAGGCTTGAACAACGGTGATCGTGTTTAACGTGGAGAATCGCGCACGGTTACTCGCTTAGCGCGTGCTTTGAGCAGCTCGACGTTCTCAGCCTTCGTTAACGCCGATAAATCATGATAACGATCGAATAATTTATATGTACACGACGAGTGTAAGCATCATGGACTCGCGGTGATTATTTCAGAAGTATTAATCGTCGTTCAATGGAGCGCAATGTACGCATCGCAGCCATGTTGCCTTCTCGTGCTTGAACGTCCGTGTTAAGGGGATGTCAAAGTGGTGGCAAAGAGTTCTCATTTGTGAAACTTTTCTCCGAACTGGGGGCATCGAATCGTTTCAACGTGAACGTGGAGGCTAGAAGAAAAATCCCGGCACCCGTGAAATTTCAATTTCTTTTTTTTTTTTTTTTAATCTGTTAAGGCATTTTTTCAATTTTTCGTGAAAAATTAAACTTTATGGGTTCGGTACATCCAGTTTGGAGGAAACTTTCGTTGATCCCTCGAGTCCCACTTTGGCGTCCCCATAAGGATCACACAAAAAATCATTGAAGAAATGAGGCAGAAATCTGCCTCGTTGCTTCCGGAATTTCTCGGAACTGGACCGAGGATCCGGCCATTTTATTTAAGAGGGTAACGAAGTTGAGACTAAATCCGCGGGTTGATTCTCAGGAAGGCGTGCAAAGCAGGCAACAAGAAGGCCGGCAAAGAGGCCGGCAGAGAGCCCCACAAGGAGACCTACAGGGAAATCAACGAGGAGAACCACAAAGAGATCAACAAAGAGATCGGCAGGGAGGTCGCCAAGGAGGCCCGCAAAGAGGACGAAAAAGGAAAACGCAAGCGGTCCATCAAGGATAAGATCGTCGAAGGGGAAGAGTACGATTGCAACGAAGTCAAGAGAAAGGCGATGGATGTCCATCCCTTGTCTAGAGAAGAGACTCCTCGTCTCCCAAAGACGACTCCTATCACGGAAGACTACGAGATCAGCAATCACGTCCTAGGCCTCGGTATCAATGGGAAGGTGGTCCAATGCTACGACAAAACCTCGCGGCAGAAGTATGCCCTTAAGGTACGTCCGCCCTCTTCGACCATTTGCCTACCAGAGAATTATTTCTTCTTTTTCTTTTTCTCTCTCGCTCTGATCTCTTACCTCAAACTTGAAACACGTATTTCGAGACGATTCGTAGCTCGGTTACTCAACCGGTTCCATGCCGAAAAACTTGGCTCTACTTTGCGACATCGAGCTAATCGCAAACTCCTTGCAACGGGGGCGGGGTTTTTTTTATGCCGGGAATTTCATCTTTTCCTAGAAAGTCTGATTAACCCGAGTTTATTTTTAACCGTAGGTATTCGGTCTGACTCATTCCCTGTGTCTGTTTGACACTTTCAATGGAAACTGCGGGAATGTTTTTATGAACTTTCCCCGAAGTTTACGCTGCGCGAAAATAATATTCCCGATAACCCAAAGGATGCGCACAAGCGTTGCCTCTTCTGATTCGAAATACGCTTGGGCACGAGTGGAGATAATTAATTTTTTATTTTTTTCGCAAAAGTAGGAAAAAAGTCGTTTAGATCATTCATAGGTATTATATCCAGCTAGACGATGGCCTATCTTTGCGAGTGCGGTGCAGTCTCTTGTTCACCCTGAGGGGATCGTTATCGAACGGGATATCCATGTCCGATCGATGGAATATATAGACCGACGTTAGTTAAAAGAAAGCAGACTACGAGTCATTTTCTATTTATATCGAGTGATTTCCCATTCAACGTATCCGAGGCGCCGTTATCAGGACCGCTCTTCGACAAACCTTAAGCCGGCCGGACGGTAAGTTGCCGTTTGTCAATCGCTGCCGACATCCCTAGAGAATGGTCTATAAATAAAAAGGATGGCTATTCGCACAGCTGCAAATGCTACGACTGATCTAATGAGTTATTCAGACGACAAGCGCCGGTCAACGTACCGTTGCGAAACTCTACTTTCAAAGTAGACACTTCCCGATTATAATCGGACTAAGACAGCAACGTCGAGGGAAACGTCGCGAAATTAGTCAAAGTCGTGTCATTAGCCTGGGGAGGTAATCTCGATGTTAAATGATAATTGGACTACTGAATTCTATCATGATTCCAGGAAAGTCGGTGACTTGGAAGGAATCTCACTTGTACGTATGTACACCGTACATACTGGTGGAAACGACATTAAGCCCGGCTTAACTATGCTACGTCATCTAGAGTGACGTCACTGTCTCCAGCTCCAAAATGGGTGATGCACTCGTCGAGCCCCTCTATCTCTCTCTCTCGCCATCCGGTAATAAATTATTTGCGTCGTGTTCTTTGCCGAGGATTATGTTCCGATGAAAGTAAGGCCATCGTGATGGTGCATGCGCCTCTTCGATCCGGGCGAGGGGGAAGTTCCTGGCACCTGAAGAAAGCACCAAGGATGATTCAACGTTTCATTAAGCCGCTTAGTCGTGACTTAACGGCGAGGCTTTCTCAGGAATTTCTCGTGAGGATGGGAAATATAAAGTCGCTCCATAAGGAATGAGAAGTGACGATATCACGGAAACCCCTTTGTCGGCTTGCCGACCCCTATTCCCGGATAATTCTGATAAACGGTTACCCCGAATGGCTGAGGTTGTCGATGATGCAGAATCCACACGAAGGTCTCTTCCCAGATACTTTTTGTCGTCTCCTCTGTTTCCATGGCAGATTTATCTAGATCGGTGATCGCCGCTCGGCGATCCGGGGGTACGTCTATTCTCGATGATTGGGTCCTTCCGAAAATAGTCACGTTAGATGGGTGGCGAGATAACGAATCGAATTTAGAAATCGTAAGCCAATTATCACCTTTGGCCTTCCATTCGAGTCACTCGGGGTAGGCGCTGCGAAAGCCACCAGTTGGCTCTCCGACTCGTGGAAACTGGATCGATACTCTCCTGTGTACCTTCCGGCGATAATATCCCGCAATTATTATCGAAGGTTGTTTTATCGGAGCATGACTCACGCGACAGCTCGGCCACTGAAAGAGCATGCATCGTATCGACTCTTAACGGCTCTTCACGGTCCTCCGGTTTCTTGCAAAATATAACCTAACCACGTGTCGTCCGACCAGCCTCCGCCGTCGAGCATCTTCGGATCCAGAAACTGCAGACGGCTTGGCTCCGTCTCCCCCAAGTATCCTGAATTCACACCTGCCGGGCCGTTGTCGCCAATACCTCCTACGAAAATTCACTTCGCTCTCATCATTATAAATAACTCGCCGGGTAATAGCATCCCTTCCATAAAAGGCGTATCCGAGACCCACACGAGCGATTACGCACTCGCAAAGTGCGAGCTCAAACGAGCTCGACTCGATCTCGATCGCGTCCTGGCGGAGGTCAATGTCGTAAGATTTATTTGGTAAACAGGACTATCATTACAAAAGATGGGAATAGATCCCTCGACATGGTAGCGTATCTAACATTCAATCGCCACTCGATTTCAACTTTACAATTGTGACCTCGACCTTGACTCGGTTCGTCGTCGACCTTTTAAACTCCCCCGCAACGTATCGAGATTTCGCGCCCATGGTTCACTCCGTGGCCTTACGTTGTTCATAACGCGCCTATTTGAGAAACTCAGTTGGAAATTATGACGCCAGATAACTGTGGAGGAATACGGAGCCCCTTTTTTCCTATCCCTCGATATTAAGCGTTATCGGGCAGGAAAAGCGGTCCGGACGTTAGCGAACTCCGTCTTCACCACGGCTCACCGCTCATTACCGGCTTCTTAACGAATCCTTCGTGTTGGCGACTTAATTAGGCTCCCTCTCTCCGAGCCACTTCCGATCGGTCGGTGACGTGAGCCACTCGAAAATGCGTTGACCGAGGAGACAGAGGTGCCTCTGGCCGGACTCTTCCCTTCGACCGGTGTTCCGAGTTAAGCTGGACTCACATTAGTCGATTCGACAAAACATTGTAACGGGGCAAATAATCAATGGCAATATTCACCCAACACGCGAATTGACCGAAGTGAACGGTGCCATTTAAACGCATGTTACAATTTTTTTCTGGATTGGCACCGTCACATGTGTGAACCGATACGCATCAGATAGGGTGAATCCATCTTAACTTGCGTTTCAACGGCACCGTTCACAGTACACGTGATTTGAACAGGGTGAACGGTGTCATTGAAACGTACGTTACAATAGTTGCTTAATCGGCAACGTCACGTGTCTGAACCGATACGCGTCTGATAGGGTGAATCCACCTTAACATGCGTTTCAACGGCACCGTTCACAATACACGCGATTCGAACAGGGTGAACCGTATCATTGAAACGTACGTTACAATAGTTGCTTAATCGGCAACGTCACGTGTCTGAACCGATACGCGTCTGATAGGGTGAATCCACCTTAACATGCGTTTCAACGGCACCGTTCACAATACACGCGATTCGAACAGGGTGAACCGTATCATTGAAACGTACGTTACAATAGTTGCTTAATCGGCAACGTCACGTGTCTGAACCGATACGCGTCTGATAGGGTGAATCCACCTTAACATGCGTTTCAACGGCACCGTTCACAGTACACGCGATTCGAACAGGGTGAACCGTATCATTGAAACGCATGTACAATATTTGCTTAATCGGCACCGTCACGTGTTTGAACCTATACACGTCCGATAGGGTGAATCCACCTTAACATGCGTTTCAACGGCACCGTTCACAGTACACGCGATTCGAACAGGGTGAACCGTATCATTGAAACGTACGTTACAATATTTGCCGGATCAGCATCGTCACGTGTCTGAATTAATACGCGTCGGTTAGGGTGAATCCACCTTTACGGGCAGTTACGAGCCACGTCAGGAATGTCGTCCGTGACTCGTCCGGAACACGCGTGCGGGAGTCACGCGTGGCTCGCGTGCGTGCGGTACGTCGCGAGGCCGAGTCCACCGTCCGCCTCGGGTGTCGTACAGGTTCGGCCGGCCTTATCGGGCACGATTGTCGATCCCGCTCGAGATAGACGAGCAGCGCCCATCGGGTTCGACTTCGAACGGGTTCGAGCCCGTCGGGTTAACGGCAGGACGTTATCTCGGCGCGCTCGGATCTCCTGCCCATCGGGATGTGACATCACTCGTTACATCATTTTCTGCCACCTGGGGAAATAGCTTTATTAATTTTTCCTCCTGCCTCTCTCTTCGACTAGTCTCGATCGGAGCGCTTATCGCGTTGATTTACCACCTGGAATATACCGTGCTAATTTGAATAATTAGCCTTGAGGGAGCATCCGCCAAGCGGCGCTTTGGATCTTGCAAGTCGACCCGATGAATCGATAGGGTACCGCCTGCGAAAGGTTAATTGGATTAGTCGAATTATGGTATCGCCGGGAAACGAGATGTGGAAGGCGGTCGATCGGGACTCGTCCCCTCCTTGGTGGGTCGATGGAAATCGACGTGGGATGTTTGCGTAACGGCGATGCACGTTCCCGTACGAGTGCACCTGTAACCATCAGCAATTTCGAATACGGATTCGAAGTGTTGTCAACCCGACGCCCGAGTCTTGCGAGGCTCGTTTCGCGAGCAGTCGTGCTTTGTCATCTGTCATTCGGCGGCATTCCACGCGTGCCTCGCTAGGGAATTTTCACTGACCTGATGAGCGCAAATACGAACGAACGCGCCGTTTGATGTCGCGATTTGTCGCTGGTTAGTCGCTATAATTGTCTCGTGGTGGTCCAAGAAAATCAGAGGGACGCCGTTCCGTTAAGGTGATGCGAAAGTGGCGTCGAAGAGGTTTTGTTTATAAAACTTTTCTCCCAACTCGGTTTACCGAATAGTTTGAAACTTTACAACGTGAACAGGAAGACTATAAGGAAGGTCCTGAAACTCATGAAATGTCAATTCTTTTCAAATTTCTTTATAGGTATTTTAAAAATAGTTTATAAAAAATGAAATTTCCCGAGTTTCAGGACCTACCTTAGGGTCTCCATATTCAGGTTTTAAAATATAAAACGATTTGAGACACCCAGTTCGTAGAAAAGTTTTATGAACGATTAAGCTTTCGGATTCCACTTTCACATTCCCTTAAGTCCGCCCAAGGAATGTGGAAATTGTGATTTCGATACGGATAACTGCGGCATGACACGTCGATTGAAAATAGACCGATTTCTCCTTGTCGTCGTCGGGAATTCTTTCCATTTTTTCAGCCTCCGGCAAGTTGGCGTTGCCTCGTTGTTACGCATTGCCAGCTTATCGTCCCAAGCCCGATAAAGCGTAGAGCCAGCGTGCCCTTTTCTATGCGTTAGGCCGTTAAGTAGGGCTTAGCGTAAATCTGCATGCCTGTACACGTGCATCTATGTGCCCTTAATGCCTTTGATGTGTGCAAATTCTATGCAGGGGTGCAGACCATGTAAGCCCTTCACAAGTTTTGGGCTCCCTTTGGTATTGGGCGCACTTTTCGCGCTCAGTCCTGAACGTCATCTGGGGATAAGAGAGACTATTATTATCACCACGTGAAAAAACTGTGAAATACGAGCTAGCGAGTTACATGCCGCGGTGATAATTAATATGGTAAATTAATGGGGAGTACGTCGGATCTGGGAGTCCATAAATCCGTGGCTTAAGATAGGAGGAAATCGCTTAACACGGTGCTAGGATGTCGGTCCAATGTCTCCGCGGCGAAGTTTCATTCAAAGGGCCATTATTTTCATAAATTACTGCCCAATAAATCATGGGAAATTCTTAATAGATGTCTAAAACAATGAAGGATCCCGTTTTATCGAGGCTCGCCGAAACGGACGCTTCCTACTCCGCCTTCGAGCACATGGGTTGCACATTACACTTGATAGCGGCTACGATAACAGTGCACTACCTCTCACTCTAAATGCATCGGAGATAACTTATTTGTTGCTCTGAGCTCATCGCTTCAAATTCCACGTCAAGTTGAAGTATCGCACTTGTAACGCTTACCGTCGACGTATGGGGTGCGATATCATTAAGTGTAACGAATATTTCAGCTGTGATCGATAGCGCCTATTATAATTAATAACAGGCGGGATTCCGGGCGTATGCATATCCGCTTAATGAATCAAAGTCTGAAACGTTATGATGAGGGCAGTCACATCAAGTGTATAATCAGGTTTATGGAAATTCCTCGATCGATCGCCGATTTAATGCGATTTGACGCGCTCTGCCAGGCCGGAAACTTGGACAAAAAGATACTTCTCTTGGGGAACTTCCCGTGTGACGTAACTTTTGCTCGGCTGCGCGTTACAAATAAAAGGTACGTAAGGCTGATTCAGATCGCGGCACTAGAAAACTTGCAAAGCTGAAAACGGATGTTTATACATCCGACTGATACATGATTCTCGGTTAAAGATCCGTACGCCGAATGAGCGCTTTCCAAAGAGAAAAGTGTACGCGTTGCTTACATTTTCTTTTTCTCTGGTTAATCTCGCATCAATATTGAGGTCATTAAACAATACCGTTCGATTAAAAGTCAGATTGAGGGTGATACGGGGAGAATCGGTGAAAACGATTGCAAGTCGATTTTTTTTTTATTAAATTAAACGTGTCTTAAAGCAAGGTTCAGTCAAGAATTCTTCCTTTTGGATGCATAGCTCCAGTGGTGGAAAGTTTTTACTCGTGCAATTATACGCTTAACCTTTGTCTTATGTAATCAACAACCAGGGTCACGTGTTAAATAAATTTTACTCGGTTCTCGCAAATATCTTTTGTACTGAGAGCTTACGGGTGGTCTTCACGGTTCGAAGTATTCTGTGAAATCTCGTCAGATGACACAGACTTTTCCTATACCTAATTACGTAATCGTTGACTGCCGTCTTAAGGCCTCTGTTCGCTCTTTCTCGGTTTCGAACAAATCGTCTCGGGAATGATAACGGCCTGAGACTTTTAATTGCCGCCTCTTTATCTGATGAATTCGCGTTATTGAAGGAAACCGAGAAGTTTGTGCTCTTATCCAGGGAGACTTATCATATTAACGACTTTTTCTTGAGGATCCTTGTACTCTGCGGTGGTAACCACTTTTTTTTTTAGCAGTCGGTTGACCTTGAGGTGTTATCATAATTTCGATATTAAATGACATTTCCTTTCTTAGGTGTTGCACGATTGCGTGAAGGCGAGAAGGGAAGTGGAACTGCACTGGAGAGCATCGAACTGCAAGCACATAGTTCAAGTTAGGGATGTTTATGAAAATTCATATAGCGGTAACAAATGTCTACTCGTCGTTATGGAATGGTAAGTCACGTATAAATATAATCATATAACTTTTTCTATAACACCGAGGAATGTCATGGTAAGATTTAACAACAATTTTAGTATGGAAGGAGGAGAACTTTTCCAAAGGATACAAGACCGACAAGACGGCGCCTTCACGGAGAGAGGTAAATCATTAAAAAAAATTATTATTCCGTGGACTTTTTTCTCAGCGTGCGAGCAAATACAATTTTCATCAATATCTCGTTTCAGAAGCTGCCCAGATAATGTATGAAATATGTGTGGCAACGAAGCACCTCCACGATATGAATATTGCCCACCGAGATCTCAAACCAGAAAACCTTTTGTACTCGAAACCTGGTGAGTATAGTAATAGTTCGCGTTAAATCGTTAATAAGAAAAGCTGATTTCCTGCTACCACTCCTTTTATCGGTTTTAATCGATCTCACTCGCCCGCGCAGCGAAATCAATTCCGTTTCCGCAAACTTACACAAAGGCCTTCGATTAATAAATCCGTCTGATTTGGTGTCAGTGACACGGCATTAATTCAGGCTTCGGTCGGTGATAAGTAAGGGATATCTTTAAATAGGAGTGCCTCAGCAGCGGATTGGTACGTGCATCGGGTGTTGACGAATATGCTGCGCTAATGTGTTAACGAATTGTGCAACTGTTTTCAGACCGCGCAGGAATCTTGAAATTGACGGACTTCGGTTTCGCTAAGGAAACGCACTTGAAAAATACATTGCAAACACCATGTTACACGCCCTACTATGTTGGTGAGAATCGCACATTATTTCTGAAATAGCATATCAGTTCTTATAAATTTATTAAAAGTCCGTGCCAATGTCTACCGTGAACGATTCCATTTTCAGCCCCGGAAGTTCTGGGACCAGAAAAGTATGACAAAAGCTGCGATATCTGGTCTCTCGGAGTGATTATGTACATACTGTGAGTAATACAGCTGTTACTAATTTTGTTGCCGTAGTCATTTCATTGTTCTCGAGTAATAGCATTGCTTCAGTAAATCCGAAATACATTTTATCAATTCCTGGTATCTAAATTCGGTACATTTTCTTCCAGATTATGCGGCTTCCCGCCATTTTACAGCAATCAAGGATTGGCTATTTCGCCGGGAATGAAGAAGAGAATCAGATTAGGACAGTACGATTTCCCCGCACCTGAGTGGTCCAACGTTAGCACAGATGCTCGCGATTTAATTAAGAAAATGCTCTGTACCGATCCTGCCAAGAGGTTGGAGATCGAACAAGTCATGCAAAACAAATGGATCGCTGTAAGTGTTTACCACAAATTGTTCAAATCAATTTCAAGGTGCTTGCCTATGGGCATCGTATCGCGTCACAAAATTTGTCTTCATCAACAGAAACACACCGAAGTGCCACCAACACCACTGCATACGGGGCGTGTATTGCGAGAAGGAGAAGAACTGTGGCCCGAAGTTCAAGAAGAGATGACTCGGTCTTTAGCTACCATGCGCGTTGACTATGACACAGCTGGACTTAAACAATTAGATCATACGAACAATCCTCTTTTAATCAAACGCAGACGTGCTAAACAGCTGTCCGCAACTGCCGTCCCACAGCCTGCAAATCCTACTCCGATTTCCTAGGAGGAAGCCCCGAACTTAAGGGACGATCAGAATTGGGTTGTCTTTTTGCGCAGGTGTATCAGGTACAGCCTGTTTACGATGAGAATCGTCTTTTGACGTTTACACCTGTTCTGACGAAGATGGCCTCGAAGTAAAGTTAGGATACGGAGAATGTGAATGAACGACGTCGTTTCATCGTGGACGTAGAAAATTCGCACTAAATCCTGAAAGTTTGGATTCGGATCAAGAAAGCAATTTTTGGAGCTCTGCAGCTATTTTAGTTTTGGTAAAACGCGAAAGGTCTAAAGAATGGTCAAGTCCGAAGTACACAAAAGTAATCGGAATGATTTTACGTAAGGAATGGATAACTCGAAAGAGGACATAACTGGAGTGACGAAACGTATTATTTATCCTGCGAAAGGAGAGAACTTCATGAAGAAGTCAAGATACAGACTGTGTACGGAGGCGGAGTTGGAGTAATGTCTCGTGCGCGTTCACGCGACGACATTGGAGTTATTAATACAAAAGGTCACTTCCTGTGGAAAGATTTTACTTGTGAATGACCCGTATTACTTTTAAGTGACATCTGTGAATATACATCACAAAGAAGGCAGTACATATTTCCAAGTTGCAGTACCAGCTTGTTGTTGAGGTGCTACTTAAACTGATACGCATTTAAAAATTTATTTGAATCAATGAAAGAGGGATTACAAAGTTTCCTTTGTATACATCGTTTGTTACAAACTGGCAGGATTGAGTACTATTTTAAATGGTATTTTGTCCTTCATGCGGAACGTAATAATACTTGAGTTAGTACAGTACCCTATCTCAATTACGAACGGGTTGTAGATATAATGAGTCATATGAACCGTACATTGCAATCTTCGTTACTGGGAGACTACGAAAAACATCTCTAATTATATAAATGTTCTACGACGTTACGGGAAGTTACTAGGCATCGTTTAGGAGTATAGTTTCATGCATAGATCATGCATTATTAATCAAAATGATTAAAAATCACAAAAATTAAAATTTAAGTTTAAGTGAAATTGACGCACCAATCTATTCCTATAAAAAGCAAAATTATTTCGCGGTCTTTACGTATATTGTATTTTTCTGCGCTCCTCGAACATTTCAAATCTTTATCCCTTTGGAATACGTCAAGTATTCTAACACAATTATTTCATATGATCATATTTAATCAGCATTCAAATATTGGAACAATCAATCTCCCATCGCCTTACATTCTCGATGATAAAAGAGGCTGGTCTCCATTTTGGTCATACCGCGGAACAATAAAGAAAAAATGCAATTATAATTAACTTAAAAAGGATTAACAGAGGTAAGATAAATTTCTCGCCTGTACATATATGCACTCAATGTCAATGAAATTGAGTGACTATATATCTAACTTCATAAATAGTTCAACGATAAATAAAATTAATTATTGCAGTAAAGATATTCTATTTTTTAAACAATGTTCTGACTGAGGCTGAGTGTCGTTAAGAAGCTGTATTTAGTATCTAAACAGACGCTCGTAGATAATATGTTAGATTAAAAACTACTTATAGAAACGTTATACCGAATGTTCCCTAAGGTTACGAATTCATGTAATTCCGTTGAAAAAATTGCGGTACTGTTTCAACTCAAAAAAGTTCCAATAGATAGGAATAACTTGTAAGCCACATCAGTTAAAAACGTGTTGCATAATAATGACAATTTACAATTCTAAGAAGCATACCGGAACATATATGGAACACTAAAAGAGACAATAAGAAATATTCAGTACTTACTGCAACCATCGCGTCCAATTCAACTAAAGCTCTGCATATAATTACTGCCTTGTCAGAAATAAATATTCATATATTTCTATGTGAAACAAAGTAGCGTTTAAGGCATTCAACCACCTGATCGAACCGATTCATAATGTTGACATTCTATTAGCCCATGCGAATGAGATCGCTAAAATAGTCTTAATAGCTATTTAGTATGAAATGGTGCGAAGCGGTTCCTGCGATCATGCTTATCATGTAAGAACTACAGCACGACGTATGCGGCTCGATAACTTATAACTTAAGTAATCAAGTCTGGTCGATTTAGTAGAATAAGCAATGGCTACTTCATGAATAAAATATTAAACCGCAATATTAAACCTGATGAATAAACGAATGTACAACCTATCCATAACCGAAAATGTTCGTTCGGATTTCAATTTTAATTAAGCTGAAGAATTGTAAACAAAACACGTAAAGTGAGGTAAAAATGTAATCAGGCATTTTTAAAGCTATCGTACTGAGAACCTCTGCACGGAAATATACGTATGTGTGTATCAGGTGCAATACAGAGCTTGTAAGGTCAAAACCTCGGATTGTGCGCAACTGCATGGCAAACAGCGCCATCACATGTATACAAAGAGCATTCTCCTGTCTGATTTCTTATCAGCAGTTGATACAGCAGTTCGCCTATCGCCATAAAACAGAACCTAAAATTACGTTCAGGCATACGTGTTCTCCGGAATTCTGCGAATTTTTGTACACCTCCGAAGGATGTAAACCTAAAATCCCTCCATGAGGAGATAAAGTTCCTATCGATATCCCCGAATCCAAAATACCGGCATAAATCAGAAAACGTATCTATTTTTAAGAAGACCAATTTGCGTGTAGAGCCTCATTCTATTCTTGAACTCGGTTCGCCGAGCAGATAAACCGGAGCTTCAAGTAATCGTATTTTATAAATGTCCGCCTCTTTTTCGTTGCTCCTTTACCACCACGCCACATATTTTCGATTGATAAATATTCAACGTACGCGTGATATTTCAAAATTCAACAATAAATGTGTTTTACACGTGAATCTCTTGTCCCAAATATTTTATTTACATTTTCTTATAATACTATTGACTTTCCAATAAAATACAAATTATGGATGACTCTCCTCAATTTGAATACCTAATATTTGATAAGACTACAATACAATACTGATTTAACTGTGCACACTGTTATCTTGTCGAATTCTAACAACAGTAGGAAGAAATAACATCCTACATGTTGCATAAAAGAATTCCCAGAAAGAAACGATACTTTATGAAAATGGAATTATCGTGTGACCGCTTTCTCCGTGTGAACGTATCGCAAGTTACGCATTTATACTTATTTGACGCAAAATTTTAATCAAGTCGCCTTTTAGCCAGCATTAGCGATAGCACAATAAACGGTCAAAAGTGGCAGTATTTCAGCCTCGTATGACCTTACCGTGGTTGTCCAGCTCAGGTATGCGTCATTCGTAATTACAGTAGGCGAATGTTAACGTTCGGTCTCCGTGCCGTGGGGATATTTGTAATTTAAATATTAAATGCAACGACAAATAATCGAACGGAAGTAGGCGCAATGACGTAACCCGAAAAATTGGATTAAGTCGAACCGTGTCGGTAGTCCTAAGAAAAGCATGCACAAAAACTGGGGTCCACGTCTCCGCGTGGTCGCGGCACGAGTGCCGTTATTAATTTCAAATCGTTCGAAAGCAAGCGGCAGGACCCAGTTGGCGGTTTCCAGGAGAAAGGACCAATGCGCAAAGAGTACGGGCCATTATACGCCCAAGAAGCCTGCAAAATTGAGTATTCTCGGTTTTCCTTACGACGCCCGTTAAATTGGAGCAAAGTAGATCGTCCTATTATCGTCAGACCAATCGCAGGTGCAGGTCGAGAGGAAAGCAGTTGGGCCATTGGCTGTCCCTACTTAACCCCACTGAGCTCGCGCACCACCGGATGAAATGGACACTGGCGAGCTCACCGTCAGAAAATCAAGCCGAAACGACTCGAATAAAAGCCAAGTCGCACTTACTGAAATTCTCGCCGGCAATCGGGCCCGCGAGAGGGAAAATTAGGAAACGAAAAGGCCTGAAACGACTAGCGGATGTGGTCGGTTCGTCGTGGAGAGTGCGGCACTTCCGTGGCGTCTGGGCGTCTCGAGCGCTGATTGGCCGGCGCGCCGGTCGCCCAGAGGAACGGACCAATCACGGAGCACCAATGGCGGCGAGACGCGACGGAAGGTAGCACCGTCTCTGTCGCGCGCAAGCCGGCACCGGTTCAGCGAACGAACCGTCGTAGCGCGTGCCAACTGATCCGAGGTTCTCTGGTGCGCAGTTCGAGGAGGTTCGTAGGGCTCTTTCCTTGAGTAAGGTACAAAATCAGAGCGCGAGACCATCCTCGGCATCACAGCGGCTATGGCGGAGCAATACCAGAATAACCAGGGCGAAGGTGCGGCGCAGCAAGCCCAAGCACAGCAACCGACCGCCGGGATACCCGGTAAGGACGACGAGCGCAAACTCTTCGTCGGCGGTCTCTCTCGCAACACCACCGACAAGGAGCTTCGCGATCACTTCGGCAAGTTCGGCGAGATCGAGAGCATTTCGGTTAAGATCGACCCTTACACCGGAGTTTCGAGGGGCTTCGCCTTCATGGTCTTCACCAACCCCAAGACCATCGACAAGCTGCTCGCGTCGGGGGAGCATTACATCAACAAACGCAAGGTCAGTGCACGGTATCCTGGAATCGAGCCCAAGGCGGCCTGAGCACGAAATAGCCCGCGAAATATTTTAGCGATTTACCGTGCGAGCCGGGACCACCGATCGAGCCTATCGCGCTCGATTACGACCGTAGTCTGAAAATTTCGGAGCAGTACGGCTTCGTCTGAAGACTTGGGTTACTTTTCACCCAATGGTGGAACTAAGTAAATTACCGATTCGAATAATACTTTAAAACACGTGGAAAAGTGCTTGAGAGAACGATATTTCAGGTGGTGCTTTGTTTCATTTTGGGTACCATAATGTTGGATGTTTCTGAGTATCGATCCTTTACCGAGGATTAATCTAGCGTATTTATAGGTCTGTTAAACAAACCGTATGCGATGACTGGAATCCAATTGTGGCTCCATTGAGAATTACCAGACAATTTGATCGCTAATAGATGTGATGCTTCCGTTTGGACTAATATAAAGATTTAATGTAATACCTGTTCGATTATAATTCTTTTAGGAGTGAGCATCTAAAGAAATGTATTAATTAATCTAATATTTCATTTCACCTCCGATCGCTATCTTCGTGCATATTTCATTTTTGTATTGCTAATATTAAAGATGCTTATGAATAAATTATGTACCGGTACCGTTAGAATTTTCAGTTTCTGTAATGATTGATTTCATGTTTTATTTCTATGATAATGAGCATAAATATATACTTGAGCTGTATGATAAAGTACAAATTTTCGTAGGTTATATAAAGTCGATAAATACGTATGATTTATATTTTTAATCCTATGGCAAAATTGTGTATTCCACCAAGCATATTTTAAATCAAATGACAAGTTATTAGAATACAATTATTATGCCACTTGAAATCATATTTTGTAATTTTCAGGTGGACCCCAAAAGAGTCAGTAAGAAGGCACAGCATGGGAAGATATTCGTAGGTGGTCTAACACCTGAAATAACGGACGATGACATCAAATCATACTTTGGACAGTATGGTACCATTGTCGAAGTGCAGGCACCATTCGACAAAATGAAAAATCAACGCAAGGGATTCTGCTTTGTTACGTTTGACTCAAGAGACGTTGTGTACAAGCTGCTGAAAACACCTAAACAAACCATTAACGGCAAGGAGGTAGACGTGAAGAAGGTGAAGGTAAACTTGGAGTCAAATCGCCAAGGATTCTGGGGAGGTGGATACGGATATGGTGGCTATGGTGGTGGGTATGGCTTTATACCCGAATATGGTAATGGCTATCATGGAGGATACGATGACTCGTATGCCAATTACGACTACTCGGGATATGAAGGATACGACAACATGGGCTATGGGATGCAGGGTAAGCCGAGAGGTCCAGGACCACGTCAACTCCAGAGACATCAACCATACTAAGTTACAGGATGCGTGAATCCTGCGGACACTCGAAATTTGGTGATAAAGCGAGAATATAGTAGGGAGTAGACTGGGTTGACGGTACGACTCGAGACTGACTTTGAGGAGCCGAAAAAAGTGTTGTTTACGAATGTACCATTGAGTACATATCTACTCCTCTCTCCCTAATCATCGGAATTTTAAGCGCGTGGGTAAACAAAGATCGTATGCCTCGCGCAGACATTGTCCTATGAGTTGTGTACAGAACGTAATAAATTTGTCGATTTCTAACAGATATCAAATTTAGGAAGACGATGCATGTCGCATTTCTTGAAGAAACAACAATATTGGTTGCCACGTGTTTCATATGTTGCCTTTTATTATACAAAATAGTATCAATTGAGTTCATAAAATACAATTCTTATTTGTCATCTTGCTGGGTCCAGATTCGGATAGATAAATGAAACGTGTAAAAAAATATGATTGTGGGTACGAACAGTCATTACAGGTTCAACCGATTGGGGAACACTTTGTGCCTAATCTGTACGCAATTGATGTACAATGAAAATGAATAATAATCCAGTGTCGTCTTTTGTTTTTCGTAATTGTAATGGCAAGTTATGCATCTAATAATTTAATGCTCAAAGAGCTTTTTTAGGATATTAAGTTGCATTAGTATTCTCCATTATATTTTCTTTTTCTGTGCCTTCATTATTCAAATGTTTACGTACAGTTGGCATTGAGTTTTCCAGCACATATACATATATACATATATATTTTACTTGAATTTAATCATCTTATCTGTGCGAATTGCAGGAGGAATTGTAGAAAATCAAATTAATTTCACCGAGCACCAGTGGTCTCGCCAATTGCTAAGCATGTTTCTTCCATATAAAAGTCATAACCAAAACGCATTATTTACTCTCGTGTAATTGTTAATCTAACATTAAGATTTCTAACTTATAAGAATTATTGAAATATACACTATGCACACGTATGAGTAGACACGCGTGTAATATGCAAGCGTGCGTGCATCTGTATGTATGTACACGTGTGTGCAATCACATAGTGATTAGATATAGAAAAGGAAGAGAGATATTTAAACAGAAAATATAATTAAAATATGAACGTACCTGGGTATATAAGAAATACGCGAGTGGTGGTAAACTGTAGCGAAGGAAATCCGACTTGTCGACGTGAGTGGAGACCTTCCTTACCATGCCATTCTGCTATTTGAATCGTACGATCCCCTGATTCGCATTCAGAAATTGAATACGTAATGTATCGAGTCGAGGTACTACTTTGTGTGCAAAATCAGGATTACCAGATGGTAAAAATTTATCACCGTCCTTGCATGTCCTTCTGGGCGTATGAAAAGATAGAATGAGAAGGATTAGGAAGATCTTAACTACCTCGATAATCCAATCGCCTTCGTACTGCGTAGCAGATTTTGTTCAACATGCAAAGACTGCTCTTCATATCGCCAGAGACTGTAAACTCACATAGCGCACCAATTGGCACGACATAACCTTGTAATACATCCAGCGAGTAAAGGAATATGTAATCGTATCAACAAAATGAATTTAGAAATTAAATAAGTTGTCATAGGAATCATTGAATTACTGAAAATCACGTTTAGGTCAAAGGAAATTATAACGTTCGTAAGGCTGACGAAGCTTTAACGTTTCAGATGATCGTTCTCAAATGTTGCAAAAGTGCCTCAGATTGGCTTACTTTTAAGATCTATTACTTCACGAGCGAACGAGTTTTGCTTCAGAAGGATATTAAGCCGAGCTGATTGTACTTTTGAAATTATGTTTGTATACCATGTATACAATTTTTGCTGAAATCAAAACACCTAATGGGAGAAAGTCGTGAAGAAAACGAAACAACGTATGGAATTATAGAAAACGATATGAATATTTTGTTACGATTAATTACTATTCGCATGTTTCACCCATGACACAGTATATATTTTAATTATAACAAAAAATAAAGTGCCAATTATTTGAAACGACATAATTGCTCGCCCTCACGGTTAAAGCGTCACCTCCCCTTTCAAATGAAAAATTAAGCGCTAAGTAATTAAAAAGCTTTGCAGGAATCATGAATTCAGTTTTCAAAGTTGTACAGGATTTCCCATCTGCGTTTTTCTTATAGGTCTAAGAACGTTTAATCGCATCTCGAATTCAAGGAAATCGTACATGTTTATGTATTGAATATCGACAATATAAGAATATTTTAAGTAAAATTTATATGTGGTTAAAAATTTCACTAGACACCTAACTTATAAACTCTGGGAATTTAAATGGTAAATACATCTTTAATTCTTTCATTTGTTTATTATTAATCACCCATTTCTCATTTTCTGTATTTTTGTTATTCGCTCGGTTTTAAGAAATTTAATTTTTGTTTCATCAATTATACTATACTCTTCTCCACAGCTACGGTTTTAAACGCGTTAAATACATTACGTCAGGGGTGATAAAATACCATAAAATTACCGATATTTCTCCGAATCATATTTCCTAGAGAATTTATGAAAAAATTGAAGTATTCATATTTTGAATGAAATAAAAATGATTCTTAACCATAAATAATTTCATGTTAATATCTGTATATATTCGTACACAGTTGATACGACTAACGAAGTCTCGAGTACGATCGGCAGGTTCTAACCTCAAATTCTTCCGAAATTTCGGAAAGATTCTCCGAAAGAAATTCTAGAAAAATTCCATGTAATTCCTGATAATTATATACCCAACAAAAAGTACAGGGGACGCATTAGGGAAACATTCATCAATATTGATTATGAATTCAGCCATAAATTCTCGATAAGTTCTCGCACTAGCAGAGCAATACGGTAACTTCCTTTGTTACGCTCTCCGATTCAAATTTACCGAGAATTTTCAAACTCTAGACGAACACTCTCCCCTGCAGGCCGTACAAGAGGATCATTGTAGTTGGCGTCCCGAGAGAGGGGCGGCGCTGCGCTCTCTGGGTCGCGGAGTTTCCCCGCGCCGGTGTTCTTTGTCGCGAATCGCGACTCGCAGCGGCAGTCCACCTGTGAACTCCAAACGAAACGAGAGCGAGTCCAGTAATGGCCGCCGTCCGGGTGTGATCGTTTCCTCGCTCGTCAGGTCGTCCCCGCCCGAGGACTCCGAAGCGTGTCCCGTGATTGCCAGTCCCGCGGTCTCGTAGGACGCGCCAGCGGACATTGAGTCGGCAGTATGTGTCCGCGGTCGCAGTTACGGGCACTCTCGTGCGCTCGCTCACTGCCCGGGCAGCCCGGGGTCGCGATGTAGCTCGCCGAGGTTCTCCCAAGCCCATCCTCTCTCATCGATGAGTCGCGAGTCGTCGGGCGTGTTCCTCGCACGGCTACCGAGATTCGCGGATCGCATGACGTCGCCGTCGTCCTGGTTTCCTTCAAGTGCCTTTCAACCCGTTCCCCGCTGTCGAAGGAGCATCGGTTCCGCGAGGGTCGCGAGTCGCCTACCAGGTAAGTCCTCGACGAGGTCGACGGCCGACCCCGTGTCACAAGTCGCGCTCGAAGAGAGAGGGACCGAATCGGGGGTGGAATTTTCCACGGGCGGCGTCACTTCCGAGCGCATTGTTTATTTGCGATGGCGCGCCAACCCTTTGCCCCGCTGTCGCCGTGCGCACGAATAAACAACCGGGCGGACGCGCTCGTGTCGCGGCTAGAGAAGGAAATGCGCGACGCGCTACGTTCGTGACTCCGCCTGCCTTTTCTGCCGTTCGTGCGCGGCTAGTTTATACACGGGTTTTGTGTCGGGACCGAGCTAGAACGCCCAGGAAGAAAGGAAATGGAAGATCCCCGTAAGCCGTTCCGCGTAGGTGCGTCTCTTTCGCGCTCGCACTAGAATGGATTAGAAAGAGGCGGACTGGTCTCTCGGCGGCGCGGGTGGGGGTGGTGCATTAACGAAACCGCAGTTCGCTGATCCTTGCCGTCATCATCTATGCCGTATGAGGTATAATTTTATTTTCTACTTTTTTATCGGGAAAGATTCTGCGGGTTTACTCTCCTTCTCCCGAACACCGTTACGCGCGTTGGGTGGGTGCGCCATAAACTGGACATCGGTTGATCGAGAGTAACCCTCGGGATATTTGGAATTTGACCACCTAGGGGTAGATGCAAGTGAGGGTCATCCGAGCGAAACCGATACCTGTACGCGGTCCAGGTTCGGTGAAACTGAATACTCCTTCGATCTTCACCGTTTCGGTCGAATTCGTTTTCTCGATTTACGGCCGATGCCAGAAACTTCGCAGTTATACTCAGAAGAAACGACTCGAAAGTCTGTCATCCTTGGAATTGAATAGCTGTGCCGATCGCTCGAATCTTGGATAGGTTTCAAACCTGCTTAAACTTGCACTTGGATTTCGCGCAAACGAGAGCGGGTTGTGAATGCGTATACGCGATATGGTATCTCGAAAAAGAAAGCATCTTCTACACCGTTTTAAGCCTGGTTTATGCTTCCGTCTTAACGCTAGTCCGATGCCAACTTTTAATTTCTCGTGGCAAGGAATTCATAGGGAACGTTTATGCTTTCCTTATCGTAACTTTAACTTTTGGCATAAACGCTCGTTAAGAATTTTTTTACGGCGAAAAATTAAAAGTTGGGGTTGGGTTAGGACGGAAGCATAAACCAGGCTTTAACTGGGATTAACTGCGAATCCGAGGAGGCACATATCGGATCCCATAGTTAACCTTGAGCGGCATTACGATCGTGTGGGTGTTTTTCCTAGATTTGCGCCGCGTAAGGCCAGTTACCGGTCTCTCGGGGGACGGAGTGGGGGAGGACATTGGGCGGCCGGTTCGAACTCCCATTGGCTATACCAGCTTATCGTTGGGCACTCGTTCCGATTCGTGCCAGCTCGTCTTTCGCGAGTGCTCGCGGCTGCATGGTTGCGCGTGGTTGCGCTCGCTTGCGTCATCATGACGGCTGGTCGTAACTCGCGGCCCCCCGACGCTCCATAACGACTGACAACGGTGGAGAGTGTCATCGGAGAAGCGAGCACGAGCGGACCCAGACTCCACTAAAACCGGCCGCGGAACCAGCTTGAGTCATTCCGTAGAACTGACGCATACATCGTGGGACGGTTCCTCGTGACTTTTAGGCTCTCTCGTTCAATCCTCGAGATGCTGCGGGACGTGGGATTCGGGACTCGGCACCGCTTCGAGCTGCTCGACTCTTTAGACGATATCGACGCCCTCGGTCTGAGCCGAGTCCTGACTCCCCCCGTCAATGAAATTCGACTCGATGTCCTAAATCATCGCGCGCGTATTGTCGGGTGAAAGCTTTTTGGCTTCGGTAGCGTCGCCCAGCAAACGTTTTCTTTTATGTCGCGCAATCCTGCGATCCTAAAAGGAGGGTCACTTTGAAGAGTACTTCTCTAGTTTGTAGTTTACCCTGAAGAAGGTGTCGGTCGATCGATGAACTTCGATGCCACGAGCTAGCTGACCCACGTTCCTGTCTCGGGGACTCTCGATACGTGGCAGAGGTATATCCTGCGAATGAATTCGGTATTAGGTTTAATTTAGTGCGGAGGAATGTTTTTTTTTTTGTTACGTCAATGAGGAAATAACGTATATGAGGCAACCTGTTTTTGTTGGCACGTTAAATATTGCAATATTGTATTGGTGTTGACGACCTATGGTTAGGGTTTCACGATATCTTGTTTTGTTGCAGATTTAAACTGGATGGTTCGTGCAAAGATGAATCACTCCTTTTAAGTTCCATCGGATACAAGAAGAGTTTTGATCGTACTGAGTGGGAGCGCGATCAAGGAACCGTGACCCTTATCGCATTCACTCCAACGAAACATGTCCCAGCTAAACATAAACAGCGGAAAACGCGGCAGGGGTGTTGTGAGCACCTCAGTGGTGGCCACGCTGGGTAGTTCGACCGACCTGACCAGCCTGTTCGAGTGTCCAGTTTGCTTTGACTATGTACTGCCACCTATCTTACAGTGTCAAAGTGGACATCTTGTCTGTAGCAATTGCCGGCCAAAGCTCACTTGCTGTCCCACCTGCCGTGGCCCTCTAGGTAATTACTAAATTTTTGCAGTTCAACGTAATGTAATTACATTATCGGTAACCTCGATGTGGTTTTTCAGACAACTTAACATATAAATACAATGTGATGTCGTTTGTCAATAATATCGTACCAATTATAAAATGAGGTTTTTTGTTCCATCGATCAGGTAACATTCGTAATCTGGCAATGGAAAAGGTAGCAAGCAACGTTATGTTCCCCTGCAAATACTCTACCAGTGGGTGTACAGTAATGCTAATGCACACCGAAAAGCCAGAACACGAGGATGTCTGCGAATTCCGTCCGTACAGCTGCCCGTGTCCTGGTGCCTCGTGTAAATGGCAGGGTTCTCTTGAACAAGTAATGCCTCATCTTGTAATGAACCATAAAAGCATTACCACGCTTCAAGGTAATATTTTTGTTCTTAATTTATCTTTACATATCAGTCTCCAACGGTTACGGGGGACTTTATTGGATTCTATGAAATCCCGGTTCTCAGGGTGAATAATGTACTTAATTGCTCTGAATTCTTGAAGGTGAAGACATAGTGTTCTTGGCAACTGATATTAATTTACCTGGAGCTGTCGATTGGGTGATGATGCAGTCGTGCTTTAATCACAACTTTATGCTTGTACTTGAGAAACAAGAAAAGTACGATGGACACCAACAATTCTTCGCTATCGTTCAATTGATCGGATCACGTAAGCAGGCTGAGAACTTTGCTTACAGGTACGTATTATCGCTGTAAGTGTTTGAATGTCGAGTTTCCAGTATTTAAATGTAAATTTCCCCGAGATCCGGCAATCTTAAACAATGTGTAAGGATATTGAATCATCGTGAGTCTGAAAATTACCTTCGACCTCTACAGATTAGAATTAAACGGTCATCGACGACGACTTACTTGGGAGGCGATGCCGCGTTCGATACACGAAGGGGTTTCCTCGGCTATCATGAACTCGGACTGCCTGGTCTTCGACACGTCAATCGCCCAGCTGTTCGCCGACAACGGCAACCTGGGAATCAACGTGACCATCTCCATGGCATGAGAGAAACCATAGAAACCACTTTGAAATTGTTCAAACCGCGCTCTCCGAGGCGAGACTTGCAGACGTTGGAGAATCCCCCGCTTTGGGATGACGTTTTCACGCGACTCCGTTGAACGCAGTACTGATGTGGACATCGGAACGAACTCGGGACGCATCTGGAGCCTCATCGCTCGCACACTATCGGTAAGAGGAAGACTTTGTTTAAAAGCTTTAAGACATGCTTCTTTGTGATATTAATATTTTAGACCACTCGTATAATTAACGGCTTCGTAAGGAATCTGTACTAGTATGACTTGAAGCTTTTACACCGAGTATGAGACTTGATTCGAATAAGTACCTGGCACCGGTTACGCTTTTGTCAAAGCCTTCAACGTTACGGAGTTCACGTTTGATTTAGAATCCTTATTCCGAGATTCAGAACTAGCGAAAGGTTTGGTACTCGCAAAAGGATGATCATCTCTAACGTGTCCTAGGTGCTTCCGCGATGTGACTACGAGTCGGGATGATCTTTTTCCCAGTACTCCGAAGAAAGATCTTCATCCTCTGATAGATTAATTTAGCTAGCGGGTAGGGCGTTTTTCGTTTCTTTCAATCGAATTAAATTTACTTGGTGCCATAAAGATCCGGTTGGTATAAATGTTTGGCTATGGTAAATGGTGACAGTCCTCGATTAACTAAATTTATTAATTTTGAATGACGACGATCTTTTTGGAAAGTAAACTACGCGACTTAGTGTCTATTATATGAAAAGGTTCTGTAGTTCCAATTTGGATTTGCTTCTACGATTTTTTTTCTTTTTTTTTTTACTGTATTATGTGAGATTATTTCTCAGGTAATTTTTTTGTTTGTCAATTTACTGGCGTTCTTGAATACTTGTAAGAATTTTCGAGTGACTGAACGGCAGAGTATTTTGATATACTCTACCTAAACAGACAATTGAGGTAATGCCGTAAAGAATTTAAATAGAAAATAACCCATTCTTAATGTTTCAACCTGTGCCAAATAATATTGGAAGTAAATCCAAGGTGGAACATTTCGAACCTTTACTCGTTAGTCCCCTAGCTTAAGATTATACCGGTAACGCGATGGTGACGAAACAAACGAGGAACTATCCGAAAAAAAGGATACAACCTTGAGATTTCTTTGACTCGTATCACACACTCGGTTTAAATGCGATATTTTAATGCCGAATCTTTTCTCCTTCTCGCCACAGAGTTTCTTCTAAAGAGTTCTAAGAGCTGAGAAAGCGTAACTAATTCTCTTGATATTTATCGACTGGATGCCTTGAATATTCACCATACTTTTCACCACACGATAGAAATCATCAGTGCACTTGTACAGACTTCGTAACTCTTTTAATCTTTGTACCACCAACTCTACCGAGCCTTCTCTGCGCATGCAGCGGAAACGGACGCATTCTAGTTTGTTGCAAACCAGACGCAACATCTACTTTTGTAACTATTTATTAACAAAACGAAGAAAAATGAATACTAAGTCGTAAGGTTTCGAGCGAAGCCCGCGTCGTCGTCGTCGCAGGTATTAGACGCTCCCACTTTTTGCGATTCTGCGCTGCACCTCTTGGATGCATTAAGTTTGTCACGTTTCGACCAACTCTCGCCTTTTTATCTTTCCCCTCTAGCGACACGTCTTGAGGTTTTTAAAATCGCCTTTGTTTTCACCCTCCCCCTTTTTGTACTTCTTGCAGATTTAACGTTCCAATGTCTTTTCCTTTCAGGAAGTGTTTATTCCTCTAAAAGGTAGAGCTCGTTTTAATTCACCTGAGAACAGTTTTGTCTTGTTCATTTCGTTCTGTCGAGTCTCGGGAAAACCATGCAAGAAAAACAAAATGTATTTATGGCGTTTTCCCCTTACACCCTTGATTCGTTTTATTTATTTTACTAATAACCTGTATATTTATACGGTACGTCACGAAACAGCGAAAAATTCCGCGGAGATGGTTCAGGGAAGGAACTCGTGGGAATTTTTCGGGTGAACTCGATTAACGATTGCCTCAATCGATGCCCAATTATTTCTCTTTTGCCTCGATCGGCGCACGGGTCGCTTCGCACTTTTTTCGGACACGTTGATTTCCTGAACCATGTTCCGCTTGCTTCGCAAGTGTAGTACGTAAGTCTCTAGCTGCGTGTGAAACTAATCGGTCAATTGTACAGGGTATCAAAATCGAATCCTTTTCGACTGGGTTTACCCGCTCGAGTTTCTACACAGAAATCACGTGGCTAACATGCTGGACATTACATAAAACACGTTAATTTATTATCGGGCACAGTTTAGACTGCTCGTTTTCAACGAACGACCTGAAATTAATTCCCTGAAAATTTATTTACCTTTTTTTCCGAGATCGCCCGGCTTACGTCCAGTAAATATTCTCGGTCGTGTTATTCGACGTATGGAATTTCCTTCGACTCTCGAAGTTACCCATTAAAAAGGCACGAGTTGCCACTCAAGAAATTGCGTACTTGGTGCTGTTATTTAGGGGAATGTCGTTTCGCACTTCTCGACGCCCTGTGTCGGAACGTTATGCAAATTGTACGCGGTAATATCTTTTCATTTCCCTTGATTTAATCGCCTCGCTTCGGTCGTAGTCTTACATGCTGATTGAAGCTTCAGCGAGACGGATCGTTGTTGTATCTAGACAAATTCGCTATGTGATACGATTATAAGTAATGTAATTCAGCGTGCCGATGTAACGATATTGGACGAGAAGACACTCTCGCAGAAATAAAATTAAGGGAACCAAGTGTGTTACGTACATGCCCGCGCACATAGAAACTACTTAAAATAATCAGGTTTACATTAACGTGTATGCAGAGGAGTAGGTATCCAATTTAGCTAGACTCAAATCGGGCTCCGACTACTTTTTCGGCGGTTAATCATAAAACTGAAACGCGACTCGAGGTCTGATTACAATGTTGTTACTCCCAAGAGCTGAGGAGGGGGGGGGGGGAAGAAGAAAAAAGATCTAACTTTCATCTGGTCTCAATGTTTGAACTTCACGTCCAAATAAAATCCTAACACCGTTCACAGGGGAAGAAAAATCTTGCTGTCATTACCGCGGACTTAGGCGCCGGTCGCAACTTAGGATTACCAACCGAAAAATATATATATTGCCAGCAGACGTGTATCGATTGTCGTGCCAATTAATTGAATCGATCCGGTTCGCGAGGGGCTGTGCGTGTTGAAATCGAAAAAAAATTCTCCTTTATTTTCGGACAACGTGAAAGCTCGGGGTACGATTCGAGGACAGCCGAGGTTTTTTTCGCGTCCTCGCAATTGTACATCAGAAACTTTTGGCGCATCGATTATGGAAAAACGCGCAAGGTGTCCGCTGTCGAAACTTAGTATTACGAAAGTATGTATATTTTTCCTCGTAGCGTTTTAACGATTACGATCGCCCGACACTCGTCATATTCGTTATACTTATCGTTGGGGTTTTAAGAGCCGCAGCATGCAGACGGTGTATTAAACGTAAAAATGCTACAATCGCAGTGTGTCTGTCGACTTCTTCCCGTATACTCCCGGTGGCGTTCTGTGAATCTAGTTTTCCCTTTTACTATAATAATAACGGTTACGTTGTAATATGCGTTATAATACCTCGATAAGTTTTAGTTCGTCTCTCTGTCTCGAACCGTACGAGGGGAAACCCTTGTTTCTCCTCTCCCATAGAAAACAACGTCTCCGATAACTGATGTTGATAACTAACGAATGATACGACGACGCGCTCGCGCATCAGTATGGCGCGTTTCCACGATCCGAAGGAAAGTCTGCATTTTGATTCCTCGATGCAGGAGAGATGCTTAATCCTCTTAAGAACCGTAATAAACATTTGTGTTCATACGTTTATATTATAATTTAACGAGTGCGGACGTAGGCAACCAATTGGTAACCCGTCGTGGCGAACCTTCGTTTTTCGAGTTTAAGTCTAATCTGGGGGTGAGGTCTTTGCACATCCAAGATGACGCGTTGCGTCCATGTACAGCTACCTAAGAAAAGTGACGATTCAAAATCGTGCGTCTTTTAGAATTAAGCGATTCGTATGAAATTCCCACGTGTACAGTACTCGATTTTTAAACGGAATGACGACAAGATGCATGGAAATGAAGCGAGAAAATTACAGAGCGAGCCTCACGAGGATGCTGTAACGTTCTCTTCGTTTTCGAAATTCGATTCCGTTTGTGCGGAGATTCACGTGACCAGATTTCGGGCGGTTTATTTATTTAACTGGTTTTCTCTCTTGAGAAATCGAATCCGTTAATTTTTCCAGGTGGTAACCATCTGGTCGCATCGCTTCATCTAGATTCGACTTTGTAACGACAAGTTATAATATGCTGTTATACGATAGAGATATCTAAGAGAATCTGTATATTTTGAGAGACTGCGGTCCCGTTACCAGGCATCTCGTTTATAGAGACTATGCATTCCTTCGTTTCTAACTGACTGAATCCAAAATGCGTTTTTCGAATCCCTGGAATGCCGGTCGTCATTGATGTTGCCGTGGAATACAAACCAAGATAAATATCCAAAGTCTGGTGGATCTCAGTGTTGAGAGAAAGAGAGAGAGAGAGCGAGAGAGAGAAAAAAGAACCCTTCGCGGCGTATAGATACATACGAACGTGCGATGCATAAATTGGCTCCAGAGGTGGAAATTATAATCAAGAATTGTGAATACCCGAAAGTCTTACGCGCCGTGTAAGCGACTAATCGAAATCACTTAAACATTGCCTGGTTGAGATGAATCGATCATGGCTAGCAAACACAAGGTGAAGCCCAAATAAATAATGTATAGCACATTGTCGACGGAACGTGTTTATTTAATATTGTAAATATATTTATAAGATATGAAACTATGTTCATTCGTGTAAAACCATGAATAAATCTTTTTTTTTTTTTAAGTGTTAAATGTTCTTAGCAACTTGTACGATGGGTGCTGCGTCACGAGCACGGGGTAGTTAGAGTTAAATACTTGGTAAACGACAATATTTTCTAATTGCCAAATAGGGATGTCAGTTGTGCAGTTTAAGATCATTGAAATTAAATTCGACATTGATTCTTCACGATATTGCGTTGTTTGCACAAATTCAAAAAAGAATCCACGCGAGTGATTACAGTTGTTCAAGGGCTTTACGCAGCGGCAACACAGAGATACGATAGTGGGAAAAGTGCCACCACCGTCACTGCCGCGTGGTATTACCATCACGAGTACCTGAGCCGCCAACGACGACTGGTAGATGGCACCGCAATCGCCAGTGCGCGAGCCCCTACCAGAACTCATCTCTTGAGTGCATTGAACAGAGATGAATTGAATCCTCCATCTTGCTGGTGTTATCGGACCACGTGACATGAGAGCGCGATATAAGTATTTACCTTATGATAAATAAACCGCAAACATAAAAAAGAAACGCATGACATTCCTGATATCACTCTTCAAGTTCCGCAGAAAAGGTACTCGCATAAAAAGTACTAAAAACGTCTCATGATACATTTATTTATGTAAAAAATTAATTTAACACGATGTTTACTAACTTAAATCATTTATTTTTATAGAATAACCACTTCTTTAAATAGTTTCAGAAGATAATTCAATTTAGGTGAAAGTAATTATATCACGATCTTTGCTTTTCAGGAAATAAAACAAGATGAGTTTGAAATTTGCATGTAATCTATCATTTATGTTCACGGAAAGTCCATCTCTGACCGGAAGGTACCAATTGGCTCAACAAGCAGGATTTAAAACAGTGGAAAGTGGATTTCCATTTGGTTTCACGCTTCAGCAAGTCGTCGAAGCAAAGCAGAATGCTGGCGTCGATCAAGTTCTTATTAATGTGTATACTGGTATGGCGAAACATTATTAAATTATGACTTTCCTTGATTCACTGTACTTTTGGTTTGGTTATGTACGAGTATAAATTTTATTCTTCATAGGTGATGTCACGAAAGGTGAACTAGGTTTTGCAGCAATTCCAGGAAAGGAAGAGGAGTTCCGAAAGAGTATTGAAGTGACAATTGAGTATGCAAAAGCATTGAATTGTAAAAAGTAAGTTCTTATTTTTTAGACAAATTAATTTGTTCAGCTTATGTCACATACTGTCATAACTTTTCTTATATTTTTTTGCTCTTTTTATTATAATAAAACATATTTTTAGAATTCATGTGATGTCAGGGAAAGTGGAAGTATCAAATACTGTAAATGATACAACTTATGAAAATAATCTAAAATATGCTGCTGAAAGATTTAAGACTGAGAACATTGTTGGTCTCATTGAACCAATCAATAGTATAACTGTCCCAAACTATTACTTACACAATTTTGAAAAAGGTAATTCCACATAAGTTAATATTGCATCTCACATTTTCAACATTTTTTTATTTAACATAGGTCTGGAAATTGTTAGAAAGATAAATAGTACACATTTAAAGCTGATGCTTGACGTATTTCATTTGCAACATTCTTGTGGAAATATTACTCATTCGATCAAAAAATGCTTACCATATGTTGGTAAGTACACACTATGCATTCAAAAAAGGTTTTGCACAAAGCAATGGATTTTCTCTCGCAAGTAATCTAATTTACTTATTATTTATTTAACACATTTACACCACAGGTCATGTGCAGGTCGCACAGGTACCGGAAAGAAATGAACCAGACACCTTAGGAGAGATAGATTACAGATACGTATTTGGATTATTGGAGAAAGAAGGATATACCGATTACATTGGCCTAGAGTACAAACCAAAGACTAGTACCATGAAGGGACTGAAGTGGGTTAAAAATTTTGGTTATTCTCTGTAACAAATACATGCATTTTAGTGTATAAAGAGTATAGTATGTATATTTTATAGCAATATACTTGTTTCTCCGGTGGATTGGATTCGTAAGATTTATACATTTAGTTATTAGTACAAGTAATTTTATTTTCCATCACGTTTAGACGGCACATCTTATTTACAGTACATAAAATGATATAAATTCTCTTGCATTAATTTCTACATTTCCCGGGAAATTTACACGAAGTCAATATGTACGTTAAATGTGTAATCAGCAATTTAAAAAACGGAAGATCAATGCCAGAAATCCAGTGACCGCACGCTGAACTATGAAAAACAACCTGTTCTAAAAACGAGCGTGTATAAAACCTTTAACATATTATTATACTTCCAGATAATTCAATGCATTTTATCCTAGATATTTTTTATCTTTCGGTGTGTTCTTTATAAGGGCATAAAATTTATCAACATTATCCTCTGCTAGGGTACATTTTCATGAATGTACAAATGTACAAGTCGGCAAGACCTCTCGAACATATTTTGACAATAAGTCACTATGCACTTGATTCTATGTCCTGTCATATAAAAACGAGTAAAAATTTTAGAGCCATGTACTCCTATGCTATAAATAATCCAAGTCACGTGAAATAGTCTTACACTATTATAACACCTTTTAAGTCTCGTACATCAAACCATAGTCGATAAACAAAATAATGACTACGCAGCAGGGAGTTCTGCCTTGCAAGCTGTCAGTTATCCTATCGACTATGTTTTACCTCTAAAAATGCACACGATTTCATCGAAATTTAACATTTCTTTTTTTAAAAGAGAGTGTTAGTCGTTATCATAATTTCACCAATTGAGAATTAATATTATTATTAAGATAGTAGTATGTTTAAGAATCTCATAAAGCCAGTAACAAAATCCCAAGTGTTCATCGTGTGGATTCGTGAAACATCTCTATCCAATTCTTTTGACGGGCTGCGGATTAAAAGTCACATGGCTTTTCTTAGGTATCATAAGTGGACTGTAAAGCACATTTCAAAGACATCTCCATTATACCCGGCATACAATTAATGTAATATAAAAAATTTGTTATTGGATGGGGAACTACACGCAGTGTCTGTAATCTTGAGGTCAGGATACAGCAAATTCCTTTACTAGACCCTTACAATCACGATGAGATTAAAATAAAATTACCTTGTTAGTCTTAATTTACATTATTGTCGATTCAAAAGTCGACCGTTCTAAGTCATGTTATCTGTGACAATTATTGAACTGAAATTGACAAAACGATTATGCAAAACGTGATCGTCACGGCGAATTAAAAATAGAACACGCTGGCTAGGTTTGGAGAGACAATTAATTCGTTACTCAATCCTGGTGGAGTATCACACGCTAAATAAGCGGTATATGAAGAAACCCAGTTACCAACGAATTCAGAGAAACCTGAAGATCTCATCGCTAATAATTCGAAACGACCGAGTCGACCTACTTCTCAAATCAGCTTAAAATTTGTGCGAAAAGGAAACTCGCTTCGCTTAGGAAATAACGAACAACAAGCGAGGACCCTTGTTGTCAGACAGCTTCTGTTGTGTTCACCAGTGGTTGACTTACATCGGTGGCCGGTCCTATGACAGCAGTGCTACAAAATATTTATTACATTAGTGATATACACACCAGAATAAATTATAATCAGGCAAATGTCACGAGAAGCAATGTATATGTATAAAAAAAATAAGAAGTAGTTTCTACTGCGTCTCTCACGATTAAAGAAAAAGAAAAAAGACACAAGTATCCGACAAATTACTTATGATATACAAAGCCACAAAGCAAAATCAGAATAGAATTTTTCACCGAGGAAATGGAATCTTTTGGCGCGTCGTTTAAATAAATCTGCAGTTAGGCTCAAGTATTTTACAGTGAACCAAGTAATTTGTCAGATTATATATACGTATAATACGTGCATCAAAAGCAAGTCATATGAAATCAAAGCTCTCTGTAGCCTTTTTAAACGTGAATAGTGGACACAGCAAGGAAGTTTGTAAGCGATTAGCTAGAAACATCGTTTCGGTTTCCGGGAGAAATGCTCACGGCAACGTCATTACATATCTGTATAACAATTCTAAAATGTTAGTATTTAAGTATATTCGATAGATCACATTACCCAGCACCAAGGGCCAATATCGTTGCCTCCTGTACCATGCTCATTTGTTCGACATTGCACCTACTGCCAATGAAATATTTTTAATTCGTAAAGACTACCGGTTAATGTTTTAGAGAGAGTGTAAAGGATTAGTACCGAGGACAAATCCAAACTCACTCCTTGCAAAGAATTAATCATCAGTATCGTTAAACAGCAACGTTAATCACTTATCTGCGACTCGTTAATGCCGATGCAGCATCATTTAATTAGGAACAAAACTATTCTTCTCGCTCGCATCCCTGCACGATATCGGAAGTAATGACAAAAAAAATACATATGAAAGTATCCGTAATAATCCAACCGCTTTGAAGCACATTCGTAAAACCGTCCGATAAAAAGCTCGTATCGTGTATAAATTTTATCCAATTCAAGTGACGCTCGAATGGAATCCATTTAAACGTTAAAATCAAACAAAAGCGACGTTCACTTAATCCACGAGAAGAAGGAAATAAGAAAAGTTTATTTTACACAACGGATTATTTACATTATGTAATAACTTTACATAAAGTATCCACAGGAAGTATAAAAAAACTAAGCACTAATGTAAACAAACTAGGAAACTAAAATTATAGTGAAATATACAGCTTCGATGAACACGTAGGTATATATATATATATAGGTATGTATGTATACATAGTATAATACATGTCCTTGGCTCCGATGAGTTCAACGGAACTATGTGCCCTCTTGACCACTATTCGAGATCAGGGTGTAGCAATTTCATTTCTAACGGACTTTGCAAATTCTTTCTGCACTGTTCCTCGTATTTCGACCTTAAAACAACATTGAACCAATCTTTATCCATTACAACGCGTTTCTCTGTCGATCGTAATAACTATCGTGCCGTTAAGCAGTTGTCCTCGAGAAACGGTTAATTATCGCGTATTATTTTTAAATTAAACAGTTGTCAGACACAGCCAAGGACGAGCACGATATCAGCGATATGGGCGATGCGTCCTGCAAACTCTTACGGCAGCTCGAAGAAACATCGAGCTACCGCGAAGAGTCCTGGGGCAAGAATGCGAGGAATTCCCCAAATGCAATTCCCCTCCTTACTTAAATTAATCCGACACCTGTCCAAAGTTCACGCATCTTTCGATAGTGGTGGATGTAAACCGTGCTCGTGCAACATAAACCGCAAGTACAACATAAGGTGACATGAAAGTGTCATATATACATACCAAAAAGTCGAAATATTAGTAAAACTTTTCCCAAAATTGGGTCCACCGAATCATTTGAAACCTCATCACGAGATTACAGAGGCCATAAGAAAGAAAACGCGATGCTCGTGAAATTTCATTTTTTGACAAAAAACTTGAATTTATCTCGAAGAAGAACCAAAAAAAAACATTTTATTTTAAATGAAATTTTACGAACATCGCGTTCTTCCTTAGGGCCTCCATAATCACGTGTTAAAGTTTCAGATAATTCGGTGCACACAGTTTAGAGAAAAGTTGTATAAATATTTTCACATTTTGATATATATAGAATCTTTCATATCACCTTAAGGAAAGTAAAAAAAGACCCAGAATCGAATAGTACCCATTGACTCCCAGTGGCTATTTACAGCGAAAGAGGCTCGGGCATTTCTAGGGTGTCGTGGCATATCCGATCCTGCCCCGCTCGGCGGCTACTGTCGATGCACTACGGTCGATGCGAAAGAAAAGCCTACTTCCGATGAAACCATACTAGGATGTGCCGATATTATGAAATACCTGAACGAGACCCAGGAAGCGGTGGGGAGTCGAGCTCGGTCTCATCTCCCCACCATTGGGCACCACGTCCCAACAGCGTATGTGTGTCTTCGTCGCATAGCCGCTCAGGAAACGTTACCCCGTCGCCGAAGCTGTAACCCACACCCCAATGCTATTCCAGGTCGCCCCAACTCTACGAGAATGTACTAAAGAGCACATCGAGTTCTGGCCAGAGATCGGAAGATCCGTCTTACAGAAGGAAACTGAAATCTTCCTTGGCAGATTTTTTTTTCTTTTTTTTTTCCTTTTTTTTTTCCTTCCATTTCAACGAATCTTTGCACGCATCACTTTCCATTTCCGTAATCGTTCCGACGAATTGCAAAGCACTCGACGTGACTTTCGAGTGATCGTTTCAAGTAGCTACTTCGCAATTTGTGGCTTTAGTAGATTTCAATTTACGACGCGTTACAGAAATTAGCCATGTTCACTCTCGTTTCTATTATGACGAGTGCCTATCAGAGAGCCAAATGCACAATACTTTACGAATGATAGTGGCCACGGTCACGAACACGTAACTTATCTGTCCGAAGGTAGAATGCATGCTTTTAGGAATGACGGATCATGCATTTTTACATGACTCCATTGACGGCATAAGTTTCATGCGCGATTAAGAAATGCCTTTTCCCTCCGAATTCGACAACCCCGTGTATGTTACAATTTATGCTGTTTAATATTTCCTGTTAAACGTTTTTATAAAGAGCGTGAAGCATATTAGTGTTCGAAAGGTTTGAAATTTCTCATGCAAACGTACAGAAAATAAGCCAAACTATAAATGAAAACAGCTTGAGCATTAATTTCATGTGCTTTCACTTTTTTGTTTTTAAGAAAAAAAAAAACCACTAATAATATTACCGAAGAACGTGGTTTTCTTTTTCCATTCTTAGCTTTATTCTCAATGCGTTTTCTGGACGTTTTTTCCTCATTCTCAATCAACGCCTGTCTTTCGCATTATTTTTTTTTTTCAGGGACACTAAGAAACACCCCGTGAAAAATGTGAAAATTATTAAAGGAAGAAGTGTAGGTAAACGAGTCTAAAATGGTCTACTGGTCATATCCGAACCTGTTCTTCTTATATTACAGCAGCTGACAAATAAAATATAATATGAAAAATGGCAAACAAATGTTTCACTCATGCATACATGCTTAGAACATCGTCGCACTAAGGCTGTTACTGTGGAACTCGAAAATACGTAATCCGTTTTGGACAAAAATTCCTATTTATGCGACAACTAAAAAATATAGAATTAAATTATACTTCAATCTCCGGAGGTATTAATTGATAATGCAGTATCAGTTTTGACGTCATGTAAGGTTCTGCGCGAGAGTTCCAAAGTAATAACTTAAAGGAATATGCATCAGGTAAAGTAAACTAACATCTATTAATTCTGACCTGTTTTGAGTACTGCCCATGGAGTTGTAAGTATTGGGGGCGCCCTGATGTTCCGAGCGAACCGGATAGACCACTCCGTTTCCGAGACTAAAACACATTTATTTCAACCCCCCAATTTATATATGAAAAAATATTTAACGAGTTACCGGTTCGCAATGATTAACAGCAAGTACGTGATTTGTTAATAGAGCGTATCAGCTTGCAAACGATTCTAACAAACTGCAATTATTTATCCGACAAATGGTAAGATTTTCTAAATCCTTTGAATTTGGTATAACAACGCTAAAAAATTACAAATATTACTCGTGATTTATGAATCCCATCACTTCATCAAAGCTAGAAAAATTGTCAAGAACTTGTTATCGTCATAATGGGAGATTGTACTTAAAGAACGCGTTTTTTTTTTAATTTGATACAACAACATTTCTTTGAGAAACATTCGTAACAAAGTATCGGATTTTCCTGGCATATCTAAACTAATCGATGTCCTTTAGATTGCAGCAAGCGTATGATTCAAATAGCAAGCAATTAAATAAAAAATAATTAGTCTTACAATCGCAGTGTAATTACAACAGTTCCTAAACATTCTGTATCATTTATAATAATAAGACTACATCTGTATACTACTTCCACTTTTTAAAGAATACAAGAAATGAGGAATAAAATAACGAATTACGTTGTACATGTATTACGAAACTTGCAAACAGAAAGCATATTTAAAGCTAATGATGCATGAACACCACTGGTTATGAAATATGATAAAGGTATTCATATACATTAAACATATCATTTATGAAATGTAGAATAAATTATAAAAGGTACAAGAAATACATTTTTAAATATCAAATTGTCAGTCACTGGAAGTTTAAACATAAAAACAGATAAAATAATATTTTTATGAGAACGTACAAATGTTTACTACCAAAGTGCCTCACGTCCAAAACAACAGACCATTAATATAATACCACAGTCGATACACAGTGCTCGTTAATATGCATTTATACTGCCTGCATTTATACTTATTATTATAAACATATAAAATGCTAAAACAGACGAGTAAGACAATTAACATATACCTATATTGGTATATCAGAATATTTAATGGAAATAGCTCTGTTTTCGGCGCACTTAGTGTTAAAATATACTTGTTACAAGACTAGGTATTGTGCAGTTGGCTCAAAGTTAGTGCTAAATAAATATACCAACATTTCCTTAGTTTATGATGTCATAAAGTTATGGAAGACACAATTTGATTAACAGAATTATTTAGTAACAGGCAGTGTTATTAATCTCAGATTTTAATTAGTATGCTGTCACTGACATTTATATTAATTGCCAAGCTGATACCTTTTAGTTGAAAATAATTTTAATTTATTTATTAAACTGCTGTTACTTTGTTCAAAATATTCTGAGGGAAAACATACATAGAGGGAACATAAAAAAGATTATGCTAAAATTTAGAAATGCATTAGCCCTAAAAAGAGAAGTAAATTTTTTATGTGCCCTTTATATACGATCCAATATAAAATGATCTCAATTGCATATCATTTAAAAGGAAAGTAAATTTATGTTCATGTATCTAAGAATTGATTCAAATATCAATATTTTGCATATTGCACGAAATATTTTTGCAAATATATAATGAAGCATCATAATGAATACGGAAATTAATCTTACCTGGTGAAAATTGGAAGGAGCCACAAACGAGTATCATCACCAAATACTTCTTGAAAGTTATTATACTTTCCAAGACTGAAACCATCCTTATCTTTTCCTGTACGAAACATAGGTGGCCTAAATGCCTCTGTAAAGTGTATTCCATTAATGTAAGAATATCTGATGGAAGAGCAACGATAGAAGTCATTAAATGCATACCAAGTGTTGATCTATTATGAAGAACGAGGTAGCAATGGTAGAAGAATAGAGAATTGAGACTGATAGCGAACATGAGCGCAACAAAGAACAAGACGAGCAGGTGAAACCTACCCATTCCATCCATCTCACCCTATAAAACCAATATGATTATGTCAACAAAAGTCATTCTAATAGAACACATTTTTTAAATTTATATTCATCTATATGGTAGAATGACATAAATTATCTAATTTATTTAAGATATATAAAAGCACCATAAAGATTGGAAATAAATTTATAATTAAAGGCATTATAATGAAAAAGAATTATTCACTGACCTTCCAAAGACGTATTAAATACTGCAGTGAAGTAGCAGCTATAAACATACAGTAGAGAAGAGCGTATGCTAAGAAGAGCATGAAGAACTTATAGTTGTGAAAGCCTACACAATTGTTCACCCATGGACAATGATGATCCATCTTTAGAACACATGTTCCACAAACACTGCAATGGTGTGCTCGATCTGGCTTAATGATCTGGCATTTTTCACAAAAGCGTATTGCTAAAGGGAAAAGTTTTCAATTTATCTACTGATGTGTCGCAATATTGTTCCTAGGATCCAACAGAGATGGACACAATTAATTGTTTCAATAAATACTTCTTATTTAAAAAAATGTCCCTCTCTGCTATCACATATTGTTTAAATTACTAGTTAACCTACATAAGAATATTTGTGTTACATTAATAAATATAACCTACCCCCTTTAATGGTACGATTCGTAACAGGAAGGTCTTGAGTGCACCTTTCTAAAATTTGTCTTTGTGCTTCTTCAGTATCTGCCTGTTGCAGCTTTTCCATTTCTGCAGCAGGTATTTTAAACTGCAATTAATGTACATATATGAAATTAAATATGTAAAATAATAATCCTTTATTACTATGCAAGGTTACAAAAAAATATTGGTAGAATTAAAATATACTAAAAAAGATCTAATCACTGACTTTTCTTATTGTTATTATTGTTACTATGCTTTTTTGTGCTAACCTTATCTGGTACCACTATTAATTCAGTAAATACAGTTTGCCAATAGGACCATTGAAACAACAGGAACAGGATGTGGAAGAAAAATAGATAGAAGCCTGTTATTAAAATAAAAGTAATTATTCAATGTTCAATAAATTATGACGATGCTGTACCAGCTTATACAAATAAAATACCTTTTTGAATATAGCTCTCTATTGTATCTGAAATATAAAATAGACATTAATAAAAACTTGAATAATGTAGCAATATTAACACAAACTTGATAAGTACAGGGTAAAATTTTCACTCGTATAGTGACAAATCTGAAGATTAATATCCTTCCTACATACATGAAAGTATATTTCTACAATATGTAACATTAAAGGTAGTTTAAAAGTATCCACGTAATCCAGTAGTACAAACGACAGGTAAAGTACTTAAAAATGTCATGCCGTGTTACTGACATATTTTACACAATAATATAAATCAACTAAATTTCAAACACGTGTATGAATTTTTCTAGTCAATACCTACACTTCAAACATTTTATCTTACCAGTCGTTCTTCGTTGACAGAGGTTCTTAGCGATACATATAGAATTTAAAATTACATACGTTCTCCATAAGCATTATTATACTATAAAATCATAAACATGAGAAGGTCATACATTAGAAATGTTCGATAAGCAAATAATCTAAATAAGTCTGGAAGAATAAACTCACAGTAACAAAGCTGCACGACATAAGCATAGTAGGACCAGACGACAACCGTTGAGATAAAGATGACGGGCACCCACCAAGCACCCTTCACGCACCACCAAGACAACTCGTTTTGCTTGCCCATCCTTTTCGAGGAACTATTCCTCTTATTGCAAACTTAATTCGCTACGAAAATACTTGCATTATTTCAATGAAACGCGTCCCATTCTGCACGACGAATCGTGCAAAACAACCTCTTACTCCTCAACTTCATCCTAGAGTAAACAGTCGAAGTCGGGTCGCAAAGGTAAGAGTCGATATTTCCGTTCGATAGTGCGTCTGCTACTACAGCATAGACTACGAGGAGAATGAAACGGTACTTTCGCTATTTTAATATTTCAACTAATTCAGAAAACATTTGACTGACAAGTATTTTAAATATTATTTTAAAAACCTCAGTTTCAGTCGCCGAAACATAAAAGAAAATATAATTTTTAATCCACATTTGAATGACAACATTGACTTATTTTACGCTATACTGATGTATATCATTCTGCCATGCGATGCCTCTTACGGATGGTAACGGTACTACATACTTGGAAAAGAAGTTGTGGCCGAAGCCTCATGAGAGCGTTGGATGTCGTATGTACATACAGAGCGCGGTACGTCGGCGCGTCGAGGATGAAAAAATGTATACATAAGCGCAGGAATTCAAGGGGAAATATTGAAACTGTTTCAGGAATTCAAGGTCATGGGCACTCTACTGCTCCTTGAAAGAAAAAGCGTGTTTTAAATGCCTTCAGAATATCCAAGATAAACATTTCAACCCTTAAAAATATCGAAATAATCGACGCTGGCAAAAACATTGAACCATATGTTTACCTTTTCTTATAATAAATAGTTTATCGCGTGATTAATGCTCGAATGGTTACGTATAAAGCATACAGAGGCACCTTGATATCTGGTAGTTGACCTTGACGGCATATGATATCATTATTAAATTGTCACACGTATCAATTTGATGACGAAAGGAAGCATGAGGAGTACATACGTGAAAACCTATGAAGCATCTTTTAAATGAAATGAAACGTAAAGCAATGTCCACAAGAGAAACAATGCGTCATCGCGAAAGCATGGCGAAAGCTCGAGATGTTAAAAATGACGTAAGCGAATTTCGGAGTCGGTCGGAAACAAGTTTCAACCCGTGCACTCGCCGGTCCGAGAAGCAGCAGCGAATCATCGACCAGCGGCGTTCGGGAAAGTAGGTGTGTCCCGTCATTGAGCGACTGGCTGTTGGAGAGTTCGGACTTACATTGTTTGCGCTACGCCCAGTCTATAGTTTGTTGTACCTAAAGTACTTTTAATAGGTAAGGAGATTTTTCAAAGAAAATTTTCAAATTGTATGTCATTATTTCATTTCAAATGTGCGTTTTCTGTAGACCGCGGACTTTCTCATAAGTAGTTAAGGTCGAATTTCTTGTATCTTGACCTGATCTGTTGCGCTTTTCAGAGTGGCACCAATCCTACCGGCAACATGTCGCAACACCAGTACTATCCTTTCAAGGTAATCATGTCGTAAAAATGTTTGCTATTCTTTTTAGTTGCTCCGCATAATTTCAAATTATTGTCCTTGGTCTAAGACGATTCTTATTGTATTCTTTAACATGAGATTGTCGTTAACCCTCAGATTAATTATCTATTTTTATCGGAGTTTCTTCTTATATTAATAGCGATGTGAATAATTATTCTTGTTATATATATATAAATGATATCATGTCAGTTATACTCTTGTATTCTCGTTGCATACAGTATGGCTAATGTTTACTTTAGAAACGTGTACATTTAGGCTGATAAAATTTGTAAATGACCTTAAAAGTATTGAAAGTGGCTTGGAACTGGATTTTTTTCCTTAGAATAATGTATTTTCATGTGATATCGTTTGACTTAAAAAATAGTTTACAAAAGTAATATGTTAATTATCAAATACTCCAAACCGAGGAAATAGTTTTTATTATTTCCTGTGAAACCTTTTAGCCAAAGAATATATAATTTTTATTTTGTACAGTGCACCCCAACCGTTTATCCAGCCGAACCTTTTGATGTCAATACGGATGCGGCGATCCTTCGTAAGGCAATGAAAGGATTTGGAACGGATGAGAAAGCAATAATTGACGTTCTTACCAAACGTGGAATTGTTCAACGGCTTGAAATTGCTGAAGCTTACAAAACTTTATATGGGAAAGATCTGATCAATGATCTTAAAAGTGAGCTTACTGGGAAGCTTGAAGATGTTATAATTGCCCTTATGACTCCTCTACCGCACTATTATGCCAAAGAGCTACATGACGCTATGTCTGGTTTGGGAACTGATGAAGAGGCAATCGTAGAAATATTGTGCACCCTCAGTAATTATGGAATAAGAACCATTGCTGCTTTCTACGAAAACTGTAAGTACTTTTAAATCACTTTAAATTACAAGTACATAATTTACAATTAAACTATAGATGTGCAATGTTTTATAAAAATATTTTTTTTTAAGCAACGTGAACTAAACATTTGAATTTTTTCATGATCTTCAGATATTACTTGAGTTAAGATAATTATTCAGATGATCACTTAAAATGGTTATTACATTAATTGAAAAAAAGGTGATTTGACATGATCGATCCTAAATTTTGTTGCATGTCCTCCAGAATTAAAATTACAGAACTAAAAAATGAAGGACGGGTAAGGGAGAAGATGACTAGGTTTCTATATTTATGCTCACACATGGTCAGCATGATGTCATCGTTTCTTACGACACAGTCGTGTATTCATTGACGTCGCTGTATGCGTAACGCGGCCGTCGTGTCGGGTAGCCAATATGGTTCCAGCATTCTTTACACATTCGCTTTTGAATGCCACAAATTGCCTTGATGGTTTAACGATGTTATGTGAATTACATTCTCAAGCAGTTCATAATAGGCTGCACTGGATCGTTAATAATTTTATTACAGAAGAGTAGATATGGTAGAGCTACACATGCATTATTTTTCATTCATTTGTAATTAGTCTTTTTCTATTTCCAGTGTACGGAAAAACTCTTGAAAACGATCTGAAAGGAGACACATCGGGGCACTTTAAAAGATTATTAGTTTCTCTTTGCCAAGCTAATCGAGATGAAAATCAAGGCATTGATCATGCACAAGCTGTCACCGATGCGCAAGCCTTATATGAAGCTGGTATGTATTTTTCATTACATTACAATTTACGCAAAATACCTACAAGCATCGTCAATATAATTTTTTGGGAGATAACACATGGGAGAGCAAACTCATTGAAACGGTGAAATTGTGAAAAAGAATAGTCATTTATTATGTTGTTTATTTCTATGCTTTACAGGTGAGAAACAATGGGGAACTGACGAATCGCAATTTAATGCCATCCTGGTCAGTCGCAGTTATCAACAGTTACGCCAAACGTTTATTGAATATGAGAAAATCTCAGGCCATGATATCGAAGTGGCGATTAAAAAGGAATTCTCTGGGAGCGTTGAAAAGGGCCTCCTTGGAATTGGTTAGTCAATAGATATTTATCTACGCACAGAAAAAATCTCGTTTACTTATTTTATGACAAGTAGTTCATCGTTTCCCGTAAAAAAACGGCCATTAATCAATACTGTTTAGTCATTGATTGTTTATATTAAAATATTTGTATTTTACATTATACAGTGAAATGTGTGAAGTCAAAAGTTGGCTTCTTTGCTGAGCGTCTACATGCTAGTATGCATGGCATTGGAACTAAAGATCGCACCCTTATCCGGATTATTGTATCGCGAAGTGAAATTGATCTCGGGGACATTAAAAAGGCATTTGAGGAGCGTTATGGGAAGTCACTAGAGAGCTGGATCGCTGTAAGTTAAACTTTAATGTCCTTATTAATCTTATACCTATTAATAATAAAATAGAGAAGATAATAGTATTGATTAGCGTAATGCCGACAGAATCTCAGAATATTTTGACTAAAAACCATCGTTTTTCCGTTGCAGAGTGATACGTCTGGAGATTACAAAAAAGCATTGCTTTCCCTGGTTTCGACTTAAACTATGTACATGAGTCAGTAAGCATGCATAGTGCTTACTACTTAAGTTTTATTGATAATCCATGTTAAGTAAGCCTACCAGTCGCCTTCAATGGATTTGCCTTAATTGTAGAATAGAAAAACAATGTCGATCAAAGTCAGTGTTACTGCCTGCCATTGGACGTACTTTATTGTTGAAAACAAAAAATTGATTTCAGTGTAATTGGAGAAACATATAAGGTTAAAATATTACTTTAGTTTTAAGTAATAGTCGTGCTCCTAATTGTTGCAAAAGCAACGTTTTAGTTGACGGTGCCTGTTTTAATGTAATTGGAAGCAGACATTTCTACATAATATACAGGAATACAGGTGTTATTGCGTTAAGGAAAATCGCTCCTTGCACTATAAAAGATACTGCTTTTACATAGAACCTTTATTTTTATTTTATACAACAAGATACAAAGACTTTAGCATAAAGATGGCTCTACTTGTTATATTTTTACATCTATATACTGCAATCTATTTTTACACAAGTTTGCTACGAAGAAATATTGCATATATTTTCTACATTACAGAGATGTCTATTTATTATTGTAACATTTTGTTATAAAATTATATTATAAAAGCAATATTCATATTGATGTTTCACGATATTACAACCAATAAAAACAAAACGTGAATGAATTATCTACTAGCAGTTGTTTTATCCAAAAGGTAGAAATTACTTATACTGTCGACTTGCACCTATTTATCAAGAAGTTGTAACTTTACTCACATCTCTAACGCCAGTCGAGATAATCTGGAATTGAAAATGGAATAACATAAAGTAGAAGACATGCAGCGCATTTGAACCTATAATTGGCTCAATACTTTAATTGTTAAATACTTTTAATAAATAAAAGAATTTAATGTTACCTCAAAAACTACAGAAACTTGAGGTAACGTAGAATGTTTTAAAATGTGTGCTGCAAATTTCGTATCTGTTAAACGCACGAGTGTCAGTCGTCTGTGTACAAGATGGGCCAGCAATTGCCCTCCAGCACTACCAAAACATACTTTTCCTTCGTCATCTATTTGAGTGACCAATTCGTTGACAATAATTACCTTTAGAGTAAACCCAATATATTTTTCATATCCTCAATCAATAATGAAAGCCAATGTAATTCCACTCACCGCGACATTGAATTTTGATACTATAGCATGTAACTCGTCTAATATTCGAAAATAAACTTGAGTACGTTGCCAGGAATCCTCGAGGCAACATTGAATAGGATATGATAAACTGTCCAGTATTATAACGCTCACCTGAACAAACGTCGGTATTATATTTTATGTGTTAGTTTTAGGGATAATGAATTATTTCATATACCGGTTTTGGAATAATTTCCTTTGAAGAGGACTTTTTAAAATACATACAAACCTTTGATCCACCCACTAAATCTCTTTTTAAATTAGTAATTGCAGACAATAATTCATTTGGAGTAAAAGGAGAAACGACAGTTATCCCTTTCATCATGTCATCTATGTTCAATCTTTGATCCTTTTGGACACTTTGACACCCAAGAATGAGATCTGTAAAATTACTGTTTAATTATACATTCCGCAGATTTCACTGTAGAAATGGCCTGCATTGGTTTACTATATTATGCATTAAGAAATTATTCTTTTTACATTTTAATGCAGAAGTATTATAAGTACGGGATATCGAACAGACATATTCAAATAACAAATATGATCATGTGTTTTATTTTTTAAATGTACAAGATGAGAGAAAAAATACTTTTTAACATTACTGGTAGAGAAAATCCATTAGTTACATCGGGATAAGTACATGTTCTTATAAAATGACGTTCAGGTTACACTGTAACTTGCACTGTATTCTAGCTCCATTCTTCTTCGTTTTCTACCGGATTTTGTTTCCGCTTTCTATTGTTTCTAAATTTCTTTTCCGTTCCAACATTATTAAATAAATTTGGAACTAATGATTTCCCAGTCATCAAAAGACAATTATAAAGTTGTAACATACTTTCAGAGTGCTGAAGTACTAATGAAATGTAATCCTCAATGTTCTTGCGTTTTTTGAAGTTATTGTATAAATTATACAACAGGGTTCCATTGAATAATTGAGCAGGTTTTGTTTGTTTATAAGGATACCCCAATAATGCATTTAACTGCATGCTATGACGAAGACAGCTTTGAAATTGTGCAAATGCATGAACGATTGTTCGATTGAAAATCTTAGGATTCCTGGATAGATCTGGTGTTATGTTGAAATTAGAAATGAAAAATGATACAATCACATAACAATCTTCGGCTGCAACTTTTTCATATGCTTCTATGATTGTAACATTATTTGAAGAAGATTGCCGAACACCTTCCTTTTTCGTTTTCAATATCGATTCAACCATCGGACCAAACTTTTTGTTAAAATAACTTTCAGATCGGTGAAACCCTATTTTTTCATCCACAATATGAAACAACATACAAAATAATAAAGCATACATGTGAACATATGTACATAATTCACCAAGTCCCTCGTCACACCAATATTTTGCAGTTCCCAAGTACAACTTCCATTTCTCTGGGACGTTATTTAAAATCGTGCTATCCAATATTCCTAAAGTTTCTTCGAGAATTTTCTTTCTCCTGCTCAACGGCAGTTCTCTTAAATTGCTCAATGTAGGACGAATACCTGGAAGTATACGATCACAATATTCCAACTCCTGTATAATGAAGTTTTTTCTCTGGTCCCGAATATAAAGTTTCAGAGAATCTCTTGATTTATTGACATCAGATTTTAGCAGACTATAAATCACAGTAATTAATTTAAAACTAATTGCATTAGCGGATGGATAGCTATAGTCTTCTATCTGGGGTGGGCACATATAGTAATTTCCACCCAGAATATCGATGAAATAAGATGGAAAATTTCCAATAGAAAATTCCTCCTTAAACCATGTTGGTAGTAGTTTAATAAGTCGTTTTTCATAAGCGGTTCCACCATCATCCACTATTTCTTGGTCACTTTGTTTATATTGTACTTGATTGTCTTGCTTATTATGATCATCAAATTCTGGATTGTCTCCTGACATTGTATTCGAAGATGATGGATTTTCAATGTCTCCTTTAAATTCAAATGGTTTCTTAGTTTTTTCTGCTTGTATCTTCAAAATGTTCTCCTTGGAAAATCCTAACGGTATTAACATGCACGGTGATAAGCTGGTATAGCCATCTATAATTTGCCTTATAGCTGTCAATATTCTCTTATGATGACGCTCTTGTAATTTTCTTAATATACCTTCCAATGCAGAGTTTAAAGAATGATTATGTAGCCAGTTAAAAACTGCCTCGATCTTCCGTTGTTGTTCATTTTGAGAACCTGATTTTGGATATTTTATCTGAGACAAGAAATCTTTGAAAAAACTTGAATCTATGTAATCATTTCCCAATAGCGCAGCAGCTACTGGTAACAAGGATTGATGTATTCCATTAAGATGCTTCAAAAGTTTCTCAACTTTATAAATTTTACATTCCATAATGTTCCCTTGTCCTACTGGATTTTTTCGTACATTGTGACGTAAAGAATTGAATGGTATATAAAGGACTCCATAAATGAAAAAATCAGAGTCAAAACTGAGTACCGGACAATTCAATATCTTTGAAATTGCAGCGATATCGTCATCAGCTTCTAATAGAGACTGTGCAAATTTGATACCTTTCTCTTTCATAACATCTTTGAAGACTTCTTTTAGCAGAAGTGGAAAAAACTTGTTGTCGCTGTGGGCGGTATAAGTACCTGCTGTTTCAATTTTTGCAAGTAAGCGCTTCTTTCCAGTATTCCGTTTTTTCAACTCACATCCACCATCGATCAAAACTAAAGGCTTTACTCCGCATTCTAGGAGTTGATCAAAAAATATACCAACTGCACGCGCAAACTTATCATAATCACCCCCAAATGCGCAATTCCCTTTCGTATAGTAAATGTAAATTTGAGATGTGATGGAATTGCCATCGATAACCAAATACGAGTCATGTAAATAAAATGGTTCCATAACCCATTTTGATCGGTTATTGACAAATGTCATTAAACCTGGAATACCCATGTTTCTGACAATCTTATGTGTGCTGTTTTATGAAATACTTTTCACAGTGCATCAACAAATCAATTTTTAATTTTTTAATCAGATAAAACACATCGTCAAATCTGGTTGAACATGATTCCATACAAAATCCAGACAGCTAATCAAGTAATGGTCCTCATCAGTCCTCATCAAGTAAATGATTTATTAGCCAGAAAGCCTCTTGTATTTTTCGTCTGTTAGGTTTGGTTACGTTTTTCTTTCTTAAGCCATGCCGAATTCGCTTTAACGTAGTATACACTACACTGCCCTGCGTATGTATGTAGTATGTATATACCTAACTGGCATCGCTTGAAGTTCCTTCGCCTACTTGAAGTTGCCTTTAAAATCACGTGACCTAACAAGATGACGAGAACAGGTGCTGCGCAGCTGAGGTATAATCCGGAGTCCCACTGAACGCATTGGGTGACACACAGAGCGCGGCGAATGAGGAACCAATCAGAACTGCGCTTAACAGTGCGCGTCACTTCCAACGCAATTCTGATTGGTTGTTCATCGTCGACGCGTGAACGTGCCGCGTTCTGTATGATATTCAATGCATTCGGTGAGACTCCGGCCTATAGAATGTAGCATGACCAAGGTCACCGATGACGCATGAATAGTATGCGACCTGACAAATCTAAATAAAAAAAAACCAGAATGACACAAGAAGTTAGAAATTGTGACAAATATTGTTGGTGTATGTTCTTCTCGTTCATCTACATCCTACAAGAGAGTTTCTAATTGGAATGAGAGGCTGTGGAATTTACAATTTTAAATGTCAAAGTACATACAAGCAATTGAAAGCCGTATATAAACGAATAATTGCAAGTTAAATAAAATTAATGAACTTAACAAAGATGTGTGACGACGCTCACAACTTGTTCTTTTACGCTAATGTATGTCATGTGTGTAAAGCATTTAGCAAAGAATTGCCACTGAAAAGATGTGGCAATTGTAGGATGATAGCCTATTGTGGCGAAGATCATCAAAGACAACATTGGCCGCAACACAAGGAATTATGTAACGTCTTACTGCAGATGTTACAAGAATCTGGAATATCCTGTTTACTTAAGAAAAATCAAGCTCAAAATGCAAAGGAATGGTCACAGATCAAGACAAATCTCATGTTACTAGTGAGCATTAAAATCAATCGTCGGCTGTTACCATATGAAGAACAAATGTTTAAATTTCCTAGATCATGCGTTATCTGTCATGAAAGCGAATCAAAAATCCTAAAAGATTGTCAAGATTGTCCCAGTGGAAGTTACTGTGCAGCGCATAGATACAACACTGTGCATTCGAAGCAATGTACTTCTTTGAAATTATGCTTCGATTTAGATATTGCTACAGCATTGTTCACACGAGAAACTCCAAGACACGTAGTGCCATTTCATACCGAAGTAGCATATCTTCCTAATACTATGAAAGACTTCATAGATTTATATGTTAATGAGAATAAGTCTCTGCCAATGTCTCCTGAATGTCGAACAGCTTATATCTCGGAGTACCTTACACGACCATTAAGTCTATTATATGCAATGGAAAGATTGGAATTTTCAGCTAAAGCAGAAATTACTATACACGTTATTGGTGCAAATATGATAGAAGTTGACGGACTGGAAGTTTGGGAAATCTTGTTACATTGGTTGCCGTCATTGATGGTATTAACAATTGTACTTATTGGTCCAGAGCTTATATGGGATAGTGTGACACCTAACGTATGCGATTGTTGTGCAGTGGAAGACATGAAAATTCACGTTGAAAGTTGCAACATGCTTTATGAAGACTATGTTTCCAGTCAGTGGTTTGAAAAACCTGACTTTATTATTGGTTATAACACAGGCATACACGAATGTGAAGATTTCACTTCGTCAAAGGATACTTGGGTGGCTTCTTTAAGATTACTAGCTGAACAAAATTGTCCTGTTGTATTAACATCATACACATTAGATGAATCACATAAAGAACATGAAAGATTACAAGCCGTTTTAGGAGAAAGTATAGTGCATACATTGTGCCAGTTTAATCCTTTTAGTAGTTTAAGACCTTACAGAGACTATGAAACAGAAGGCGTGTATTATCAAAATCAGTTTATTACAATTTACAAAAAACTAAAAGAATCGTAAAAATGTCTCAAAGCTAACAAACGATTAGAATGAAATTGTGCATTATATGTAATCAAACAAGGCATTTGCCTTTCTTTCTAATAATATTGATTGTAAATTTTTTACAATAGATTTTCTGGATAAAATTCCTACTTGCTCATTCAATATAAATAACATTTTTACTACTAGTTTATAGGAGCCATTCGTAAGCTACACTACATGCAACAAATAGTACTTTGAATTACATATTCAATTTTTTTAAAATATTTTACATATAACGTCAGAATCTCTATCAATGTTTATACTCTACTAATCAGTATTGTAAGTTAAACACTACATGTTAGTGCTATGATGAAATGTACACATAAGAGTGTATTCATTTCATTATGACTTTGCCAAAATTAAAGATATAAAACAATTTACGGTATACAGTTTAATAGGTGTTCGATGTAGAAGAGTAAAAAGAAGAATGGGTGGTATGTTTTTCTCTTGTTGTATACCTTCAAATTATCATCAAATTCCAAAATTATAGAAGATGTAACCGTTTCAGTATTATAAATGTAACGCCAAGGTAAATTTATACAATATAGCAATTTACAATTCCTATACATTGCTGTGTTATAACTTTAGACACAATCAGTATGCAGACTAATAGTGCCTTGTAAATGCAAAAATGCATACCATTTTAATTATCAACGGAAGTACAATTAAGCCAATATCAACATATACATTTTTTGTAATACTAATTCAGATTTGTGCAAATACTCAAGCGTATATCAGGTTAATATTTATTGTGAGTAGAATATCACTCTATTTGGAAAAAATTAAATTATGGATTTATCTGTAAGTTAGATAAGAAAGTTATTCTCTGTTGTTACTTAAAGTATTGTGTATATAATGCTAATTACATTATATTTTAATCTAGATTGATAAGTTACGTACACAAAGCTGACCAGCTTTCAATCATATCAAGTTACATAAAACTGTACACAATGTGTACATGTTTTATACTTCTGTCTACCAATGTTAATACAATTTTGCTATAAAGATATGCATTTCTAAGTACAACAAACATTTTGAAAAATATTCAAAATTTTGAGATCACTTTATTATAAGAATAAAACAGTATTTCTCATGGATGCCAATCCTATTTGCAACAATATGCTGTGATAGATAATGTCACTTCTGATATCATTAAGGATATAAGTTATGATAAATGTTATATTATTATACCATTTAAAAATGTGTTTGAATATTAAGCACTTAGTTTTAAATATTACTTAAATAGTTACATTATTTCGATTATTAAAATGCATAATCCGAAAGTTACTTAGAAGTATTGTTAAATGTCGATGACAAACTTTTTACACATTGTTCAGCAAACTGATTTTTTTAACGATATAAGCTTTTAATTTCACTCCCAAAGATAATATTAACAATTACTATAAATGTTTGTTTTGTATATGTGGATAATAAATTAATTAATTATTGTAATTTTACTAAATTATATTAATATTTACCTTTTAATCTCAAAAGAGATGTCTGATGTCTCGTGTCAAAGTAAAATACCTGACCGTCGAAATTGTTAAGGCAGATATTTAATTGTTCCATGATGCTGATTTGAAAACTAAAATGAGTATGTACAATAATCTTATATTACTTTTCAAATGTTATTACAACTATTACAAATTTGGTGCTGCCAATAGTGGATTACCAAATTTGAGTCTTGCCTGAGCCAGGAGCACCAAATAATTCTGTGATGCTTCCACGTTGAAGCCCACCATCAAAAGTATCATCTAAGATTTTGCAACAAGTTGATATACTTCCAACCTCCATTTCTTTCTAATAACAAAAGTGATAATCTATACAGACATTTTAAAACATACAAATATGACATAGTTGTAATCACTTACTTGCCAAACGTCGAGTGCCGAATGAGTTTGAGGTATTTCTAATGCTTCACGAGACACAAGTGAAGTAACGTACTTTGTCAACTTTTCTAAAAATTTAATATTTTTAAATTACCAAATTGTATTTTCCTATATATAAATTTAAATTATCATTTTAATGACCAGGTGTAGTGATAATATCTTCCATGAATATGTATCTATCTTTAAGCAATCCGGATATCGCAGAATTTGGCAAAGCAAGTGTTGAAATTGGTTGCAGCATTTTATCTGTAACGATATAATTTTTAAGAAATTCGTAGATAATTGACCGCAAAATTGAAATTGAGGCCCGGCCTCGACCAATCCGGGAGCTGGATCGCGGCCAGGGGTCGCGATATATAGGGGTAACTCATTTCTAGCAGAGATGAGTTGCGTCGCCACTGATCGCCACTGAGGGGTAACAGGTGGCAAGTATGTACGTTAGTCGTCCGCACCAACCACCAGGGAACAGCACAGGATTGATCACGCGACCCTGCCCGTGAGTAATCTCCCAACTCATCTCTGTTTGAGGTCATAGACTTATGTACAATACTCCCATCTGGAATTTTCGTGTTCTATGACTGATCGTTCCCGCGCATTTCGTTGCTACGCCACCTACTCTCCGGGAGTCCATCGGATACGAACGTTAAGTTCTTTCGCGAAATTACATTCATTTGATACGTTTAGTATTACAGATTCCTCAAGTTGCCTCCGCTACGAATATTGTAAATTATTTACTCACTTATTCATCGCACAACTAATGACATTTTTACTTTGCAATATAAATGCTACCGTGATTATCAGGAAGTATCGTAAATATTGAAACATCAAATATGGCGTGTTAATATCATTTCAACTTGAATACAAATTTGCAAGGGAAGAACTTAACGATAGTGGCAATAAATAAATGTAAGTAACATGAATGCTGAGTGTGAAAATCTCGCCATCGTGCGCTGCTGGGTTTTCGCATACAGCTACGTTCACGGAGTAACTTTGATACAATCGATTTCCGTGTAGCGCTGACGGTCATATCATTGACGCGACGACGTTTCAAACCGTGAGAGCGTTTTCGCTTTTCTAAGTCGGGTGTCGTGCCTTTTTGCAGCAAGTAACTGGAAATCAGCAAAATGGGAGGCGAGGAAGGATTAGGAGTGACCACCGGTCAGCCCAATCTTTACAAGCAAGATCTATCGAAATTGGTACGTTCCCAGACCATACTAAAAATTTATTCTTGCATCCAAACTTGCATCATTCGATTCCTTTAGTAACGCCTAACCTCAAATTTCATAGCATCTGTTGAGTTTCATAGCATACATGCGTGCTATACCACGCGTATAATTTTTTTTTACCACGTAAAAATTTGTATTACTTTTTTAATTATATGTATATGTAAAAATGTACCTTTTACCTAAAGAAGTGCATGTATATTATCTTATGCAGATTGTTAGGCTCAATTGGATAAAACGACATATTCGGAAGTCTTATAGAAATGCTTCATCGGAAAAACTTTGTTAATGCATTTAAAATACTATATTATTTTTTAAATTCTGGTTTAGGTATATTTCATGAATTTATTAAATCCTCTTTGAATTTCCAGGATGTTAGCAAACTTACGGCACTGTCTCGGGAAGTAATTAGCAGACAAGCAACTATTAATATTGGTAATTACTAATCATTCGTTTTAATTCTATAATAATTACTATTATATTTTATAATCACAAAATAAGTGAATCTTAGTACACTTTAAGTGTAAGTATTGTCTGAACTAGATTGTAAATGCATAATATGTTGCGTTATATCTGAAATTCATATTAAAAATAAAATGACACCATGATTATATATTTTTGTGTTTTATAGGAACAATTGGCCATGTGGCGCATGGGAAGTCCACTATCGTGAAAGCAATTTCTGGAGTTCAAACGGTTCGTTTTAAAAATGAACTAGAAAGGAACATTACCATTAAACTTGGTAAGTTACAGTTTAATTTGTTTTATCCTACAATAATATGCAAAGAAATGATCTTTCACGTTTATATATTAAGAAAACATAATATACACAGTTTTTTTTTGTAGAATTTTTGCTTTTTAATTTCTATAAGAACTGATAAAATAAGACTAAGTTTGTTGAACTAGAATGATGTGACGTTTCCTGATTATTTTGTAAAAGTTAAAGCTATGAAAAGGATTGATTTAATGAATAGTGCATGGATCTAGTGGAGTACAGCACAAATTATTTTTTAATGTTGAAACAAGTGATAAAAGCTACAATTCATGGTGTATAAATATTTTAGTAAGGAAACAAGATTCTTTTTATATTTATCATTTTTATCCTGGAAACATTTACCAAATTAATCTAGAGGGCTTTATAAACCACATATAATCATGGATTTGGGTGTGCTTTTGAATGACACATGAGTGACATTCAGACATGGATCCTGAAATGTTAATGCATTTAATATTTCAGTATAATAATTAGGCATGAATACAAAATTAATATATAACAGATGCATGTTTTCTCTTAAGTTTGTCAGTAACATTATGATCACATCGTTCGATATGATTCAATGTCTCTTAGACATTGGTAGAAATTTTGCACTTTCAGCAGATTATATAAAGGTAGTACAGTGCACTTTGTTTATATATAACATTATACGCGTAAAATCAATAGCTTTAAGTTAACAAAGAGAGAGAATATTTTTCTTATTATTTGGTTAATAAAGGAGTACAAAAGTTTTTTATTTTCTGAGATACTTGAAATTCTAAATAAATTAGAATCTATATTTCAATCAGAACATTCATATACATTTTATTAAGGTACTACTTTTAATTGATGTGAATGTGAAAATGTAAACATATTACAGATAGTTTGAAAAGCAGTGTCTTATAATTTCTAGTAGGTAGTGAGCAGTATATTGCTGTGTGACTAGAAATAGTAATTTAAACAAAAAATATTTTAAATCACCAACATTAAATAAGTGCTCATTTGTAATTGAAATGCTAAATTTAGAATTAAGTAGGAAAGTGTATTAAATAAAAGATATATTGCAAAGGTGTCAAAGTCAATGCATCAGTCTTTGATTAATATAATGGCTCCAAGATATACACATCGCCTTCTTCTCTACACCTTGGAAATAATACACATGGCAAATCGTAATATTAAACATCCCCAGACAAAAATCCGAAACAGGAAGAAGGAAGAGGAATAATCGCAAACTTGAATCAGAAATGTGAACTTAAACTAAAGTGACGGAAAAAAGCGGATAAATAAAGACTAAGTGGATAAAATGCAAGAGACGGATGTGAGTCGAGAAAATGACGCCGTTTAAATGTTTGGCATTACAGAGGCTCGTGCAGCGGAGAGTAGCAGTGGGGAAATTGCTGAAGTTCCTGGCGATACACACAAACTGCCTTTCAACTGTCAAAAGAGGTCCATTTCGCCTGGGGGTACCGAACCACCTGCCAAGCAACGGAGACTCAATTACAGTATGTCTTCGTCTGAAGATACAGAAGACAAACAATTGGAGAAGCCTGTCAATGTTTCCACAACTTTAAGATCTATGAAGAGTTCGAATGTATTGCCTATGATAGCGGACTCGTGCAAAGAAGTAGAGAAACGAGAAAGTGTTATATCTCCTGCAAAAAATTGCCTCTTTGAGGCAACAAAGAATGCTGTAACATGTGAGCTAGTTAATGGACATTCGTTATATGTATCCAATGACAACAATGATGACCCAAATTTGAAACAGAAAATACTTCAACGGTCAATTAATAGTAGACCACAATTTAAAACTCTAGTACTGAAAGAAGTGAGAATAGAATTAGATGACATAAGTGATTTAGCAGCTAAAAAGGTTAGTCGTAAGACGGAAACGAAAAGGAAAGATGTATACGAGGTCGAAAAGATATTAGGGAAGAAATATCAGAACGGAACTGCATTGTATCTCATCAAGTGGAAGAACTGGAATGCAGAGAGTAATACCTGGGAGCCATTGGAAAACCTTGTAAACTGCTCCGAGTTGTTGGAAGAATTTGAGAACGACAGGATAAAACTGTTGGACAAGTTTAAAAGCAAGATGAACTTTTATCCTACCATAAAGGAGGTTGAACGGTTCATGAAGAATCTGATGACCAATGGTTATACAGATTGTACGGATCCTGACGAAGATGTACTTTACAGGAACCTTAGGAATTTCTTCAAGCAGAAGTATAACAGTTCTAGTCCACTCGGAACGAAGATAAAGAATAATATACTTCAGACACTGTTGTGCAGCTTGAGAAAAGAACAGTTGGAGTCTCTGCAAGAGTGGGAAAATGAAATGAACAGCATAACGGCTGGGAAACCGTTCATTAAAGTTGAAAACTTTGTGGATTTGGAGAGTGCTCCTCAAGATTTCTACTACATAGATGACTATTTGCCAGGTGCAGGTGTAATAATACCGGAAGAGCCACCGATAGGCTGCCATTGTGAAAATTGCGACTCAAAAGGGAACGACAATTGTTGCTTTACCCAGTGCAACGGCAGATTGCCTTATTCTACGGCATGTAGGATTCGAGTGCCTCCGGGAACTCCCATTTACGAGTGCAACAAGCAGTGCATGTGTTCGGACGACTGTCAAAACCGAGTAGTACAGCGAGGGACCTCTGCGAAGCTTTGCGTGTTTAGAACATCTAATGGCAGAGGGTGGGGTGTCAAGACTTTGAACACGATCAAGAAGGGAACATTCGTGACTCAATACGTCGGCGAAGTGATAACGAGTGAAGAGGCGGAAAAAAGGGGAGCGGAATACGATGCCGCAGGAAGAACGTATTTATTCGATTTGGATTATAACGAGACGGAAGGGCAATGCCCGTACACCGTCGACGCGGCCATGTACGGAAACATTTCCCATTTTATCAATCACTCTTGCGACCCGAATCTGGCAGTTTACGCAGTGTGGATCAACTGTCTGGATCCGAATCTACCTAAACTCGCTTTATTCGCCACTAAAGATATTAAACAAAATGAGGAAATCACCTTCGATTACATGTGCCAGTCCTCTAGGATCTATGAAAAGAAGATTAGAGAACACGGTGACTCGTTTGACGGTGTAATTAACGGTAGCGTTACTTCGGAAGCCCGACAGAGATTGGAGCTACCATTGGAAACGAAGCGCACGTCCATGGATAATCGAACCCGATGCAAGTGCGGAGCGAATACTTGTAGACAATATCTCTTCTAGAAGAATGACTGTATATGTAGACAGACGAACGCAGTAATATTTTTATAATTATAACTTGGCAAGATAGTAGGTACATTCATTTTCTGGGATAGAGCGAAGGGAAATCAGTTGAGAACTAGATTGTCTTCAGCCTCTATGCTGCTGGCAAATTATCCCCGCTGTTGTTGTAGCTCTTTAAGTCATCGACCTGATTAATTGGTCAGTCCTTTCGGTAACACTGCCAAGCGTTTCCGTTAATGAAGTTCTTAATTTAGAAATATATGCAATCGGAGTGATTTATCGTTTTAATATGTTTACAAATTGCCAGACGTATATGATGTAGCATAGTGTTTACAATGTATTGTACAAAACTTTGGAAAGTCAGTCATAAAGTTATCCAAGTAAAGTTTCTGTTAACTGAGCTCCAGTTTTCTAATGTTGTTTGAGATGGTCTTTAATAATATACGATCAACGATTAAGATTTGTTTATAGATTGAATATAAAGAGAAGCTTGTCGTTCATTTTTTTTTTATTACTGTACACTGTTAAAAGACCAATGTTTTATGCATCGTTGAATCCGCATATACGCGTAACGACAGCTTAGTCGAATTTTCATTGTCAATTATTATTTCACATACAATACTTTTTCATGAATTATATTAAAGGATATTTTAAATATTTTCGACTAGTAGAATGAAGTCTTCTTAATGTAATTGATTACTGTTTTCCTCTTATAGTGTAGAAGTCGTGCATAAATTTCACGATAACTGTTTAATTTGAATGTACTGTATTTATTATCATCATCATCATCATCATCATCATCATCATCATCATCATCATCATCATCATCATCATCATCATCATCATCATCATCATCATCATCATCATCATTATTATTATTATATGATGATAGAGAATATTATTACGTTATTAAGAAATTGAAGATACTAAATCCATTACTTATTAATTCTATAGATAGTATTACATATTGCTCTTACCTAGAAGCAATGTATTTATTGTTGGAGTGCATAATGAATTAGATTGTACTAAATGCGACTTCTATATAAATTGATTTTCGTTTATTAATAGACAGCAAGCCGAGCAGGTAACACGATTTCGGGTGTCCGTTGTTAGATGGTACACATTGTTGTATAAGCAATTATACTCTACCATTTAACATGTACATTTTTTAACGTTATTTTGTAAAGTAAGGGCAATAAGTTTTACAGTATACTGTACATTTAATTTCTCTATATATCAATTATATTATTTGAACTTATTATCAACTTAATAATTGTACCTCTGGGAATAAAAAAGATAATAAGCGAAGAAAAACGTATTGAAAGTAAAAGAAAAACTATTAAAATCTGACGACGGCATGGCAAGGTATAATGTAGGCAGCATTCACATCATGTATCCTAAACTTTGTGAGGCGGTTACTATGTCAATGACTAGATAGCTAATGGAAAATTCCACAATAAATTTTTAAACGTGATTATAATGCATTCGGTGTCCTCTTACACTATAATTTTATTTCAGGGTATGCGAACGCCAAGATTTATAAATGTGACAACGAGAAGTGTCCACGACCAGCATGTTATATTTCCGGAGGTTCCAGTAAAGATGACTCTTTTCCATGTCTTCGAGCAACCTGTCCGGGACGCTTCCAATTAGTTCGTCATGTGTCCTTTGTCGACTGTCCTGGGCACGACATTCTTATGGCAACAATGCTTAACGGTGCAGCTGTGATGGATGCTGCTTTGCTTTTGATCGGTATACACTTTTTATAAGTTTTCATTTACGTCGGTGCTTCCAATAATTTGTAACCTAAAAGAGAATGAGATTACCATATGTTGGAAAAATGTCGCGTTTAGTGTGTAACCTATAAAACATTAACCTGAAACCTGTCTTTTATTTAGCCGGAAACGAATCGTGCCCTCAACCACAAACTTCGGAGCATCTGGCTGCCATTGAGATTATGAAATTGAAACATATCGTGATCTTGCAGAATAAAATCGATTTAGTAAAGGAGGGGCAAGCGAAGGAACAATATGAGCAGATTTTAAAGTTTGTTCAAGGTGAGTACTACTTGCTTTTTTATTTGTCACTTGGTTCTGTAGCCTTTCTTGTTAGTTTTATACCTTATCCAAAAGCATACATATATATGTGTACTATGCAGTTATGCTTCCAGTTTTGTGCATTACATAATTATCGTTAATAATGCAATATTCGTCAACAGGTACCGTAGCCGAGGGAGCTCCAGTAATTCCCATTTCCGCACAATTGAAGTATAATATAGAAGTTTTATGCGAGTACATTACAAAGAAGATACCAGTGCCATTGAGAGATTTCACTTCGGAACCTCGCTTGATCGTTATTCGTTCTTTCGACGTTAATAAACCTGGGTGCGAAGTCGACGATCTTAAAGGTGGCGTTGCTGGTGGTAGCATTCTTAAAGGAGTATTAAAGGTACTCGTTATTTACAATAAGTGTGGTACTTTTTTATCTGTCCACTTAATGTTTTATAATCCTTTAACGTGCCTGAAATTGTCCAGGTTGGGATGGAAATAGAGGTGCGCCCTGGACTAGTGTCCAAGGATAGCGAAGGAAAATTAACCTGCCGGCCCATTTTCTCCCGCATAGTTTCTTTGTTCGCCGAACAAAACGAGTTGCAATTTGCTGTCCCTGGTGGACTCATAGGTAAGTTAGATTATTGTCTGCCTTCCTTTACACGATTTTAACTCAGAAAATAGTCAAAGGAGAACTTCATCGATATTGTCAAATTTAAGCGAACAAATATTTGGTGTAATTTCAGGTGTAGGCACGAAAATCGAACCTACCCTTTGTCGTGCCGACAGATTGGTCGGTCAGATATTGGGAGCCGTAGGAGCATTGCCCAAGATTTTTATTGAACTTGAAATATCGTATTATCTTCTGAAACGCTTGCTAGGAGTAAGAACCGAAGGCGATAGGAAAGGTGCTAAGGTGAGTTTTCTTGTTCTCTTGTTAAATATCTATACCGATAAAGAGAGTATATCTATTTTATAAAATGCTAGATATAAAATTAACCAACATTTTTTTTTTTAAACAGGTTCCCAAGTTGACTCGGGGTGAAGTATTATTGGTGAATATTGGTTCGCTGAGTACGGGAGGCCGTGTCTTAGCTACACGTGCTGATCTTGCTAAAATTAGTTTGACAAATCCCGTTTGTACAGAAATAGACGAGAAAATAGCGTTATCACGTCGAATTGAAAAGCATTGGCGTTTGATCGGGTGGGGGCAAATACGCGGAGGGGAAACTATTGAACCGGTTTTAGATCGGAAGTAGTCGGAATCGTGCACTAAACTAATTAATTGTGGTCAAGACTTGAATTAATTCCTGCAAGTCTTTGAAATTACATTTCAAACATTGTGGTGTATGAAATGTTTATAATAAAACTCTTAATTTGTACGAACTTAGTTTTATTTGATATCTATGGTTGAGTTTAAGACTTCTGAATTTAATATGTAATGGGTCTCTGCCAGTTTTTTACCATGGCTCGGGTAAGGCTAGAAGGAACCATTGTTCGTAAAGTCAAAATAATTAAGTTTGAGGATGAAATATTACGGATGCGTTTCTGTGTATGAAAAGGTAAGTACACGAAAAAATGGAATATTTATGGAGAATTTTGTATTTCGGTTAAAACAATTGTTCAATGATAAGACAACATTAATGAACAATTATAATATTACTTGGCAACTAATATCGCATATTTTTTTTAGTTTGAAAACTATAATAACACGAGGGTACGATTTTTACAAATAATGTATGTAATGCTAATAAACAACAGTAACGATTATTGCACATTGTCCCATTTATCACCAATCGACATTGACAACTACGGAGGATTATGAAGAATATCATATGTAGATCTTATAAGAGACATTTTCAAAATTGCTACAGTATGCGGTACTGATGATGTTTTACTCCCTAATATTGTAATACTGCATGGCGCTAATAGGATCATTACATACTACAAGTAGTACATATCGGAGGAAAACAAATGTGTACATTACTTATAATAATTAAATTAACTTAATAATCAGTCTGAAGAAAAAGTTTTAAAAATATAATTTAAGTCATAAATAATTCACAATTAATAAGAGGAACCTAGGAATGCAAATATTTTACAGTTGACTTAACTGTCAACATAATTTCAATGTTAAACCTGATGTACAATATGGCCAGCCTAATAACTTCAATGAATAAGTGAAAAATTAACTACATTGATACAAACCCTGCTCACTTTGTTTTCAACAATCTTAAATACTGCAATAGATTTAGTTTTTCTTGCCTTCTACACTATTAACACCTTACTGAATATTTAATGTTGTAATTATCAGATAGAGATATGACTTACAAAAAATCTTCAGTCGACGTGACCGTTGCTTCTACGAGTAAGCCAAAATCTAATTCGGCAAGGCTAGCTGCAAATAAAAAAAATAAAGGTTAATATACATTATTTTTAAATGGAAAAGTGAGTTATGTTAACAAAAATATACACACCTTTTGCAGTCAGTAAATCAAGGAATGTATCCAATGGGGAAAGCCGATCTGCTGAAGGAAAAGCTGCTAAACCTGAAAAAAATCAAATACATAATTTTGTTATAATGTCTAATGAACTAATTTAATATTGAGAAGCATAATACATACCGCTGTGGTGCACTCGTTGCTGAGAGGTTCTTCCACGATTTTGACAAATCTCACCTGACAAAATATTTGCAGCATGTTCGCGTGCACGAATCATAAAACTAACTGGATGTAACCATTGGTTCAACAATCTTTTTCCTCGAGACCTTGGCAAAAGTGATAATATTTGCAATTTCCGGATGACATCATCTTTTGTATCGCTAAGATCTGTTGAAGGGTATAAGCGATAGTACACACAATGTCAATTATCGATCATTTTCATCCCATACATGAAAATATACTCACCGGCAAATATAACCTTAGTGACGTCAACTTGTAATTCAAATACCGACCGCTGAACGTACTGTAAGAACATTGAATAATTCAAAGTACGGTATCCTAGGTATGTAAAAAATGAAGTAAATCCCTGTGGTACTGGAAATGCACACTTTTCTGTAGCATATCGGTATCTTTCGAGAAGAGTAAATAACAACCATTTCCGCTGACCATCCAGTTGATCTCTGAAAGAAAAATAATACTGTCACAATGTTACGTATCACACATATGTTCATATATATATAAGAACTATAAATAAAATAATTTAACGAAACAATATCCCTTTCTTATGTATGATATATTAATGCAATAACCTTACATGAGAATAAAGCCACGGTCTTGTTCTACTTGGGGGTCCACATTTGCAGCTTTACAAAGCATGTTACACAAGAAACGTGAAGTTTCCAACTGTGTCGTTACATGTCTGGTAGCCATTGCGTGAACGTGCAATGGTGTACAACTTCCTTGAAGACTTGTCCTTGAATTTCGCGTGCCATGCTTCAAAAGGAATAGCGATAATTCACGTAGATTCACGGAAACAATGTGTTCTTGTTTGGATGCCGTGCAACTTTCCATCTCAATAAAGGGTAAGCTCGAGTCCATGCTTTTGTTGTTACGGTTATTGAAGGCATCGGCTAGAGTAGCACTCGTTACAAGTCTGCAATATTACAGAACAATAAAGCCATGAAACGCGATTGCGGTCTTATGATCGTACTCAGCAAAGATTTACCCTCCACTGGGTGACATCGGGGTGCTGGATCTCGATAAAGCTTCCGGTTGGTAACACGCCAAGGACATTATTAATTTTTCCGCTACTTGACTAGGCTTAAACCTTGGTTGATCTGCTCCTCGTCTGTTCAATTGATCCCAAAGTTTGGTCCAGAGATCACTACGATAAGGTACTAACCTTTGTTGCGGAGATAGTAACATAACCGATGTATTCCACAGTTTTTCATGACTTAAGGTCACGGTTAGATCATTAACTTTAACTTCAAAATTCTTGCACTGTTCCATTGTTGTCACTGGTAAAAGTGAAAGTAACGGAAGGGCATCGTGCATCAAGTTCTTCTGTATAGAAGCATATGAGCCACCCACGAGAATTTCTTGCATGAGTGCAGCAATGTTTAAGGAAAGTGGCTTCTCTGCCACAATGGAGATCAGTTCTGCCACAAGTTCAGGTTCATTTTTGTGGCAAAGGAAATAGTGTAGAATACTCACTCTTACATCCACCGATGTTTCCTTCCGAAAAATATCAAGAAGGAATTCGGAAGAGATTGTTAATGGTACGATATCTAAAGTAGGAAGGTCTATTGTTGTAATATTGAATCCAATTGTTGAAATATTATTATTTCCTTCTAGCGTGGACGTGACGTTATTTTCAGTTCTTTTAGAATAATTGCGATATGTATCTGCATATTTACGGGTTTCTTTATTTGTTGCACCAACATCTAATAGCGGCACTAGGTAAGAAGAACGAGTAGGCACCGATGTGAAAGGTCCACAAAGAATATGACAACAAGGCCCATGGTTAACACCAATTTCTAGAATGTGCGTAAACGATCCTTGAACGAACACTATCATATGTTGGTCCTCGTATATTGCAAAGGTTGGTCTCATAAGCTTTGCTCTTGACCATGGTATTCCAGGTACGACACAGTGAATTACACAACTATGGTGCAGCAAAGTTACGGAATATGCAAAATGTACTGTATTGGAGTCATTAAGAGTAGAATCAAATGTGCCTTGTGGTGGTTTTACGGGACAATATAAATAATGATGGCATACGCAGACCATTCCCTTAGAGTCTGAAATTACTATTAAGTCAAGGGAGCAGTCATGAACCCTCAATGGTATAACATCGTCTTCGTAAGTTCCACAATTACCAGAGCTTGATACCTCTGGTAGATTTAATGGAATGTTTAACTAAAATCATTAAAATAGTTATAGAACTATTCAAAATATTATAGTAAGACTTTATTTATAATTTCATTTTAATAAGGTTCTCTATTTTAATGTGTAGATATAACTTACAACTGTCTCATGAGGGAGATCATCATGAAACTGTAGACCACTAAGAGTTGGGCAAGATTTTGTAGTTTTTGAACGGCTTTCATCAATATCCTCAGTGACTAGACTTGTTGGAGCTCTTCGATGATGTATATGGTATAAAACTTGATTTGTAGCATCCCATTGCGCCCACATAAATGTCCTTACTAATGATTCTGATTTTATTTCTTTTACTGGTTTGATGTCAGAATCAGAGACATTAAACATCGTTGTATGTAACGTTACACCTGCAATAAAACAAATTTTTACAAATTATCTGTAAGATCTTATTATAAAAAAATGTACCATGGGCATAGACTGTTACTTGTATATAAATTATGTAAAGAAAATAGTATACCGCCTACTTACATTCCTCATGAATAAGCACTAAAAACTTTTCTAGTTCAGCGTGCTTTCTCTGTCTGTATAAAAACTGTATTCGTACTTGTTTACTTCTTTCTACCTCCAAGGAATGTATTTTAGTTTCTGGCAATTTTAGTTCAATCAGGTAAGCTCGATATACTTCAATATCAGTAGAAGCATTATTCTCTTTAGCATTATTAGTATTTACTTCGGTAACGGTAGTTTCAGAAGTATTACATATGTCCTTATCATTTTGTACATCATTACTTTGGCAAACTTTTTCTTTTACAACATAGCCAAGTAAAGATTGACTTTGATTAACTGTAGCTTGCACAACATTTAGTGTGTTAGGAAATCGATGGAGTACCTAATAACAAATGTGAACAATTTGGCTTTGTTTCATATAGCTATTTTTCTGCAGAAATAGTCTGGCATAATAATGTATGCAAGAAAGTACCTGTAATCCGTCATTACTACGGTTGTAATGACCTATCACAGAATAAAATTGTACAGTGTGTGTGTCTTCTTTTAATGAATTTCCTTCTATCCATCCAAGTAATAAAGATCCATCTTTTTCTTGTCCTAGTAACTTCCATTGTTCCGCTATTTAAAAATAAGACCGTCCAATTAACATATATGCTTAAGGCTAATAAGTAACAAATTGTAATGAAAATTATTAACATTAATGTTAATTTTACATGACACCTTATTTTTCTTTAAATTCATAGCATTTATTCTTGCCAAAGCTAAGTATAAACATTGTCAAAACAGCTGTTATTTGCCGATCGTTTCCCTATTTCCGTTATCACTTTACAATTGTTTTTTAAATATAAAAGTAACTTTATGACTTGCCAGTTTCATTGTATCTACATGTGTATTTAAACAAACCGGTCTAACCAACCTTTTACAGACTGTTGCTGCAATAATAAATACAGCTTGACAGCCAGATTGTCCGCCATAGCTTCCTCGTGCCGTTTGACAATTACAGGTTTAACAACATCATTCCAGAGGATAAAAGCGGATAAGAGATTGGCAAAATTGACTGAAAACGTTATCCATAATCCTGACAAAATATCAATTATATCAGGATAACTCTTTTCAAGCTCCAAATAATTCTTTCCAGTTTACTTGAGGCATAAACTAAGCGAGTGGGAAGTTTACTACAGTTTACTAGAGATGAGTTGAGAGATTGCTCACGGGCAGGGTCGTGCTATCGCTCCTGTGCTGCCCTCTGGTGGTTTGTGCAGGTCGCTAACGTAACGTAATACCGTCATTTTTCACATTTTCGCTAAATTTGCTTTACGTAATGGACTCTCAGGTCGCGTCGCGGGACCCTGCCCGTAATCAATCTCCCAACTCATCTCTGATTTTACTATGCATTTTACTTCTCTGATTCTGCACCATGGACAAGAACATAAGCCAATCGGACCGTGTGTCGGTGTCGCTACAATAAAGACGCTGTCTCTACGTGTCATTTTTTGAAACAGGCCTTTACTTGGTGAATTTCACTGCATCGCGCTGCACCGTGCGCAGTCTGGCGCAGACGCAGATGGTCAAATGTGTCAAGTAGTGCAGTGTCAGACGTGAGATTGCGGTTATCGTTTTTATCGTTGTTCTTGGTGGGTGGTTCATTCTGTTGTGAATCGAAATAATGGCGGATACGACGGTAGACGCCACGAGGCGTCTAAACGTCAAAAAGCAGACACTGGACGACGCTTACGCCGCGCCAGCCAATTTCCTCGAGATCGACGTAATGAATCCAATGACGCACGGCGTCGGTAAGAAGCGGTATACCGACTATGAAGTTCGCATGAGGGTAGGTTGTATCATTTATTCTGGACCCTTCTTCCGAAAGTTTTCGGTACAATGGCTTGAACTTCCACCGGGGGCAGAAATTGTTTTTTTTCTCTATTAATTTTCAAATCAGAGCCCCACCTTTGCGAGGTTCGATTCGAGTACCGGCCGATTTTCGAATGAGCCCTCTGTGAGCATTTCGTTGAGCTCGGTATAGTAACTGTTACTTGTTGAATTACATTTCTCCTTGCGTTTATCAAATCTTACCGGTAATGGAATTCACAACGTTTGCGCTCGTTGGACTTAGTGAGAATCGGCCATTTATGGATGCTGGAATGCAGTTTTAATCGAAGGTTTCCCCATGGTAAGAACCATATTGGACTAGCAGGGTTGAGTGCACCGATTTGTGTTAAGTTGTACCCCTGTCATAGTATTTGGCTTAACAGGTGTTTATGTATTTTCTACATTGTTTTATTTAGATGTGTCAAGATCAATCGTAATCCACGTGCGATCTTTAATCATCGAAGAATAGTAGCATCAAGGTAACTCGGTATAATACCGTTCGTTTAAGTGAAAGGTGCTGAATTCCTTAGAGAGAAGGCTTACACGCATTATATAATTTTGGTGCTTTTCCATTGCATGTTGATAGATTAAGGACATCTTTAAGGTTTCACGATGCCACAAAAAATACCATTTTCCTTATTTAAGGTTTCAATTAGAATTATATGTTGTACTAGCGATGTATCTGTAACAAACACATTGATTTCTGGACTAAACGGCATCAGTATTATTTGCATGTTTATTAATTGTATTGCCAAAAGATGACAAGCCATTGATGACTCTGAACATTTAAATTTATGATATTCTATGTGAGTGCAACTGCTGATGTACACATATTTGTATATATACTTTGCAGACTAACTTACCCGTATTCAAAGTGAAGGAATCCAGTGTTCGGAGAAGATATAGTGACTTTGAATGGTTAAGGAATGAGTTGGAGAGAGATAGCAAGGTATATTTTAATTTTCAAAGAAAACATTGACATCGATTGAATATGTCAAGAAAATTATTTCTGTAAATAAATGTGCAGTTGATTTTGTTTTAATTAGATTTTTAAGCAATGTGTTATAAAGATGACATTTTATGTTACATGTTCAGATTGTGGTACCTCCCCTACCAGGCAAAGCATGGAAACGTCAAATGCCCTTTCGAAGTGATGATGGAATTTTTGAGGAAGACTTTATTGAAGATCGAAGAAAGGGCTTAGAAGTCTTTGTGAACAAGTATGCATTACAGATATAAATTATATCGATCAGCTTCAGTTATATAATTTACCGAAAATGTTCTCCTGATATTTAATGGTGTTAATAAATAATATGTATTATGTTCCACAGAATAGCTGGGCATCCTCTGGCACAAAATGAGCGATGTCTGCATATGTTTTTACAGGAGTCCATTATAGATAAAAATTACGTACCAGGAAAAATACGAAATACGTAGGCTCGATCAACAACCTTATTAAGCGTACGTTTGAGTAATTCATCCTCTGCGTACTTGTTCTTTGATATGGACATTGATGGCATAGAGAGTGAAGAGTTAAACTGACAACTGGCATATTTTTATTGGCATTGGCCATAGGCCCTGTAATGCTACGATATCGGATTAGCGTATAATTATCGATGTAATGATTATCATTAATTATTATACTTAAAATGAAAAAGAAGAGAAGCGCGAGATGAAATATTGTGATAAAGAGATAGGAGCGCCATGCAAAGGAATTCAATATACCAGGTATGCCGATTTGTGCCATTCTTTCTAAACAACGTTTGCGAGTGCTGCGGAAGTGTAGATAAATTCTAATAAATTCCGAACTGACGATCCACAGACACATTATTTCTCATCCAATTTGCAATGTGTCTATCTCGTTTCAAGTTTCCTTCGCACTGTTAGTATGCCTCAAAAAGATCACTTTTTTTGTATGGTGTATAAAGATTAGGGTAGGCTTCTGTAATTCAGAATTTTGTAATTACATCAGGACGATAGACGGTTTATCTCACTATACTTATAAAGAGATGCTGTGAGGATATCAAAATAGGAATGTATTAATGAAAGAGAGAATGAAAATAAAAAGCATGTATGTAGTGGTATTGGTGAAAGATGCAGGGTCGACGTTTCATTTTACGAAACGTGATATTGTTTAAGGTGGCTCCTTTCGTGCAGTGAGTGTGTGTGGGGAATATCTTGTGCATATACACGCCACCTGGTTGAACAATGAATCACTTGTGAACAGGTGAACCAAGACAAGTATATACTTTACCAATCAATTCATTCTACTTTACCCATTTAAGTAAGACAGAAAAATTGCTAGGATTGATCGAAATATTTTTTATAATTATCCAATTTAAATTCACCGCAGCAATTGATTGTATGAGCGTTCACTCAATTAGCACAATTTACTGTATAATGTTATATATTGCATAAGTAAAGAGCTACATGTATATTTTAGAGTAATTTAAGCCTCTTGCTCACCATGTCTGTAGGAATCAGTTTGATGATTAGTTACAAGATCGAGGTGGAAGTCTACAGGTGGGCTGCTGATCTGTAATAAATCAAAGGCAATATTGTACAATTTTCTCATAAGAAATTAATTAATTTTTAATTTTATGAGAAAACTGCACAAGTAGGTTCTGTTTATTAATAATTATACTCAAGTGAAGTGAGCAGCAGACATAAAGCAAGCATGACTATACGTCTTACTTTCTGTTAGCATGAATGTATAAGTTATAGGCATTCAGATTGGACCGATGTAGAATAGAAAGCAATCTTTATAAATGTCACGAGCCCATGAAATGCAATTCAAATACAGTAAAATCTATGTATACCTGAAATCCGTAATATTATATTCATTAGCATAAGGTCGGACTTATGTACCTTCAGTGTTCTGATATTCATGTATTACGATAACGTTCATGCATACATTTACTTACCCCAACACGGTCCTATTTGTTGTTAATAATCCTGTATATTTAATGAATAATTTGTATATTCTGTTTTGAGATCTGTCAGCAATGTCTGAATCAATTTATATGTAATATCATATTATCTTATGCGTGGATGTTATTGCATCGCGATATTTCTAAGTGTAATAAATGAAGTATTAGTACCGTAATTATTCGTGTACGTTAATCTTGCTTTAAATATACTTCTAAAAAAGATGTGTCACCAGTAAATAAAAAATCAGCCATTGAATTGGTATGACAAATTTTATTAGCCATTTTATAACTGTTCATTGACTTATGATACATAATTATTCCATCTACCGTAACATGTGTTTCTTATTCTAATCACAAATGTTACTAACAGAAATTTTTGAATTTCTTAAAAATTCTTATAAAAGATAAATATAAATGTTGTTTGCGATCCAACAGCCGGTAACATCATTGCAATTACAAGTAAAACTGGCAACGACAGTTTAATAATTCATCAAACGGGACCTTAACGGTTTTGTGAATCACATTTACATTATTTTATAAACGGTAAATATGACACGCAATAAAAAATACTTGTACAAATTAAAGAGTAAAATATGAATATTCAAAGTATACTTTGGTAGAAGTACATTAACTGAGGATGAGAAATTATGCACTGATTTAATGGCAAAGTTCATTCAAGGCTACTTCTATCGTCTACTTTCTTCCCCCAAAGTAACACCTTTCTCAATTTGAAAAATAATTAAGAAAGGGTAGCAGACGCATTCAAGACTACATAAGGTCACATCGAAAGGAATTTATTTAATTTTTAACAAATTTTACCGACAGTTTTGCAAACTATCCAAATTAATCCGTGCTTTTGGCACTCGCTCCATCTTACTACATTATACATTTTAAAACAAAATCACAAATAAACAATTATATCGGTTGATTCCTGCTCAATCCTCGTTGCACGCTACAGCAAGAGCTACCATTCAAGGGATATTTTCATAAAAATATGCATTGCGTAGCTGATGTACATATGTATATATGATGTGTGTATTTGTGTGTGTGTGTGTATATATATATATATTGAGTAACACTATCACAAAATTATAGGAATAAAATATTCAGTAAAGTGACAGTCTAGACTCTACACGTTTTAACCTAACTATTTACAATTTGTAAACATGATAGTGACGGAACAGGATTTGGGCACCTCACCTAACCACATCTAACCTCAAATGTACAAATGCCTCTTGACTGCGGTACAGAGACTAGGATGTGCAGCAGACAAGCAGCATACGTACTATAGTACAGAATATCAATAGAAGTCTTGTAAATGTCAGAGTATGTGCCAAAGTATGGATGCTTGTTACTCGGTGAGAGTAATGGATAAAAAGTTACTCACGGTCACTTGCTTTAAAGTGTCATTGAAATGAGATACTTCTAAAAAGAAAAGAACTAATTATTAACTCGTTAAGTCTAGACATTGAATTGCCACTGATCCGGTAATTATAATTTATTAAGATCATTGCATAGAATGAGAGTATTTCTTGTTGCAGATTGTGAAAATAACAAATACACGGTAAGAAAAAATATTTTTAAGGAAACAAAGCAACTGACTGTGAGTTCCTGAAAGCTGAATGTCCATGCATAATAACAAATAGCACTTAAACAATCTAGTTGTCTTGGGTATGTACAAATGTTCGGAAGATGTTAACAGTCTTATTGCGAGCGGAATTGTTATTTAGAAGAACTCCAGAAGTCTTCCAATATGTTTTCTAGACAATCTACCATAAAATATGGTAGTCATTTTTTTGTCGACAAGACTTTAATGCACTAACTTCCAAAATGTAACATTAAACATATTTTCGAAATTACGGTCATATAAATCACTTGCTCTATTACCGAATGTACATACAATGTACACTCTATAACGCTCAATCATTTAATCACACTGCACGAATAATGATCGCATTCGTAGTAGCCAGACGTCTCTCGATCAATATGTATTTATGACATGCAACGTTAATACTTAGAATAATCAAATTGGTATAAAAACTGTACTTCTAAATTAGTATATGAACGCGGAAAATAAACTAAATTCATAAACAGAGAAGTATGGCCAATCTCTGTCTTGTATCACATAATTACTCTCTTTAATTACATATACCATTTCTCTTGGAAAATGAGAAAAGCAATAATGATTAAGGGCTAATTAAATTTCAATAAAGCATCGTTAAGATCACAATTGTATTAACGACTTCTACTACTCTCTTGTATCAAATACATTAACGATTGAATACCTAATCTCAATTACATTGGATTCCTTTTCATTACTTTACACAGATTTAGAATTTTGAAAAGGTCACAGCATTAGATGTCTCCTACCTTTGATTCGGTTTACGAGATTGCAAATTTTTAGAGCCGGCCCCAACTTCAATCCCATATACTTCATCATCATGTCAGAGTTGAGGAGTAACAGTGCCTTTCCGTCGATTTCCTGAAACAAATAAAACAATTTCATTAATTCAAGATAACAATGAAAATATTCTGTAGATAGAAAAATCAACAAAAAAGAAAAAGAAACATACGTGTTTCCTAAACAGGTCTGCATGTTGACCAAGGGCAGGATCAGTAATTGCAATGTACTGAATCACATCCTCAATTGTCCACTCTGCTGGCTCAGTGGACGAAATTCGGTTTGCCGGACTCTCGGACTGAGTTGTTGACGTCGCTGCCTCTAGCTCTGCAAATATAATGCTTTATAAACCCTTTTCTATAACAGTAATATCCAGAACGTACATTAATTTCAAAAGTGCAAACCGAAATTTTAATTCCATCAGAAGTCTCATAATTTTACATAGGTTTTCATCAATTGAAAAAATATTGAATTTTTAGATGAAGACAAATAAATGTTTTACCAGGAATAGATTTTCGTGGTTGCTTCGCAGCAGTAGGGGATGCTGCAGGTTCCATTGTCGTTGGCGTAGGACTAGCTGTTCGTGGTTGTTGCATACTAGACGCCGTTGTGGTAGGATTCTGTTGATTTTCTGTCGACCATCGCCTTTTTTCCGCCACCGTGGAATTGTCTGTGTCTTCTTTAGTGGACTGCGGTTGTTGCGAAGTGAGACACTTGCTACACGCTTCCTTGCTTTGTGATAACATTCGATCGCAAGCGCACAAATCTTCGAGCTGTCTCCTTATGTAGGTATAAAAATCTTCCACTTCCAAAAATACTGGCAATCGCACAGACGTTGGTTTGCTCTCCAAAGTAAGATTTATGCATTCTCCTTCACCACGTTTCAACAAACTTAGCATTTGTCTAGGACTCGTCGCTGCCATCAATAGAGCTTGAAAAATATCTCTCGTAACACTCAGCATTGAACCACTACCAAATTGTGCAGGCATTGCCTTGACTTTACGAGGGTCAAAGTAAGGACCACAGGAACAACTGTGATTTACATACAAGCAAACTGCAATGTAAGAAAACATACGTGTTAAAATAAAGAAACATGTCTCAGTTGTAATCATTAACATTTCGCGCAATTCATTAACTACTTGTTCATTTCATATCACAATGCAGTCAATAAGATGAAACACTTACCATTTTCTAGTGAACGGGGTTTATTATTAGCTGTACTTGTATCTGGTTCAGTTGCTGGCTGTGGCGGTGCACTAGATCCAGCTGGACTAATTAATGCTATTGCGGGTTCTCCTCCAGTTCCAGCACCTGACATGGCCATAACAGGAAGAACGTTACTCGTTCTTGATTTAAACCTATTTGGCCCTGTTGCTGAAATTCCAATACTTTCATAAATATATGAAAAGGAAATGAACAAGCATTTATTTTTGGGGTTCTTTTTGAGCCTTGAGATTTGTATCAATCAGAAAATTATCCTTACACTTTTGTTTTGGTAGTTGTAACGGATGGCCACTTTTAAAACACCATCCCGCAGGAAAGATATCCCTGGAGTCGTATCGACACCAATAACCAAAAGCCCCACGCCATCCATCGAATGTAATATATATCATGTCATCTTCGACAGCACCAACTGTTGCAGTACATATTAATTGAGGATTCTTCCTATCGATTGCCTCCAGTTTATGACCCACTTCAAAAAAATTAGAACGTGGTGTTTTTGGTTCTCGCTTAAATACTTTTGATAAAGCCATTTCGGCACCATTTAGAGTTTTTACAAGAAACATAGGCCAACTGGAAGCATTCATGCGGAACCCTAGCGGTGGCTGCAGCATGCCACCAGATTTCTCACAGTGGCCTACAGGATGAATTTCATTACTATCTACCAATCTCCAAAAATCATTTTTATTATCAGAACCATCAAGACGTAATCTAAGTCGTGGACCTAGAATGTCAACCACAGTTGCTATGCAAGTTGATGTGATATTCCGAGGATCCAGTGCCTCCAATTTCATTCCTACTTTAAATTCATTTGTTGGAGGAATTTCATGCTAGAAGGGACAAGAGATTCAATCAATATCTCTGACTTTTTTAAATTGGTCATTTCACAAATTTTTCTAAAAGTATTAAGTATGAACTTTTATAGATACCTGTTTGAAACATTCAACCGAAGCAGCAGAACTGTTTGTTTCTTTTAAGTAGGAATCCCAGTCAAAAGTTTGATACATTTTATATTGGAATGGCCCTGTTGATGTTGACGGAGGATGAGATACCGTTGATTGATTGTTTATATTATTATAAGACTGAGTCGTTAATGGAGCATTACTACCACCAGATAGACCAGATGGAGCTGGTGATGCTGCTGGTGATGGATGCTCACCATTATCTACAAAGAACACGTTTCCATAAATCTTATACTAATAAAACAAATTCTATTTCAGATATTACAAAACAACTAATGCCTTGCATGTTAACTTATTTTCTAAATTGTTCTTGCCCTAACTTTTCTTTGAGTCAACTTGGGCGTCTTTTTGATGCTTATTCAAACAGAAAGATGAGCAAAAGTCCTTAGCTGGGCCATCTCTCTGTTCTAACCTCACAGGACTGTCTCTGATAACATTGTCGCACTGAATGCATGCACCACGCATGTATGCCTTGCGAAATTCAGATAAACAAGTTTCCGAACAAAACTCTTTTTTTCCATGTTGAGTAGGTAACACGTATTTCAATGGTTGTTTGGTTTCTCCGCACCATGTACAAGAATTCTTTGATTTAGGTGGTCGCCCTGGTCCTGTAACGTATAATTCCTGAATTAAAAACAATACCTATCAACTGATAAGAGAACAGCTAGACTCTGTTTAAACTGTTTAAATTTTTTTGTAGGATGTATCGACTTATTTTTTTTTATCAAATCACGGGGAAAAAGTGAAATAATGTCTCTGTCAAATTTAGGAGGGAAAACAGTGAGTTATTTTTACCGTCTGATGGAAAGAATCCTACCTCGCATTTTTCCCTGCATGGACGTCATATTTCTTGGTTAAACTCACTAACTAGAAAAAAAATGACCGCATGCGTGATTAGTCGTCCCATAGATGACTGTACCAACCATGAAAACCACATTTACATCCATTATTAAAACATTACATACGTACGAAAAATATATTCAACGTTACAGAACCGAGATTGTGTACTCATTGAAGACACGTCGAACAATCAGGCCGAATATAATACCGCGCGTAATAATCTGTTAACTTCGTATAAGCGGCACGGCTTTAATTTCCATCAAAATAAAGTATACATCCTATTCGGTATATTAAATATGTCATAGTGGCGTGAACTTGCGCGATGTTTGTTATTTTTTCCACTTCATTTTTGTGAGAAATATCGACTCTGATTGGTCGACAATTCCCATGAACTAAAAATAGGGTGAGAGATATTGCAAATGCTTGAAGATGGAGTCTCACTGACAGAGATGAGTTGGGAGATTGCTCACCAGAGATGAGTTGGGAGATTGTCCACGGGCAGGGTGGCGCGATCGCATCCTGTGCTGCCCTCTGGTTTCGTACGTTAGCTTTCACCGTTTTTTCCCCCCAAGGGCGGCGCACCGAATTTCTGGTAGGGGCTCGCGCACTCGCGATGGTCGTGCCATCTACCAGTTGCCGTTGGCGGCTCATGTATTCGTCATAGTAATACCATGCGACAGTTGACGGTGGTGGCTTACCTACGCTTACCAACACTGTTCGCTTGCGATGGTAAGGGAAAAACACTCGTAGCGCCCTCTTTGACTTTACACTTCACTTACCTTATTTATTTTTTTTACAGATTACTCGTTATTAAACAGATAATGCCACGTTACTGGAGGTTTTTGATTGTTACATTAATCCAAATTTACCACGGAGAATCAAATAATAAAAGAGAAGTTCAATAGTATAAAAAGAATTCAACCATTTTATTTCCTTGCTCAGACATGGTAGATACAATTATCCTTTAAATTAGTAGTAAACCAGAGTCAATTTTGTTCCAGTGACTTAGCCACAAATCTGTGCCGAATAGCACTGTATGCATCAATGCATTCGTATGTATATACATACTGGGTCATACCAAAAATCTATTACACATGTAACAACTTAAGCACTATATTAAACTGTACTTTTTAATATACCTTTTCCAGTCAATATTAAAAAATCTGTTTTATTGAAATATTTTACCTTCTTAACAAGTGACAGATCTGTTTCCAAAGCTCTGGGTGACCATCACTGGGTCGTACTTGACCATTGTAGCAATTGATGTCTCATTATGAGCAAGTTGATACAAATACACTTTTGAATAAGATTGTTAATTTCAACACTTCCGACCTATTATTTTAGATGTAAAAAATTACTTTATTATAAATAATCCCCAAAAGAATTTTATTTTGGAGTATACAACACGAAACTGACGAATCCGATGAAAAATCCTCTATCCTTCTTAATATTGTCATACGCATACGCAGATGTGGGTAAATCACATTTTCAATTTATTTGCACCTCGTATTAGTGTTTAAAAAATAAAGTTATGGAGTTATAAATATAAAATACATAAGTATTAGAAAATACTTTCTGTTTTTAAATTTTTATAGCTTGCATCTGAATATCAAATTGTTTTCAGGAAGTTATCAGTCATCTATTTTTCGTAATTGAAAGCAAAGATTCTTATTCCCTAGTTTCAACAAAAATGATAGTTTAACTTAGATCCATGTCATTCTGCAGTGAAACATTTCCATTAGACACAGTGTTATTTAAAGTACTCGTTTCAAAGTTTGGCATTGGATTTCGTAAGCTTTCGAATCTTACGGGTGCAACCGCAGGGTTTGCAAGATTTGTTGAATCATTTCTACTCCCTGCAAGACGTACATTACTAATACTATTAGTTAGATAAGGTACACGTCCATGCCGCTCAAGACCAGGCCTCAAAAGTGATAAAATAAAATTTAGACTGTCGCTTGATACTAAATATGCTAAACCATTTATCATTTCTCTTCCGATGACGTCATGATTTCTATTTTCCCGCCTCTGTGCTCGAATAGCTCTGCGTCGATCAACAATTGCTCCCGTAATCATGTTTTGTAGATTTGAATTTCTTGCTTCAGTTATTGATCTAATTCGTTCGGCGAATGTTCCAATACTACTACTATTATTATTTGTTGTTTGGCTTCTATCGCTGGATGAGTTTGTAAAATTTACCTGTGAAGACCCATAAATCCTGCTTTCATTTTGGGTATGAGAGAATCTATTTTGTGCTTCTACAGAATGTATATGATTTTCTTGTCCTTCTGGAAATACAGAACGCACTTGTTGGCTATTGGAAGTCGTTTCGACCATTTCTGAAAAAAAATACAAGATCTTGTTTTTTTAAAGGACCAACCATACAATTCCAATTAGTGACCAATTTTCCAATACCAACATTCCAATTAGTGATAAAAGAATTAATTTTGTATGCACTGACCTGCGTGTTGTTGGGATGTTGACAGTTGAGTATCATTCTCATTTGGCACAGAATGTCTACTGGAAGTACTACTATTAAAAAGTCGATTGCTTTCCGATCTTGATCTTTGATTTGGCAATCCTCTAGTAGATCTTGAAAACGGAAGCGACGTATTTGCCGTATGAAGCTCATTTGTTCTACCCATATTGTTTACAGAGCCAGTAGATATCGAGGCTCTATTAATGTTTGCTGCACTATCGGTGTTTGCCATGTTTTGAGATTGATCGTTACTTGAACCATGATTTATCAAAGAATTATAGGAATTAGAACTTTGTTGAATGTCGTGCTGATGTGCTCTTTGATCAGATCCTGATTGTCCCTGAAATGCAAAAATAGTAAACCCTGTTGTATATGAAATTAAAAATATGTGAATTTGATAGCGGAATTTTTAATTTATAAAAATACTTTTACTTTCAGCTACCTGATTAAGCGGTGTATTTCTATTCCTCGAATTGCCTCGTACTCGCAACAAGTAACCTTCTCTTCTACTAGAATTATAATTATGTCTTTGACTGTCTCTTGAGAACAGATGTTTAAATCTATCTATCTCGTTAGCAGTAAGTTCTCTTGGTTCAGAATCAACTCTATGAACAGGTACTTGGCTATAAAGTTTCCTTCGAGATACCACTGGACTTTGTTGCTGCTTCACCATTTGTTGCATGTGCTCCTGAAATATATTATTAAATAAAAGCACGAATTTTTTCAACTATTAAATTTGACGTAATTTACCTGTAATGATATTTGTTTGAAGAAATCGGAATATGGTTTATCTCGTTTAGTTTCCTCATTCTTTTTGCCCAGTTTCTTATCTAAGCTTTTCTCGTCAAAGGTACTTATGTCAGGTACAACTTGCTCATCTTCTCCTATAATAGTAGGAACCTTAAACGTAGCTATTATAGCTGAGAGTGATTCGAGCACCTCTATGGCTGTTAAACGATTGCTTGGCTCCAAGACTAAGAGATTACGAATTATCGACGACGTTCCTTCCGAAATACGATCGTCACTATGAAAAGATAATCAAATACATCAGTATATCGTTTAGATATGTACAAAATATTTTTCCTTTTAAAACATACTTGGGAATATCATAGTTTGCTGCTTTTATTTTATTAAACAACTGCGTTGGGCTGCTATCATAAAAAGGAAATTGACCATACAGCATAATAAATAAAACAACACCTAAAGCCCACATATCTGATGGTTTCCCTAAGTAAGGTTTACCGGATAGGACCTCTGGGGAAATGTATGCTGGGGATCCCCGTTGGTCTTTCAATAAATCATTTTCACTGGACAAATGCTTGCCCAAGAAAAAGTTTATTATTGTCACCTAATAACATAAATTATCCAATACACATTTGGTGGTAAAAATTAAAAATTTAACAATTATTAGAAGTAATATTGCATACATACCCTTCTTGTTCTACAATTTAGCACCAAATTGCCTAATTTCAAATCCTTGTGAACGATATTTCTTTTATGTAAGGCAGCTACAATTCTTACGGTGTCTATGAAAATTAAAAGTGTTTCTTTTTCAGATAATTTTCTTTCTTTAACAATATGATGTTGTAAATTGAGTAATTCATCGTTACGAGGATTGAAATCATGGGATGTTAAACAATCAAGTACCAGGCATAATCGACGCTTAACTTTGCCTGTATACACCATTCCTGAGGCAGTGCTCTTTTCTTCTAGCGCACAGTCCTGAAAGGCATTATTTTATTAGTTAAAGTGAAATTTACATGTAGCAAACTAAATTAGCAAACTAATCGATAATTACTTTAAAAAAACCGTGATGATGAATAACGCCATCTTGATTTTGTAATAAACTTAGTAACGAATATTCAGCATGTAATAACATCTTCCCTTGTCGATCGTCCTCTGTTTCAAGCTCATTCTCATCCTTTAATGTCAGAATTTTAATTGTATAATATTTATCTGTGCCAATTCGCCTTGCTAGGTATTGAACTATACTTTTGACAGGAGATATTCTTATTAAAGGACCTAATAAATAAGGCCCTGCCCTTTTTATCATACTTGAAGACACTGGAGTACCAGGCTTTGGCATTTCAAATGATGCATCACTTGATAAAGGCAATTTCGAAAACTGTTTCCAGGAATGCTTAGATGTTCCTTGATCTGCACTTTTACCAGTGGCTAGCTCACTTTGCTGAATTCGCATATCTGATACTTCGTCGTGGTCAGATTTGCTCTTTATTTCATCAGATCCAACAACTCTTTCTGTAAAATTAAAATATCCTAATATTAATATAGATAAAGGTACTCTATACTTTTTATTATTGAACGTTTAACAGAAAAATTAAAGCACCTGTACATGCTATATCCATTGGAGGGTGTATCATGTATTTTGATACCGATGACGGTTCATGTACTCTTAAATCAGAGTTACTTGGTCTATTAATAACAATATTACCAACGTTTCCTAACCTTCTCTTAAGGTAAGGATTATCGATATTTATATTAAAAGGATGATCAGCAATAGATCGATCAGTCTCTCAAGCCTCTACCATGTTATTTGTTTAAATTCAGTAATGTTTGAAATAAGGAAATTATTCATTCTCACTTATGTCCATGGCTTTAAAATCACTGGGACATTTAACATAGGTGACCCTGAACTGTCATTGTCTCAAATAATGATAGTCATTTCTGTAAAAACATAATCTTTGTTAAAGTCAGCATAAATACAATAAATATAAGAGATGTATTCGCTCCAAAGGGAACATATATTTAGTAATCTGTAAAATTATTTCTTACATTAAAATAAAGTGAAAATTAAAAAGGTATGTTACTTCTTAACAAAAAGACTTTCTTGAATACAAGCAATGAATTTAAAAAGATAGAGATTACATATATTTTCTGTGATACATGAATCGTACCAAAGAAATACGACACGCATTTAAAGAGACACTAAATCAAACATAATCAGGATAAATTAACACGACATATTAGCGAAACATCACTTATAGCGTAGAATAAATCAGAAGAGAAAATACAATATGACCCCTAAGCAAGTCCCATAAGTTTTCACGAGGCGACGACATGACACTTCTTATGGGATGGGTGTAACCACTGAAATATATAGTAAACTGGAACACTCGCCATACTTACGCCTGATTCCACGCTGGAATTAACCGAGGTTTAACTTGTTTATACTTTGTTCAAACCTGCTGTAAACAAGTTAAACTCCAGTTAATTCGAGTTGTGGAACCAGGAGTGTGCCAGCTTTTATAAACGTGAATAAGGCCGATATTTTATTAACCGTACAGCACAAGTGACTGAGCGACAAAGTGCAAATAAGAGATTCTGATTGGTTGTAGAGAAAATCGGAATGGGGGAATTTCCGTCGTACCTTCCTTGCAGCCAATCAAACCTCTTCTTAGCTTTACGCCACTCCGTCGCTCGTCACTGTAGCGTTAATGAAATATCGGCCTATCCCAAGTGGAAGAATAAATATCCCTAGGTCCGTGAATTTGTGACAATGTGGACCCCTTCCTCGCTCTCTCGCATTCTCCACCTACCTTAATTTTTCCACTGTATTTGGAATATTTTACTGCTGCTAGAATTCATGGAGACCTGAAGTGATCGTTGATTGTCGCTGATTGTGCAAAGTCAACATGGCGAGAGGCAGTAGCGCTGGTTTTGATCGACATATTACTATATTTTCGCCCGAAGGGCGTCTCTACCAAGTAGGTAAGTCACGTCAAAATCATGTTCAATCTATTCTGTAGTTAATAATATTTTTTGAATCAATGTTTCACACAATTTATGGCATTTGGTAGATCGGCGGTTAGCGTGACCTGCATATTTGAAATTTGTCAAGTTTATTTGCAATCTGATTTCAGAATATGCATTTAAAGCGATTAATCAAGGCGGTCTCACGTCTGTTGCTCTAAGAGGTGTGGATTCTGCGGTTTTTGCGACACAGAAGAAAGTACCTGTAAGTTGATTTAATTTTATTGTTGTGAGGTTAAGTGGAAGTTATCTCTTCTGACATCTCTCAATGCATCTGTAGGACAATTTTTGTTGTCTTTACGTAGAGACATATTATCAAACAAAGTATTAATAATTTGCATTTTATATTTAAACATTGACTGAAATTTGAATTTTACAGGACAAGCTTCTCGATGCTTCGAGTGTCACTCATGTATTTCAGCTCACTGATAATATTGGCTGCGTGATGACAGGAATGATTGGTAAGTGGTGTAAATAGTGAAAGATTAACTATGTTTCTGAAGCAAGGACCATTTAATGTTAGAAGTACATTTTTTACAGCGGACAGCAAATCTCAAGTCCAGCGTGCTCGTTATGAAGCAGCTCTTTTTAAATATAAAAACCAGTACGAAATACCAGTAGATACTTTATGCCGTCGTGTTGCTGACATTAGTCAAGTTTATACGCAAAATGCTGAAATGAGACCACTTGGGTGTTCTATGACCCTTATTGGGTATGATAAGGAAAAGGGCCCATGTATCTATAAGGCGGACCCAGCTGGGTACTTTTGTGGATATAGAGCTATTTCTGTCGGTGCAAAGCAAACTGAAGCAAATTCATATTTGGAGAAAAAACTGAAGAAAAAGCAAAATTATGATTACGACGAGACTATTCAGTTGGCTATAACCTGTCTCTCTACAGTTCTGTCAGTTGATTTTAAACCAACTGAAATAGAAGTTGGAGTTGTGTCCAAGGACAACCCTAAATTTTGGTGAGTCTTTTTATTACATTAAATATTTAAAAATTAGTAGGGTTCTAATGTCTACATTGTTACGTCTATTTGCAGCGTCCTCACAGAGCAGGAAATTGACAAACATCTAACTGCCATTGCTGAAAAGGATTGATAACATTTATTGTATATCTTTTAATAAACACATCAAATTTCAACATGAATTTTTTTTACAATTCTCTAGGTATATGGATGAATAGGATAAACAGTCGAATGTATTAGATTAGTAATAAAAACCACCCTGGCATATATTATAAAGTTTGTTATTTTTTAAGAATTTAGGCATTATCGACAATTTGTCTTGTTTTTTTGTATGATTACAAACTTGAGAATTGAAAGCATTCAAACTGGTGGACATATCATGAAGCTTTGAGAACAAACTAAAGAGAGGCCTATGTTCGGCCATCATGGGTTGTGTAATACCGTCTCAGCTTCATTTGATACCTTTGGAACTCTTAGCTTTAATAAAATGGTTTACTCCGTTCAGATTTAACGGAATACTATAAAATGTATTTACTTAAAAATAGTGTTTTAACTTTCTAGGACATAAACAGGTGCCATAATACCAGAAGGGCGTAGCCAATCAGAAACTCGTAGCGGACCGACTCTACTTTACCGAGTGAAATATCGATAGCCAGCTAGCATCGATAAATATCGCTAGTGGCGGGTATCGATGGATAGCCATCATTAGAATAGATAGTGGCTGTCTCTAGAGATGTCGTACAGGAATTCTTGGTGTTACATGGCGCATTATTTTGATGGAAATCAAAACTGTACCGTTCAATTAGGGTTACCAGATCGTTACTAATGTACGATATCACATTTTGCCTCACCGTTCGGCGCAGTTTCGATGAGGGAACATTCTCAACTCAGTAACATTAAGTGAGAATATTCGTACGTATTTAAGAGTGTTTCGTTAATGGATGCAAATGTGATTTTGATAGTTGGTACTGTCACCGGTGGGACATTAATTGTACGTACAATGATTCTGTTTTTCAGTCTGTAGATTTAACCAAGAGGTATGACGTCCACGCAGGGAAAAATGCGAGGTAGGATGCTTTCCAATAGTTCATAAAAATAATCCTCTGTTTCCCTCCCAATTTGATAGAGGTATTTTTCTCACTTTTTCCCCATACTTTGGTGAATAATGAGACTGTAATCTTTACAAGAAATGGTCCCGCAGTGTAAACAGATGATAGTTATTGGTGTATCAGTTGTTAGAAATTATTTTTAATTCAGGAATTTTATGTCGCAGGCCCAGGACGACCACCAAAATCAAAAAATTCTTGCACTTGGTGTGGAGAAACCAAACAACCACTGAAATATGTCCTTCCCACTCAACATGGAAAAAAAGAGTTTTGTTCGGAAACTTGTTTATCTGAATTCCGCAAGGCCTATGTGCGTGGTGCGTGTGTTCAGTGTGACAATGTTATTAGAGGAAGTCCTGTGAGGTTAGAACAGAGAGACGGCCCAGCGAAAGATTTTTGTTCTTCCTTCTGTCTGAATAAGCATCAGAAGAAGGACAGTCAAGTTGACTCAAAGAAAAGTTAGTCAAAATGTATTACTTAATAAATAAGTTTCATAACATGGGAAATTTTATAGCAAAATATAAATAGTGATTTGGTAGTTATCGCTAAAGGTATGAATATGTATTTCTTTTAGATAATGGTGAACAACCATCACCAGCTGCTTCACCAGCTCCGTCTGGCTTACCGAGTGGGAGTAATGCTCCTTTAACGACTTCATCTTATAATAACATAAACAATCAGTCAACAGTATCTCATCCTCCGTCGACATCAACAGGACCATTTCAATATAAAATGTATCAAACTTTTGACTGGGAATCCTACTTAAAAGAAACAAACAGCTCTGCTGCTCCGGTTGAATGTTTTAAACAGGTATTTACCAAACTTTATACTTATTGCACTTATAAAAGTGTTACCTTATTTGAATGACAGACATTAATTTTCGAAACTTGGGGAAATTGATTTAATCTTTTGTCATTTCTAGCATGAAATTCCTCCGACAAATGAATTTAAAGTAGGAATGAAATTGGAGGCACTTGATCCTCGGAATATTACATCAACCTGCATAGCCACTGTAGTTGACATCCTTGGTCCACGATTGAGATTACGTTTGGATGGCTCGGATGATAAAAATGATTTCTGGAGATTGGTAGATAGTAATGAAATACATCCCGTAGGCCACTGTGAAAAATCAGGTGGTATGCTGCAACCACCTTTAGGTTTTCGCATGAATGCTTCCAGTTGGCCTATGTTTCTTTTGAAAACTCTAAATGGTGCAGAAGTAGCTCTATCAAAAGTATTCAAGAGAGAACCAAAAACACCACGTTCTAATTTATTTGAAGTGGGTCATAAGTTGGAAGCAATTGATAAGAAGAATCCACAGTTAATATGTACTGCAACAGTTGGTGCTGTCGAAGATGACATGATACATATTACTTTCGATGGATGGCGCGGGGCCTTTGATTACTGGTGTCGATATGATTCCAGAGATATATTTCCTGCAGGATGGTGTTTCAAAAGTGGCCATCCGTTACAACCACCGAAGCAAAAGTGTAAGCTTATTTTTCTTATGGAGATGAACCTCATATATTAATGAATTACACTTCAACAAATTATTTTATATTTACCACTTCTGTTTATATGAGTATTGTGAAATTGCAGCAACAGGGCCAAATAGGTTTAAGTCAAGGACAAGCAATGTTTTACCAGTTATGGCTGTATCGAGTGCTGGCACCGGAGGAGAACCAGCAGTAGCATTAGTTAGCCCGGCAGGATCTAGTGCGCCGCCACAGCCAGCAACTGAACCAGATACAAGTACAGCTAATAATAAACCCCGTTCACTAGAAAATGGTAAGTGTTTCATCTTATTGACTGCATTGTGATATGAAATGAACAAGTAGTTAATGAATTGCGCGAAATGTTAATGATTACAACTGAGACATGTTTCTTTATTTTAACACGTATGTTTTCTTACATTGCAGTTTGCTTGTATGTAAATCACAGTTGTTCCTGTGGTCCTTACTTTGACCCTCGTAAAGTCAAGGCAATGCCTGCACAATTTGGTAGTGGTTCAATGCTGAGTGTTACGAGAGATATTTTTCAAGCTCTATTGATGGCAGCGACGAGTCCTAGACAAATGCTAAGTTTGTTGAAACGTGGTGAAGGAGAATGCATAAATCTTACTTTGGAGAGCAAACCAACGTCTGTGCGATTGCCAGTATTTTTGGAAGTGGAAGATTTTTATACCTACATAAGGAGACAGCTCGAAGATTTGTGCGCTTGCGATCGAATGTTATCACAAAGCAAGGAAGCGTGTAGCAAGTGTCTCACTTCGCAACAACCGCAGTCCACTAAAGAAGACACAGACAATTCCACGGTGGCGGAAAAAAGGCGATGGTCGACAGAAAATCAACAGAATCCTACCACAACGGCGTCTAGTATGCAACAACCACGAACAGCTAGTCCTACGCCAACGACAATGGAACCTGCAGCATCCCCTACTGCTGCGAAGCAACCACGAAAATCTATTCCTGGTAAAACATTTATTTGTCTTCATCTAAAAATTCAATATTTTTTCAATTGATGAAAACCTATGTAAAATTATGAGACTTCTGATGGAATTAAAATTTCGGTTTGCACTTTTGAAATTAATGTACGTTCTGGATATTACTGTTATAGAAAAGGGTTTATAAAGCATTATATTTGCAGAGCTAGAGGCAGCGACGTCAACAACTCAGTCCGAGAGTCCGGCAAACCGAATTTCGTCCACTGAGCCAGCAGAGTGGACAATTGAGGATGTGATTCAGTACATTGCAATTACTGATCCTGCCCTTGGTCAACATGCAGACCTGTTTAGGAAACACGTATGTTTCTTTTTCTTTTTTGTTGATTTTTCTATCTACAGAATATTTTCATTGTTATCTTGAATTAATGAAATTGTTTTATTTGTTTCAGGAAATCGACGGAAAGGCACTGTTACTCCTCAACTCTGACATGATGATGAAGTATATGGGATTGAAGTTGGGGCCGGCTTTAAAAATTTGCAATTTAGTAAACCGAATCAAAGGTAGGAGGCATCTGATGCTGTGACCTTTTCAAACCTCCAATTCTGTGTAAAGTAACGAAAAGGAACCTGATGCATTTGAGGTTAGGTAATCGTTAATGTATTAAATACAAAAGAGTAATGGAGGTCGTTAATACAGGCGTGATCTTAACGATGTTTTATCAAAGTTTAATTAGCCCATAAGCATGATTATTATTTTCTCCTTTTCCATAAGTGATGTATGTAATTAAAGTGGTTAACTACGTGATACAAGATAAATGTAGCCATACGTTTCTGTTAATGAATTTCTTCCCTTTTCTCCGTACGCGTGTTAATGTAGGAGTACATGTTATATACAGTTATTTTAATTATCGTAAGCAATAATGTTGTTTCTCGACACAAGTTCTAACAGTGACGTGCAGCTACAAGTGCGATCATTGCCAGCTTGGCATTAATGACGAATAGATGTTAAAGCCTGTACATTCAGTAACAGATCAATTGCCGTAATATATGATTTCGGAAATTAAAATAATGTAACATTTAGAATTTCTCCACATTGAAGTATGTAGGGAAGAGATTTGCTACCCATTATCAAGTAGATACACTACATTTACTTCAATGTGATCTGCAAATTTCTTTAAGTTCTTTCAAATTACAGTTCCACTCACACAACCTAATAAAACCGTTATATTTTTGAAACGTTCAAATATACATAATACACTCACATAGTATCATTCCCACAGTATAAACATGTATCTGTTGAACATGCTTTGGAGTGAAGCAATTGCATTTTTATCTTTGCGTGAGAAATGTTATTGCCGTAAATTACTTTAGGTAAGTATAGCAACCTTCATTTGCTTGGAAAATGTATGTTTTAATGTTCTTTCTATACTTTAATTAAATAATTAAGACATTATTTTTTTAGCAGTCCTCGGTAGCAGTTGTTCGTGGATTTCGAATTTTCCCAGAATGGTTCTAATTGGCTACAACGGGAAGTAAATTTAACCAATCAAAAACCGTGCTAAAGATGAGTTGGGAGCACATAGGTCCAATTTCATAACTTAAGTTAATCGAAATTTAAATCGTTTATACGCGGTTTAAACCTGCTGTAAACCAATTAAACTCCGGTTTTTACGAGAGTTGTGGAACCGGCTCAAGAGCGCACCCTTCTTGTAGAAACCTAACCTTTAAAAAGAGCTTGTAAAGCCGCGTATGTCATGTGTTTATGCTTATTTGCGGAATAATTATTTGTCACTATTGACTGTATATGTAAGGTTGTAATGTTCGCTTGTAGGTGATACTCTATAAACGTGAAAATTAACTTTCAGTTTGGTAACTTTCGTGCTGTCTGTAGTTGACATTTTAAGCAATATTGAATAATTTGTATGCAATGAATCCTGAAGGTAAGTCGGATGAAACATTTTTTAAACATGTATATTACTTGAAATGTTTAATAATTATTTAAGAATTTGTATAATCCTAAAATTATGGTATAACATTCTCAGTTTATGAATCAGATATAACTATTTTTTGTATTGTAGAACAGTAAGATTAGATATGTGTACCTGATAGCTGCCAGATTTAACAATATGATTTTACTTAAATATTTGTTCATGTAATGTCAAGGTAAAAGCAACAGTAATATTGTATTTGTTACGAAGTTAGGTAGATTAAAAAATTGTCATATATACACATTAATTTTTGTTGTCAATATTTAAGCTGAACAAAGTGAAACCGATGATGAAGAAGTGGTTAAGAAACCTGGATTTGTTTCGCCTCGATCTCAGAGATCGGGTAGTCCTTGGGAATCAATGAACAGATCACGATCTAATTCTGGAAGTCATAAATCATCTCCTATTAGGTAATTCATGATATTTATTATTTTTCATATGTTGCTTCTAAATACAGGGTTAGCTATTATATTTATATATCAGTATTGAAACAAAATTTTTTTCCTTAGATCTGGTGCAGAGTCACCAGTACCTAATGATCAAGAACATGTACAACTGCAACAATCAAATGGAAATGTAAGGAAATCTCGATCAAGATCTATTTCAAATGAGTCGTCACCATTATCATCAAAAACACATACGAGATCATCTAAATCTGACAGATGTATCAAGGCTTCTAGATCAAAATCGAGCTCCAGAGATGGATCGGCATCACCAGCTTCTGCATGTTCGGTGAAATCAAGGTCTAGGTCGAAAAGCACTTCTCCAGTGGACTCGAGGAAGAGCTCACCAGTTAAGTCTAGGAACACTTCACGCTCCAGATCAAATTCACCAAAAGTAAAATCACGATCTCACTCCAGATCCAGTTCCAAAGAGAATTCAAGATCTCGATCGCGATCAGTTTCCCAAAATCGAACAGATCATGAGAAGTCTCGTTCAAGATCAGGGTTAGTAAAAGCAAAGTCCAGATCTCGGTCTAAATCTAATTCGCCAAAGTCGATAGTTGGGTCACGTTCAAGATCTGGTTCTCCGAAGTCAACATCGAGAGCACCTTCTCCAGTTGAATCACCAAAAAGAGATTCTAGATCTGCCTCTCTGAGGCCAGCATCGAGATCTGGCTCTCGATCTATTTCTCCAAAAGCAGGCTCTAGATCGCGATCTAAGTCAGGCTCCGTAAAAGGTCACTCAAGATCCCGCTCTAGATCAGGATCTCGAAAATCTTTTAAATCTCGTTCTCGATCAAGATCTGGCTCTGAAGGTGAAAATGCCACATCAAAAGCAAGATCCAGGTCAGGATCAAGAACAGGCTCACAATCGCCATCTGGGTCACGAAATAATTCTCCACACAATTCAAGAAAATCTCGTTCGAGATCAAAATCTGGTTCTCCAGCATCCAGAAAAGGGTCTCGTACTTCCAAACATAGTTCTCGTTCTAGGTCACGATCCGGCTCCCCAGACAGAACTGTAAGGTCAAGATCGAGATCAAGATCCCATTCTGGTTCAAGAAAATCATCACCAGTGGCTTCTCGGAAAGGATCTCGATCAAGATCTCCATCAGTGACCCAAAAGGCAGCATCACGTTCAAGGTCTAGGTCTGTTTCTGGTTCTAGAAGAAGTTCACGTTCATGCTCAAGATCTTATTCGGGTTCAAGGAAATCAGTGTCAAGATCAAGTTCGAAATCGGGCACACCAGTGTCCAGAAAAGCTTCTCGTTCTCCTGGATCAAGAAAAGGTTCTCATTCCCCTGAATCAAGAAAAGGTTCTCGTTCACCAGGTTCAAGGAAAGGTTCTCGATCTCCTGGATCAAGGAAAGGTTCTCGTTCACCTGGATCAAGGAAAGGTTCCCGTTCACCTGGATCAAGGAAAGGTTCCCGTTCACCTGGATCAAGGAAAGGTTCTCGTTCACCTGGATCAAGAAAAGGCTCTCGTTCACCTGGATCAAGAAAAGGCTCTCGTTCACCTGGATCAAGAAAAGGCTCTCGTTCACCTGGATCAAGGAAAGGTTCTAGATCTCGATCTGCATCCAGATCGTCACGTTCCCACTCAGTGGCGAGTTCACATAAATCTAGATCTAGATCGAGGTCAGGTTCACGATCTCGTTCAGGGTCACGTTCAAGGTCTAGAAAATCAGGTTCTCGATCAAAGTCAAGATCAGTGTCTAGATCGAGATCGAGATCAAAGTCGCGATCTAGATCGGGATCAAGATCAAAATCAAGATCGAGGTCTGTCTCAAGATCAAAGTCAAGGTCAAGGTCTAGATCAGGTTCTAGAGGTTCTAGAAGTCGCAGCAAAGATTCTGCTGGTGTCACTGCCAGGGGAAATAGAGTATTATCAGATTCCGAGGGCGAGGATGCCGAAGTGAAAGGTAAACGGAAAACGAAACATGACATATCAGACTCGGAGAATGAGGAAGAGGGTTTAGCGAAAAGGAAAAAAGTTGAAGAGGAAGAAGGTGCCGAAGAAGATGAGAAAGATAAAAAACCTGTGGAAGACAAGGTTCCTGCTGAACAACCGGAGGATGAAGACTCGGATGAAGGAATTCGCTTAGGAGGTGGAGAGTAAGTGCTTTACTTATAGTACCCAATTATTGAAAAGAAAGGGAAGGGACACAATGTCAATAATTATCTTAAGTTTCAATATGAAATCGAATGCTTTAAGAAAAATGAATTTTCGTCATTGTTATTTCTTGCTGTCCAGGAGCAACAGGTATTTGTAAGTAATATTTGTATACGGGGGAACTTAGAATTTTTTATCCTCACAGCATTTAATTTGAATTAAAAACAATTACTTCATATTTGAATCGATTTTTCAGGGATGATTCATTATCGGATTTTGATCGGATGTTAGCACGCAAAAAAGAGGAACAGTCTAGGAGACGTAAACGCAAAGACATCGATATTATTAATGACAATGATGATATTATTGCACAATTGTTGTCGGATATGAAAAATGCTTCAGAGGAGGATAGGAGGCTAAATCAGCAGAGTAAACCAGCCACAAATAAGATAGCTATGTTGCCAAAAGTAATGTCGCAGTTGAAAAAGCACGATCTACAGTTGGCTTTCTTGGAGCATAATGTTCTTTCCGTGTTGACCGATTGGTTGGCTCCGATGCCTGACCGTTCATTGCCATCTCTAAGAATTAGAGAAAGTCTTTTAAAATTGTTGTGGGAGGTAGGTATATAATTGTTCTTCAAAGATGTTTTTTTAGTTGACAATGAATGGAGAGAAAATTCTAAAAACTTAATTATTTTTTCAGTTTCCAAAGATTGATCAGTCGTCATTAAAACACTCGGGTATAGGAAAAGCAGTAATGTATTTATATAAACATCCTAAGGAGACAAAGGATAATAAAGAACGAGCTGGTAAATTGATCAATGAATGGGCACGTCCTATCTTTAATCTATCTGCCGATTTCAAAGCTTTGTCGAAAGAGGAAAGAATGCAAAGAGACCTAGAGCAAACACCTCAAAAGAGGCGAAAAACTGATGAGGGGGGATCGTCCCAGAAATCCCAGGACATTAATAAAGCGCTTAAAGGGGATGCCAAGTAAGATAATTTAAAAAATGTACCTCAATCCATTTTTATTTCGCATGTTAAATAATTTATTTCTTTTTTCTTACATAAATGAAAGTTAATTTGTTTATATTTTAGTTATTATATAATGAAATATTTATTTATTTGTTCAGACAATTAAGACCAGGAGATCCTGGTTGGGTTGCTAGAGCTAGGGTTCCTGTTCCATCGAACAAGGATTATGTGGTTCGTCCTGACTGGAAATCCGATGTTGATATTAGTAGAGTAAGTAGCTTAATTATCAAAGAAAATAATGTACGTAAAGTATGAATTCTATCTCAAATTTTTGTTTAATCCTTTTAAAAATTGTGTTTAATATTTAGAGTACCAAGAAACAAATGAACCGGTTCCAGAAGCATATGAAGAATTACATAGATAGTAAAAGAATGAAAGCAGCTAGAAGAGCAGTGGATATTTCCATCGAAGGGCGCAAAATGTCTTTATAAATTTTCCTTCAACTATGTAGTGATTAAGTACGATAATTCGCAATATATAGATGAAAACAAAAATGTACCCTAACAACGGCATTCTGCAATTGTTTTAATAAATAAATTGTAAGGCTTACGGAATTATGACAATTTACATAGTATTATCGTTCGAGAAACTGGACTTTTGAAATTTCATTAGATTATTTTATGCAGTAATTTTCCGTCTGATAGAGTTCAAATATGGCGGAAAAGTGAATAGATTCACCTTATGCGAAATGAAATCTGACAGCGTTTTGATACATGATTGGTGGAGGAAAGATAGTCCAACTTCCCTCCATCAATCACGTATCGAGGTTTGGAGCACCGATGCGCGCGCATGTGTTGTTATGTATGATGATGTGAATGCATTCCGCTGCATAGGGTAACCGCCACTGATGACCGTCAGATGGTACCATCATCGTCAGCTTGCGACTCAGCCCGTGAGCAATCTCTCAACTCACCTCGGTGCACCTGGGTGCACCTCTGCTTGCGGTCGGGAGTGAAACATGTGTCTGAGGATAACCTTATTTCTAACACGATATTGAGATAATTCAATCTACATATGTGTCAGGACCAGTATGGATCCAGCAGGTACTTTACATTTACGAATTTATCCTTTTTTTAAATCTTTTTTTGTACAGATTAAGATTATTTATCAATTAATAATCCACGGGATTAGTTTTTCCGTAATTTGACATCAAAATTTGAAAGACTGTTTCTTATGCTACCCATATGTTCAATCGTAATACTGCAGAAACTGATAGGAATCTACTTTAAAATGTTAACAGAGAATAATTCTTATTTTCAATCCTTTTAGTTTATTATTGATTGCTAATATATTTAAACAGAAGTGTATTACACTTTACTAAATTATAATATGGTACATATTGAAGTGACAGTACTGAAAGGTATGTCAATATAAAATGTGATGTTAAAAATGATCATGGGTGCCTCTTGATAAATTCTTATTTTGAACAATTTCTTCATTAAGACAATTTTTTTTGGCAACTGACAGCTGGCAGCCGAATCATCCTCTTATATTTTATGAACACATTCTGATCTATTTGAAATAATTTCAGCATCACCATCAAAATTATTACATAATCGGGCATGTTTTGTACGGCCCGTGCCACGATTGGATGGCTGTGGTCGCATACGGAGGAACAGCGTACATGGCAGTGGTGCCAGTGCGAGTGAATCCGAAGATGACTGTCGGAAGTCAAGCACAACTGTTCCATTACGGGCGAGGAATGATTCGATTTGTTCCGCACAAAGTAATAAAGAAACACCTGCTATTCCTAGTGTGGGTAATTCTATTCCTTCAAAGCCTGGACAAAAGAGGCGTTTATTAATTTCGGAGTCAGCCAGGAAATTAGCAGAAGCAAGAAGAGAATTTTTACTTAAATATGAAAATAAGGCACCCGATAGAAGTAAATTAACAATGTATGATTTAATTTATTATAATCCAACAACAAATCCAATAAAGAAGGTAGCTGAAAAGGAACAAGTCACTGTACCATCAGCATCGATGTAAGTAAATTATTAAAGTGTATATTTTAAGAACTCATCTGAAAAAAACATAGTTAATTAGTTTTTTGAAGAAGATTAAGTGTGATCAATTCGGTTTCAGACCTGATAAGATTGAAGAAGCAAATGTAGATGATCCAGAGCCAATTCCAGTACCTCGTGTTAAAGTTGGACCTGATGGTCAATTAATCATAGATGAGCAAAGTCTGACTATAGAACGAACTAATGCAAAGAAAGACTTAGAAGCCTTGGCCAATTCTGGTCCTGTATTGGATGAAGGGTTAGATAATAATGGGTTTTATAAAAGGCGTCAAAAGAGCAAAGAATGGGCAAAATGGGAGACTCTTAAGTTTTATAAAGCTCTTACCACTGTTGGTACTGACTTTCTTTTAATGCAGAGCTTATTTCCTGAACGTTCAAGGCATGAAATTAAAGCTAAATTTAAGAAAGAGGAAAAAACTAATAGAGCATTGGTACAAAAAGCTCTTTCATGCCATCAAGAGTTTGACATTGATACATTAAAAAAAGATCTTGGTGAGTTTAGTTAGAACCAGGTATATACAATAGACCTTTAAAATTCAACTGAATATGAAAGGTTTAAATATCTTCAACATATAATCGCTAATGTTTTTTCTGTTGTAGCTACTTTTGATGAAGCCGATAATGGACACTTTACGGAAACTATTAAATCAAAACGGAAAATGAAAACCAATAGTTCTCACAGAGGTTCAAAGGGGAAATTGTGTCGTATGTACAATACTTTATAAATGCAATCTTAATATTCCTGCATGTAAATAAATGTTTCCTGTTTGTGTGTAGGTATCGTTGCTTCCAGTATCGATGAATCTGGAAGCTTGGATGATACAGATACAGACGAGCCGAGGAAATTAAATAAAGGAAGGCCACAACAAACACAGCGTCTTGAATCTGCTAAATGGAGGTCATCAAAATCTTCAACGATTGAACATAATTTATTATTTAAAGATTGTCAGACCAAAGAGATAGAAACAGCAAGTGTGGTCAGCTCTGACAGTGATACAGAGATTTATAAAATAAGGCCAACTCGATCAGGCAGAGCACCAAAAGTTAGAAAGTTAAGAGCTCCAGAAGTAAATGCATTTGACGAAAGTTCTTCCAAATTGCTAAATGAAGACGTGGCGATAGTACCCGAGGAATCAACAGATACGTCTTCAGAGAATGTTACTTCGATTTTGGATGAACCATCTGTAATTCATCGTGTGGTTAGAGATACTAATAAAGTACAGCCAGGATCTCTGGTAATATTATCTAGGGAGTCGGAAGAAGATCCTAGAGCAACGGTGATGCAGGTTTACATGGTTGGTCCAAATGTTAATTCGGAAAACACCGATCTTCAACCTATAAATCACGTTCAATTGCCACAAGAGCTTTTAGCAACAGTTACAACTAAACTTCCTGAAAGTGATCCTCTTGCTCTCAAGGTAGAATAAACGTACAGCAAATTTACTGAAACGTTTGTTGACTTCGAATTATGACAATATATTCAAGCATGGAAGACATCAAGTATTCAAGAAGCTCAATCGAGATTAGGTCAAAGCTTATATCAAATGAATCAAAACACATTATTCTTTTTTTTTACTTCTTTATCTGCTCTCTCCTGTTTATACGTACATATAAATATTCATACAAATATGCATGTTTGCATTTAATGGCTTAAGGCGACATTTTGTACTGTACGTATAAGAATTCTTTATTATACGTTATAATTTGACTGTCATTGTGATATAATATAGTTTCAATGTTACTTAAAGCAAATGCATATCTTGTACCTAAAGTCTGCATTGATCAGTTTATATTCGGTACTTTACCTATATCTTATGAAATTATTTCTGGATAGTGATACTTGTCAAAGAAATGAGTTGCGCCGCCATTGGGGTAAGTACGTTAACCGTCCGCATTTTTCACTGACGGCAGCACAAACCCTACCAGAGACGAGTTGGGAGATTGTTCACGGGCAGGGTGGCGCGATCGTATCCTGTGCTGCCCTCTGGTTTCGTACGTTAGCTTTCACCGTTTTCAGAGCGTTTTCGACCGTTATCGATCATTTTTCGAGTGTTTTTGAGCGTTATCGAGTGCCGAAAACATTCAAAAACTGTCGAAAAACGCTCGATAACGCTGGTAGGGAAATATAAAAATTATACGCAAAATGACTCGGCTTATATCCGCAGTTAGGTAAGCCTCGGGAGGATTTTTCGCAGTATTCGACTCTCACGCATACTCGTCGAGTGTAGCACCGACGCACATATACTCAACATCTCGACCCGTAGCTTAGCGCTTGGCTGGTTGGGACGCGCGAAGATTTCTAGGAGCGATCGCACTCACGCAGATTCGCTGCATGAGAGTTCCGTACGCGACACCGACACGTGCCCCAAAGCTCCGCATCATGTCGACTTCGAGGCAACAATGTACTTAATAGTACATAAGTAGATGAAATCAAATGGAGCGTCGCGAGTGTTCTTCCCTTACCATCAAAAGCGAGCAGTGTCGGTAAGCGTAGGTAAGCCACCACCGTCAACTGCCGTATGGTGTTACCATCACGAGTACGTGAGCCGCCAACGGCGACTGGTAGATGGTACCGCCATCGTGAGTGCGCGAGCTCCTATCAGAAATTCGTTGCGCCGACCTTGGCGGCAAAAAACGGTGGAAGCTAACGTACGAAACCAGAGGGCAGCACAGGAGGCGATCGTACGACCTGCCCGTGAGCAATCTCCCAACTCATCTCTGGTATGTACAGGTTAGTTTTTGTTATTATGAGGTTATATTTCATTATTAAACATTGGAAATTGTTAAATAATTCATGCTTACATGACATGATAAGAAAATTATATTGTTGAACTTATAATTATAGAACATGTAAATATGAATGTAATAGATATTTAAAAAATATGAATAGACTCGAATCCTCTTCTTTACTTTTAATGGCTTTCCATCTTCCCGCCTTTTTTTTCCTATAACCCACTACCTCTCAACAATTTTCGATTTATAAGGTATGTACCTTTATTTAGCAGCATACTAGACCGGAAAATGCTAGTGATCTCGTTCTTTCATATACCAATACGTAATTCGACGAATAAACCCACGTGAGATGACAGTGCGAGAAGTGAGCGCTCTCGTTAAAAATACGTAATAAACGCCCTTATCTCTGTCTCCCAACTCATCTCTGGTTAAGATGGCCTGAGTGATTTCTCCAATTCTACATCTAGCAAAAGAAAGATATTTTCCCGTCTTGTGTCAGAATCGGGGTGAGTCGGCGAAAAATAATAGGCCGCCGATATTGTTCTCGTAACAGCCACATTTTTTTCTGTAATCTCAAAAATTTATTTCGTTAAAACATCGTAACTACTCATAAGTTCCGATCTTGAGAGACAAGGGACTGATTAAAGTTAAAAGACGTTAAGCAACTTTTGGTTGTTGGTTTTGCCAGTCAAAGTGAAGTTCATTTGGCTTAGCTAACCTGACCCGACTTATAATGATTCTAGAAACGTGTATCTCAAAGTTTAGTGTTCTAATAGAGAAGCAGATTTTGCATCATAACCTGTTGGTTAATGTTGAAGTGTTTTCATCATTGTTATCTCGCGGTTTATTTGAATTCTTTCACGATACAGTAGAAACAAGCAGTCATTATTTCAAAAAATTGAACACAAGTTTTCATGATTCCGCTTTGATGAAAATGCAGAGCACAATCAAGAATTGATGATGTGTTACGTAGTGAAAACACAATCATGTAACTGGATTACATATTTAACAAAATAATTCAGGATAGATAGTAACATTATTTTTAATGAATGTATTGATTTATTTTAAATTATACGAAACCCTGTCATGTCGTGTATTAACTTCAGTTAATATTGTATGTGCTTAGTCTTGTTATATAACAAATTTATGATAATAATAGACAATTAGTTTAATAAATCATTACATATTTCTAGATACTCTTGGGAAAGGTACAGAATTCGGGTGAATGAATAACAAGGGTTTAGAGACTGGCTAAAAGAATGTAATTATTAGAAACTATGATCCTGACAAAGTTATGAGGCCATTTTACAACTGTATCGATCAATGTGATGATAGTGTTTAACATCCATGTGCAGACATGGTTGACAAGAGTAAGAGTATTCGAGTGGTAAGTGATACCAATAGAAATAGCTACTTTTATTTTCTGCAAAAGAATTGTTTTGTATGCAATGATTACATTCATAAAGTCAGTTGATTATGCATTAAGTATTAAATGTTGCTTATTATGCTTTTGTTATTTTAAACATAATTTTAAATATGACCAGTGCTACTGATCTTATGTTACAATATATTTGACAATGCATAATTATTATTTGTTGATATTCATAGGGCCTCAAATATTGAAATTATTTTTGCACGTGTTTGGTTTTAGATACACTTATTTTATTTTTAGTTTTGATGTTAAATGTAGTGTCAGTTGAAATAAATCTTGAGATTTATCACAATGGCGATTGGCAGCATTATCTGTGGAGCTAATGCTCCAAAAATGAAGCGAAAGAAAGCAAAGGTATACATTTTTTTCAGTTTAATTATATTTTATTTTTCACATTTTCAAGACATTTTATTGGTATCTTAACTTGGTACATGAGTCATTCCTTTTTGACATTGCTTATTTGGTACAACATTTAATGACGTAGTTTATCAGATTGTAAATCTCTATTAGTTTTAAGTGCATATTTAATATTTCATTGACTGTTATATTCCAGACAACAGCACGTAGTTGGATTGAAGCAACTTTTCAGAAAAGAGAGTGCTCCAAATTTATTCCAAGTGCTAAGGATGAACATAGGTAAGTACTTTGCATATTGTTCGGTTTAAACCTATGGCAATAACCTTGGTACTTTCTTAGTTTAGTTTAAAATAACTTTTAACAATGTTATTGGTATTCCCAAGACTCAATTTCAACATTAAAAATCTATAATTTCTGTGAACTCACATAAACCTACTTTGATATAATGACGTTCTTCTTTTTGTTTATTAGAAAATCTTTAATTTATCCAATTATATGAGGAACAAAGTTTTAAGGACCGTCATCACATTATAAACTAATCTCCTGTTAATATAACATTGAATAAATCTCGGAAACTGCTCACAACCAGCTTATACACCAGCTGAGTGGATCCTGGATTGTCATCAACCTGCATCCGATAATCCCTATCAGTTCATCCATCAGTTTTTTTTATTTACTTCTCTTTATTTCATTGCATTTTTAGGTTTGCAGTGGTACAGGGTGATAAGAGTGCTGAATACGACGTTATCACCACCTCAAGGTGAGACTGTGTTGTGCTGTGCTTTATGTTGTCATCTGTTTATTAATTCACTTCACCCTTCATTGCATATATTGTCTTGTGTTGATTAAAAATGAACACAAGATAAAACGTAATAAAATAGTAAATAAATTTTCTTTTTCTAACAGTAGCCATTTAAAGTAAAAATCAAGATACATGTGACGATCTGTTTTAACCTTACACCTTTTGTTGGGTTATGACAAAAGGAAATACAGTCGATATACATCAGAGATCTAATATCATTGAGTGAAACAACGCTATATACTACCAATTTAAATTATCAGCTTGGTTTCGTTATAATTATCATTTTTTATTGAATATCAGATCGGTGAAATGCATTTTAAAGTGTGAACCTTCAGACCTGGAATTTTATAAATGACGTGCGCTTAAAAAATGCATGTTGAGGTAATACAAGACCCACGCTATGAAAGTGTGATTAAAAATTGTGATTCATTTGATATATAGTTTGTATTTGCTTATCATGGTCCGTTTGTCCTCTAATTGTCCTTTAAACGACAAACCCTGTAGCCCCAATGTGTAAAATTAATAGTTACGTATTTTAGTACATAGTTCCTTACATTTAATAGTTCCAGTTTCTACAGTATTTCTCAGGAGATTTAGTATTTATCATTTTTAAAACTTTGAACCTTTTATTTTTACATACAGCTCGATTTGGTGAAAATTGCTTTTGAACATTAAATGTAGTGTGAAGTAGTAATAAAAGAACTCCCACAAAAGGTATGATTCTCTCTAGTAATTACAGTATATCAAGTAAACTAATAAAACTGGACTAGCATAGACTTTTTAAGATATTTGCATTACGACTGTAACTTCATTCGATACTTAATGTAACTTATTTTGTTTAATTGCAGATGTTGCTGTGGTCACTCCTTTACACACCATTGTGGAACCGGAGCTGATGTACAAAGTTATTCCACCCTTATAAACAAAGAAGAGGAACGAGAACAATGGACACCCGGAAAGAATACACGTCCATTCCCAACAGATGCATACGGTACAATAGAATTTCAAGGTGGACCTCATCCAACAAAAGCACAGGTGAATCTGCATGCTAAATGAATATATTATTAAAAGTACCTTTTTTCCATATTTAATTTAAAATTATGATGGTGTAAATAATATAATACGTATATATGATTTCTTTACACAGTATGTGAGAATGGCACACGATACCCGACCTGAACCGATCGTTCAGCTTTTATGTCGAGAATGGAATTTGGGGCTACCGAAACTATTGATTACAGTCCATGGAGGCCGTTCGAATTTCGAGCTTCAACCAACTTTAAAAAAGGTGCTAAGAAAGGGTTTGTTAAAGGCTGCTAAGACGACAGGTGCTTGGATATTTACTGGAGGAACGAATACAGGTTAGTTTTAAGTGTACATCTATAAATTTGAGATTACGTCATATTTCGAAATATTAAAGGTAGAACGAGTATTATAGCATAAATATATAGAATGTGCATAAATAGTCACATATTGTTAAAGGTGTTACCCGACAAGTTGGAGATGCTTTGTTATTGGAACGATCTTATCGACAGGGTCGGGTTATTAGTATCGGAATAGCACCTTGGGGAATTTTGGAAAAAAGTCATGAATTAATAGGTCGTGGCCGAGATATTCCTTATGATTCTATTTCATCTCCATGGTAAGAATGATGCATAATGTAATTTATTAGTTTTCGAGCAAATGAATTTATGTTCATGATGCCTAATGAGCATACATTAAAATTTTGTTTACAGGTCGAAGTATGCGGTTTTAAATAATCGACATGCTTACTTCTTATTAGTTGACAACGGCACAGGAGGTCGTTATGGTGCTGAGATAGTTTTACGTAGAAAACTAGAGAAATATATATCAAATTTGAAGTTACAGCCATGTAAGAATTTTTATATTATTTACATGCTTATCGATAACTAAACTGTAGTAGATGGTAGCTTTAACTGGACACTTCTTATGAACATCGCATTTAAAGCGTTCACCACCAAAGCACTTCTTCGTTATTGGATGCTTCTTGATATTAATGATTGCGTCGACGTCGTTTCTTTTATAGATACACATAGCAGTATTCCTGTTGTGGCGTTAGTTATTGAGGGCGGGACAAATACAATTCGATCTGTACTAGAATATGTCACAGATGATCCTCCTGTTCCGGTGGTCGTATGCGATGGCTCAGGGCGTGCGGCTGATCTTATTGCCTTTATGCATAAGTAATGTTTCCATCAACTACATTTCTGCGTTTGCTTGTAAATTCTATCCACTATTAGCTTTATTTTTTTGGCTTGGGATGGTATCGGAGTTGAAAATTTACCCAGCTCCTTTCGTGCACATTCTATCACCGAACTCTCCTGGGTTATTAACTTTACGAATAATTTGATACCAACTTCAACGTATCAATATATTTAACATAAATATTTTTTATCTGTGTTTGTCATATTACAAAATTCATTTTCTCATAATTATTTGTAAATTTACATGGTCTGATATTGCATCCTAGTTGCATATAAGTTGTCATTATTTACTGTAAGTTATATACAAATTATGTAATTAGCATTATTATTTATATAGATATGCATCGGAAGACGAAAGTGAGAACGTTGAAGGCGAGGGACCACTAGAAAGTATGCGAGACCATTTATTAGGAACAATTCAGAGAACATTCAAAGTTTCTCCGGAACAAGCCAACCAGTTGTATTCCGAGTTACTGCAATGCACTCGCAACAAAAATCTGGTAGTTACTGCAGTAGGCGCAGGATTGTTTAATCCGCTATGGGTGTTGATTTATCAATAATGTAGTTTCATTTTTAAATTGCAGATAACAGTGTTTAGGATAACCCAAGACCGGCCACAAGAGCTCGACCAAACTATATTAACAGCTTTATTTAAGTCGCAGCAATTGTCAGCTGCCGAACAATTGTCATTAGCTTTGATATGGAATAGAGTAGATATTGCACGTAGCGAAATATTTGTATATGGGCAGAAGTGGCCTCCTGGTGCACTGGAACAGGCAATGATGCAAGCCCTACAACACGATAGGATTGATTTTGTGAAGCTTTTACTGGAAAACGGTGTTTCCATGCGAAAGTTCCTGTCGATACCTCGCCTGGAAGAATTATACAATACAGTAGGTTGATGATCTATTCTGAAAATTAATTTTGATGAATTTAATGATCGAGGGCCACATGGAGTGTACCCAGTAGCGATACATAGTACCACATATTTGTAACGTTGCATTTTCTTAATGACGTTCTTGTGAAAATTTTTCAGAAAGATGGACCGACGAATACGCTGGGATATATTCTTCGTGATGTAAGACCACACATTCCCCGAGGTTATATGTACACCCTGCATGATATCGGATTAGTTATTAATAAACTCATGGGTGGAGCATATCGAGCACAATACACGCGTAGGAAATTTCGCGTGATTTATGCAAAAGTAATGAAGAGATCCGGTGGTCATCAACATCAACATCGTAACAGTAGTACAGCTAGTTTTGCTAGTCGTTGCTATTCCAGTGTCAGTGGTAAACCTGATAATCTGACAATGAGTTTATTGGCTGAAACACTGCCAGCTAACAGAGACACGCCAATATTTGATTATCCGTTCAACGAATTACTTATTTGGGCCGTACTGACTAAACGACAACAAATGGCTCTTCTTATGTGGCAACACGGAGAAGAAGCATTAGCAAAGGCTCTAGTCGCTTTGAAATTGTACAAAGCTATGGCTCACGAAGCTGCCGAAGATGATCTTGAAACTGAAGTTTATGACGAGTTACGCGGTTACGGCAAAGAGTTCGAAAATATCTGTAAGTAATCCTGGAAGAGTCTCAAAATGTCGAATTCAGTGTATGCTGTCGATACTGCGATACAGTTAATTACCTTTTAGCGTTGGAATTGCTGGACTTCTGCTATCGCCAGGACGATGATCAAACTCAACAGCTACTAACTTCTGAACTTCAGAACTGGTCAGGTCAAACGTGTCTTTCGCTCGCGGTGACGGCTAATCATCGGCCCCTTTTGGCACATCCATGTAGTCAGATCATTCTAGCAGATCTTTGGATGGGTGGTCTCCGAACTCGCAAAAATACTAATTTGAAGGTAACGATTTGTTTCCTAAAATAGACTACATATTTCTGAGATCTACAATTGTAAGATATTCGTCAATTTCAGGTAATCTTAGGTCTGCTTTGCCCTGCATACATTACGAGGCTCGAGTTTAAAAGTCGCGAGGAACTGCAGCTTATGCCTCAGACTCAAGAAGAGCATCTCATTGCATTAGAGGACGAAAACGAAGAAAGTGATTCGGAACAAACTCTTGCAGAGGGACCGGATGCTGAGGTAACGTTTCATTTTTAACTATTAAAAAAATTCGGAATATAATACCGCTGAAAGTAAACAAGAAAAGTCGTGTAAATTATATTTAACATAACGGTGGACTTGGCTGTATATTTATGCATTAACCTTCTGTTCTCACTATTATTTACTTAACACTATTCTGTGATAACGTAACAAGGTGATATGAAAATGGCGTTCATACGAAATACACATTTACCACGTTCTATAAAAATCTCAGACGCACCAATTTATAATGTTAGTGATTACAAACGTAAGAGAACCATTTCTACAATTTCACTTAACTGCATGTAGTTTATGGGACGTTAACTTACAGCCTTGTAAATATCAGGACAGTTTAAACAGTATCATCAATTTAGACTATCCGGGCACGCGTGTTGATTATTTTTTTAGAAACGTCCGCCCAGGAGCCTGAGTGTTCGCAACAAATCCAGCACTCAACAAAGCGGCAAGGTATATTCTCTCTGGCCTGATTGAAACAATTCTATTGGCTTTCATGGAACCCCTCTTTTTGTACAATTCTAAACTATTTCGTGCTTTTCTGTCATTACTCTTTGTATCGTCAATCTGTCGGTCCCCTACTATTTCAAGACGAAAGACTGCAATATGTCCAGAAATGTGTGCTCCAACTCCATTCAATGAATTTAAAATTACCCTGATATATATGATATACATGCCTTTGACATAAATACCCTGTCACAGATTGTTTTGTTCTTTTCGTAATTCCTTTATTACGTATAAAATGCAGAACACTGAATTTTATCCTAACACTCTACGATCGTTTGCATAATTTATATTACTATCACGGATTTCTTATTTAATGCTAATTGTATTGTTTTTTGTTATTTCTATCAATATTAATCCAGCATGCTTCATTGGGTCTTGTTTTGGGATGATCGTTCATTCGTTTACTTCGGGAAAAATATTGTTAAATATATTTTCACTGTTTATTTTCTGGCATCTTATTCGTTACCTTATCATTTTTGATGATAGTAAATATGAATAAAATATACCCGCTGTTACGATGTATAAACATTAAGTAATGGCACAGTTTACCATTGCCAATCACCGTTTGCACAAGCCCAGCCTTTTTTTAACTTTTAATCACTTTAGATATTTAGAGATTAGAAAGAGTCGTCTCTATAATGTTTATGCAGAATAGCGTTTATATATCGACACGCTATTTGGTTTGCCTTCAAAGACCTCCTAACATCTTTTTTATTTGTTCCGAAGCTCATGTCCCTGTCTTTAAATGTATTACAAATGTCCCATTATCCTGGCAGCTGATTTTTCGAACCCTTACCATCATAACGTGTGTTCCCGTTTTGCTCCAGGCTCTAATTACCAGTGAGCACAAAACTGTCGTAAAGGAATCAATTGTTCAAGAAAATGGAAAAGTATTAACGGATTACGACGATACCAATCATCGTATCTACAGTTCATTACCTGAATATTACGATAACAAGGCCAACCGACAGTTGCGATTCAAAAAGAAATTATATGAATTTTACACCGCTCCGATTACAAAGTTTTGGGGAAATGCCGTGAGTACGAATGCGAAATTTCCTTTGATTTGAAATTAATCCAGTCTGAAATTTTAACAAACCTTCCTAAAATTACTGCTTTAATAAAATTAGCAATTAATTCCTTGCGTATTTCAGATTGCGTACATAATATTTCTAGTCTTTTTCTCCTACTCGATTCTTGTGCGGATGGGAGAGAGTCCAGGCTGGCCGGAAATTTATGCAATTATGTACGTATGTACACTTGGCTGTGAAAAAGTGCGGGAGATCGCTATATCGGAACCAGCAACCCTATCGCACAAATTCAGTGTATGGGCGTGGAACATGTGGAATCCTTGCGACGCCGCTGCAATAATATTTTTCCATATAGGTCTTGCTTTGAGGCTAAGGCATTCGACATTCGACGTAGGTCGCGTTATTTACTGCGTCGATTGCATTTATTGGTACTTAAGGATTCTTAATATTCTTGGGGTCAATAAGTACTTCGGTAAGTGTGAAAGGAATCTCGATAAATAGTCAAATAAAGAATCCACTGATCATGGATTTATAATTATTTTCTTCACGTTTTATTTTAGGTCCATTGGTCACTATGATGGGAAAGATGGTGAAGAATATGATATACTTCGTGGTCCTCCTCTTGGTCGTGCTGATGAGTTTCGGCGTCGCGCGGCAAGCTCTTCTCAATCCAAATGCAGAACCAAAATGGCGCATCGTCAGAGACGTAGGTATTATTAACAAATAATTTTTAAGACAGGCTGATACGTTCTGGTAACGTTGGTTCTTTTTGCAGATTTTTATGGAGCCTTATTTCATGCTGTATGGTGAGGTATACGCGGACAATATCGATCCTGACTGCGGAGATGAGCCAGGAATGATTCCCTGCTATCCGGGTCGTTGGATCACTCCAGCCGCCATGTCTATTTATCTCCTGGTCGCAAACATTTTGTTGATCAACCTTTTGATCGCGGTGTTTAACAACATCTTCATTGAAGTTAACGCCGTAGCGCATCAAGTCTGGATGTTTCAGCGATTTACTGTCGTCATGGAGTACGAGCAGAAGCCAGTTCTACCTCCACCTCTTATTATAGTATGCCATCTTTATTTAGTAGTAAAATATTTGTTGCGATACGTGACGCAGGGTGAGATGCGCTCCGGTGAGACCTGCGACAACGGTTTGAAGCTGTTCCTCGAAGCCGAAGACATGGAGCGTTTGTACGACTTTGAAGAGGAATGCGTCGAAGAGTATTTCCGCGAACAGGAACTCAAGCTACAAATGTCGACGGACGAGAGAGTCAAGGTGACCACGGAACGGGTTGAAAACATGTACCAAAAGATTGAGGACATCGAGAAGAAGGAGAGTAACCAGAACGCGTCCCTTCAGGTAATTATGATTTAATCGAGACATCTTAGTTTTGTTACTTGAAATGCGCTATTCCATGTGCACACACACATACATTAACCATTCGTGTATTTTCCAAATCGACTAGGCTGTCGACATGCGGATTCGTAAACTGGAGGACTTGAACGAGCAAACTCTGGCCCACCTGGGTGTCATCCATCGATTCATGGCAACGCACACTCCCAACGAGAACTTTCCAACTCTTGACATCGAGATGCCGCCTCGTCGGGTATCCGAGCGTTCGGAAGCGCCTTCCGAGGCAGATTCGCACCCTCAATTTACCAGCACCCAGCTCCGGCGACGGAGACTGTTACGATCTTTAACTGACGCGACGTTTCTGAACGCACCTCTCGACGACGACCAGAAGTCCAAGCGAATCGACTTGCAGACATCTCGAGAGAACCTCAGCGAGAACGACTCATCGGAGAACGGGAACGATCACGACGTACAGGAGGGCTACAAGACGTCGACGAGTCACGAGAGTCAAGGAAGCAAATGCGCCGGCGATGTCGAAGAAGCTGCCGAAAAGGAGAATCTCGCCGAAGATACCAGCGATGCGCCCGTGTCCGATGCGAGGCAAGACTCCACCGAACGCACGACCCGGCAGAACAGTCGGACTCGTTCGGAATCCGAGGACGCGGTTCTACTTTCGGTTCCTGGCGTGCAACGAGGAGTCACTTGGGCCGAGCCTAGATACGCCGTTATTCCTTCTTCCGCGACTTCTGCAGGGGCGAGTGCCAGGTCGGTGCTTTTAGCAATGCGCGCGGAATACACCAGCATCACCGACGAGTTGGAGAGCTTTTGCGGACTCCTCAGTCCACCCAGGACCCCGCCAGTGTCACCACCTCCGAGACGAGGTAGACACGTGTTCAACATGTCCAACCCCGAGATGGCCCTGCACATGGAGAACGAGCATTTGCGAGACGCCGAGGAGTGCGATTATCAACAAATGGAGGATCTAATTCAGAGGCGCTATCTAAACGACGAGTCGCCGGAAACTGCCGATGAAATGAGTGGAACTCCTTTCTACATAGCCAGCGAACATCGCACGCTACGGCGCGTTGGGGCGATCGACGAAGATTCCAGAAGACCACCTCCCACCATCAGCGTCACCAGAGAGATCGAACAGACGCTGTCTCGACCCCCTGCGATTCGAGACTCCAACGAGGAAGACCCGAATGACAAGGATTTGTCCACGGCACCGGCTCCTGCTTCGGAAACTATGTGTTGATTCGATCGACGACTTCTATTTTTATTTGTCTAACTAGTGTTAATTCATAGATGGCGAGCACGTCGCCGGTATCGGCACCTCTGCGCTGTGCATGTACAGTGGCGGACATGAATGCTGTCTCCCCGCACCCTAGCGGTATCTTGTCCGCAAGGGAGGCATTTATGTCTGTCAATGTACTTCGACATATCTAGCCTAAACATGGAATTGGAAATCGAGTGTTTGCGAGACGCCAAGGAACGCGACGCCGGTTTTTGGTAGATACAGCGATGTTACTTGAAACTATACGTTGATGTAATCAACGAATTATATTTTTTTAAAGATTTTACGCCGAGGGCTTGGAAACTTGCATGATTTCCTCAGTTAAAAGTGCACATTAGTTGGGTCTGCAGTTTTGGACGGAACGGTTACGTTGATTCGCATCACGAATTTTGAAATTGTTTCAAGGTATACTACCGCGATTGCTTAACGGGAGAACGGAAACCATGCGAAGGCTCGACATCATGACGTGGATGACAACGATCAATGAATTTAATGAAATCGAATCCCAGTTTTTTATATGATTGGGATTAACTTTATCAGTTGTATCAATATGTAAAACGACGAAAGTTGTCTCTCACGTAGTATCTACACATCACTAGAAAAGATTCTCCGATTAATCGATGATTAATCAATGAATTAAGGCACAAAGAATAGTGGAAATGCAACAGCCCCCTTCTATACGTCTCACTTTTAGAATTGATTGTAAACCTTTACAATGGGTTTTGGAAGCTTACTTACAGCTTTTGTATCCACCTCGTGCGACTAATTGAGATCGTTCTTTGTGCAATTTTGTAGAATCTCGCAGCGGTAGACTAGTTATTAGATGGAATTATATATTTGACCATGTAGAGCGAGGACGAATACCGTGAAACTGCCCTGTACGCGATTTGAAAACCTTTTCTAAATGGCGCGCACACTCATTAGTGTCTTCCTGCGAGAACTGCTTTTAAAACTCTAATGTAAGTAATTGTCGTACCCAAATGCTTGCACGACGTCGTCACCTACTATCTGAAATTTAGCTCTTTTTTTTAATCACCTCTTTCATTTACGTTTTCACTAAAAGCTGTCCAAATCTGCGTCATACGCGCGCTAGGACTTCATTTATTTATAACCGATGGCGGGGCACATCGAATTTTTAGATTACACTTAAACTTGGGCTATGAATATAACTTAATAAGTGATTTCTTCACACCGAATCGAAGGAGTATTGTTTAAGTCCCATTTGCCGTTCATTCATCGTTGAGCGGTTTCTCATTCGGCCACTCTATTAACGAATAGGCGAGGTATATAAAATATTTTCCGCTCGATTCTAAGCTGAGGAATGCGGCACGAGAAGGTATTTTCAATAAAACAAAGCGTGGCGAGAGAAATAATATCTAGAAGCGTATCGACCGTGTTCTGGGAAAAACATTTTCCGATGGATCTCGTCCTAAGATCTCGGACCAATTGCACATTACAGGCATATCACCTGAACGTTATCGATATCCACTTAGCTTTGTAGTACAAGATTAATTGTAAATTCTGTTACAAGTACAGAAGCGTTTCGGGTAGCTATTGATTTTAGAAGCACGAGATGTCCGAGTGCTTAAATTTGATCTATTTCCGCGGAGAAAGAACATTCGTTGAATGGCTTTCGAGGGGCTTGTAACAAATTTAAGTAGCACCGTGTATAACAATGTCTCCTTGTTAACGCACATTTTACGTGCATACGTTACTATTCGTAATTAGCGTACGGCAAGGTATTTTTAGAACCTTTTAGAATTATCGAATTTCAGTCTGAGCAATTGCACATTCTATAGTGCGGAGTACGGATCTCTTCTTGGCACTTAATTGTAGAATAGATCCCTTCGAAATATTTGCCACCGAGAATTTTTCCTATATAATTTTTAAGAAAATCGGAGATCGGACGGAAAAGAAGAAGAAAAAAAAACTGTTTCTAATAAGTTTAGTACTTTTCTGTCGGTTTCTATGGGATGGTTTCGGCGACGAAATTTATCCCTTCGAAGAACTCTTCGGAAAATGGATGGTAGTCATCCGGAATTAAACGCGTCTTTTCTTTACGCATCGGCCAAGTAAGAAAGAATCGATTAGTAAATTAGTTTTCGAATCAAGTGATGCTGACCAAACTTGACTATCATACATTATCCATATGGTGTTCGTACTAGGGAAACTCTGACAAAGCCTTAATGTCAGATTGATTTCAGAACTTACCACTGCTGTTAACGTACTGACTCTTTGATGTGTAATCTTTTAACACTACAAAATTGGCAGGAATTCGGTAAATCCGTTTTGCCAATCATTTTCGATTAAGGCTGCTTGTCTTTAAGCGGTCAACAATCCACATTTTACAGAAACATTTTACGAATGGCCGATGACTTTGACGATATTTTATGGACAGTGGAGATATTATTTATTAGTTTTCCCTTTTCTCACCGTATTTTACGTTTCTCTATATACCGTCTCGAACTGTTTTAATATTCTTTACCAACTCATGATTTTTTCATCAGTTTTATAAACTTTGTGAGCCCCTTCCTGCAAAGTTATTAGGAATCTCATTGGAACATTCTGAGAATGTTGCGTATCATGTGGCATCTATGATGGCTATTGGAATAATTTCTGTAGGAGATAATAAACAATTATTTACACCTCGTGAACGACCACGCCGATTTGCTTTTACCTGCATTTTTGTGCAGCACTGTCGGCGTGGGTCGGTACACACGTTGAAAATTTACCTAGCTCTGTATTGTTTAACAATTGTGTTTTATATAGAAATGTAGCTGTAGGAAGAATCAAAAGTACCATTTATCTGAAATCAGAGAAGTGTTGTTGCGAGTACTTCGTTTTACTTGTGACGGCACTGTCTTTCTGACTTACACTTTACTTCCGAATCATTGTTTGAATGTCGTTATATTCATGAAAGCCGTTTTTAAGACCATTTACAATGTTTATACATACGAAACGGTTTACTGCCTAACTTACTGAGCCGCACATTTGGAGACAAGTCCATCACGAAAAATATGCGACATTAATGGATAGAGATTTTGAAACGCTATTAAAGTGCAGCTGATTTTTTTAACGAATTTGTTGGAAACTTTATTTACAATCGGTTTCCACGGACGGTTTTGAGCGGAGAACTCACGTATTCTATATTGTATATCAAGTTGAATCATTTTCACTTTTTTTTTTTTTTTTTTTCTATCGAATGTTTCTAATCTAAAGGGTTTCTTACACATTTTTCGAAATCGATGAAAACCACACCTTGCTGAAGTTAAATCGATTCGAACGTGCTTGGCATTTCTGCCTGTAAAACGTATACAACTAGATTTTAGCTTGATATATATATACACATTAAAGTTACACGATATAAATCATATCACTTACACGTAGGAGCAATTTTAATAGCTTCGAGCTTTTCGTGAATTTCTTCGCGTGCAAAGCGCTTAAGTACGCACTCCAAGTTTTTTGCTCAAAAATACCTTTTCCGTGCATGAATGAGACACCGACTGAATTTTATAATAGCCGTTAATAACATCTATGCTACAATGTACATATTTATAAATATAATGTATTTATATAAGGAATACATAGCGATCGAGACTTACAATGATCGCCTAGGAATTCTTCTGTGAAAATTGACTAATGTAACGTCAAAATTTCCAAATTATTCGCACAGTCCAATTGGGGCTGGAAATATTATAAAAAATAAATGAGTTGCAATGCGAGGAATGAATTCCAGAGATTTACGAGTGTTTTCGAGGGATCGGTGACTATATCGTTAGTTTAGTTCAGCGTTAAGTGGAGAATAAGAGAAGAGCACCAAAGAAAATGATAAAATTGTACGTTTTGCTTCGTGTAGGCGAACATTTAATTATGTAATTTATGTGCAATCGGGGAAAGCTCCTTGGGGAGGTTTTTAGGTATAGGACAGCGTTTTCGATAATGAGAAAGTTAATTTTCACAAAGGGATTCCGTGGAAGGGACTCGAAAGTATTAATCAATTTCACGGAGATACTCGTGTCAGATTTTAATTAGATTGTCCAATGTATGTTGGACTGTAATAGCGTTCTGCATGTTTCGGGGTACATATGTCCCTTTAATTGACTTTCGGGTCCCCTTAATTTTTCAATACATGTAACATGAACTAGCAACAGCCAGTCGTGCTTCTTCCAACAATCAATTAAACGGCCTACACAAGCGTCGCGTTATTATACATGTATATACGCGAAGCGCTTACTTCTTAATTAAAGGAAATTACTTTTAAGTACCTCATTTTTCTCATCTCACGTACCTAGTCACGCATGTTGTTCCGATATGACCGTGATGAGAATAATGATTGTTCCCTTACGCGAATGATTAATTTTCTTGCGTAGACATAATTTGTACATAAACGAAAATCCGTTCAGGTCACCCAAGAGATTGCTCTCCGGTGGAAGTGCAGAATAATCACGTTATTTAAGGAACGGCGAAAGACGTAAATGCCTCTCGATGAAAAGACACCGTGCGACTTGTGATGACAAAAGAACAATATTGTCCTGTGGAGTAGAATGTTCCTTCGCGTTTGAAATGTATATTTTATTATTGTATAACGTTTTACATGATATTTCGGATTCTGGCGTGTAATTATGTATGTATCGTCGAAGGCTGGAACCTTCCGTGAAAATTGTTTCTATTCACCGAAATATCGCCGAGGGCAGTCTTTGAACCGATCGTGTGCGAGTGAGATTACATCAAATCTTTAAAAATAATACAATAATAAACTACTACGTGTTCACGAGGATATTGCCGGAAGATAAAGAGTTTACCAGCGTTTCTGGGGAGCGTGTTACGAAAATAATATTCTAAAGTGATTGTTCTGAAACTCGATTACGAGGTCGTGAAACAGCTAATACTTTACGAAGGTACCTGCATAGAATCAGTCTATTCTCTGAATGCTTATTGGATGTATCCGTAGTTTTCATTCCCATTGCCGATAGAGACTTTAATGGAAAAAAAAAAAGAAGAAGAAAATGATACGATGCTATCTTTGACGAGGGATATAAAATATTTTGTTTTCCAGGCGCAATTTTGGATAAGGAGAAGCGTTAATACGTCTTTGATCTTCGTGTTCTCAGGTCCTTGTAAATTATTTTCGTGCCGATTTTAATTTGATATTTAATGCCCGATATTACTTTTAGACCTTAACCATTCAAAATTGTTGGACCGATGGAAATATGAGCGAATGGGCTAATATGGGGAACTACTTCATCCATTAAATATCCAGGATTATTCATGCATAGAAATTTATCTACACTGTCGTTGAGCGGTTGTTATTAAGCACCATTGTTACTAAGCACCCCGCTACGGAAATTATCCCATATTCTAAATGTAATTTTTAGAACCCGTTTTCTGCTAAATTATACATATAATTATGTCCAGGCAGTAGTACCATTCTTGCCTTACTCGTTGATTTCAGGATCACTTATCAAATTGTTTTTACCGCAGATTTTAACCGGTCACGTTTAAAGATGACATTTCATTTCCTCGTATACGTTGATGCTATTGTCCACCGATGTATCCTGTTACGTTGCCATTGTACTTGTAAAGGATGAATCCTGATATATAAAAGCAACACCAATCTTCGAGAGATATTTTAAAATGGTACGAAAGTTGACTATTTAATAATAAGTACCGTTAGCGATAGCTAAATATAGAGCGTCTAACGAATATTCCAAGATTCCTGCATTTGCACCAAGAAAAACAGTCGATGATTCGATGCGTTGTGCGCGAATACTAATTCCGTAAGACGACCAGCACTTTTCGGCATTTCTTAATATTGCGATCCGTCTGCGCTCGGTATTTGAATATTTCAATGAATTTCTTTTCGGTATCTTCAGAGAATGTTGAAAGGTACCGCGCACAACTATGCGGCAATTCTGTGGAATATCCTGTTGGAGAATTAGGATTAAATCCGATATGTCCAGCAAAAGGCCGTGTAAAGACGCCGTTAAATATATCATTAATTGAAATGCACCGCTTACATTAACGCATGCTATATCCTACACGACTTCCTGTAGGTCTGTCGAAATAGACTAAGAAATTCATTATTCCTTCGGTTAGCATTTTTCGTCGCATTCGGTTATGTAAGGCGGGGCGCATTCGCTGTGCTTCGTTCCAAAGGAATACATTGGATATGGTTTTCCCAGTGTGGGTTTATACTTAGGCCCAGGACCATCGCAAGTCGCGCCTGTTTGGTACTTTCTGGCGATAGTAAATTTAGGAGCTCTTGGTTTTATCACATTTATGTCGTACATCAGAGGTCCTGGTCCCCCCTTGCATTTTCCGTCGTTCAGTTTTACACCTCTGAAAATTAAATGAAATTATTTATCAAGTCCTTTCGATTGCGAATTGCGTCCTGCGTCGATCGATATCGCTTACATAGTAAATGCAGGTCCATTTAAAGTCGACTTGAGAGGATATGGTCCTGGTGTTCCGCAGTCGCTTCTGTATGGGGTTCTGGACCCAAATGTGAAAGCAGGACCTCGATGTAAATCTTTTACGAGGTACGGCCCAGGTCCACATGGAATCTCTAAAATTGTCCATGTACTCAGAACCTTTGAGCCGATTTTTCTGTACATTGTACCGGTACATCGATACTTACTGTCAATTCTCACTGCTTGGCCGATGGTGAAAGCAGGCGAATTGTATGGCAATTTTACTAAATATTTTGGCCCGGGTCCATCACATCTTCCACTTGTTACGAGTTTACCTCCGATCGTATAGGCAGGATTGCGAAATTTGGACGCGCAATGATCCTTGTAGCCCGTGAGGGTGCGAAGTACATATTTAGGGCCTGGACCTGAAGAAAAAAACCCTCGGTACATTATTAAAACTCGGGAGGGAACGAATTTGACATTCGATTACCTTTATGGCCACAAGAGAATGCTTTCTTCGATTTGATGGTCGGAGGTTGGTTCCCGGTTTCACTGGGTTTATCCGATTTTTGTGGCATTTCAGATCATGGACTTGGTGTGCTGCTTTACGGCGAATTTAGCTTAACGTTGAACATGGATTCGTTTTTCGGTTACATTTTAATTAGCCGAAAGGCAACGCGTTTCCTGCATTTCATTTTTTCTTTGACAGATCCGAAGTACGCCCCAAGATCCAATGTTGCGTTACGCGTATTTTGAATTTACAACGGGATATTTCCATTTCTCGATCGACGTAACGAATATCTAATTAAATGTCGAAATGAAGATGTGCTCGAGGACAGGACATTTATTTCATTAATCTACAATGGCATGACTCTAGACAGAAAATTCGAATTTGATGCCAGCTCTTTTTAGGAACGCTGGAAAAATTCATAAATCCTCGTCACATTCCGTAATAGGAGGCGGCGCACACTCGCTGTGCTTAATTCCGAATGAGTACATAGGTGGATTTTTTCCTGTGTTAAAGCGCGGAAGATACCGCGGGCCAGGTCCTGGTGTTTGTTCAAATGCTTTCAGCCGACTTCCTATGCTAAACGCAGGATAACGACGCCTTATCAAGTCATAATTTTGGCCTCCATAATTAGCCGGTCCAGGTCCATCAGCGGAGCGAAACCTCTTATTTACAGTTCCTCTGAAATATAAAGTCCATTATCCATCTATCACGATCAAACATTGCCCTTTTTACTACAATCTTCTCTATTAAGGAAAGAAATAAAAATGTCTGGAAATTAAAATGTTTCGCTTTTCTTGTTCCTCATGCGAATGTACATTGACGTACATAGAGAAGGCGCCTTGGGCCAATTTATCCGGAATATTTGGACCTATGCAGCTCGGCAAAATGTAGGCGCTGGGTCCCGGTCCACAGTCGCTGTATCTGTCTTTATATCTCCATTGAATCGAGTAAGCTGGAGGTCTGGGGTTGTGGTTCATGGGAGGACATTTTTCTGGAGAATACGCCCCTGGTCCGGGATCGGCTTGCCCCACTAAAATGTTATACGTTTTCATTATCTCTTAAATGATTGAATTCTTCTTACTGCCGGCTGCGCGATGTTAATGTTAAAATCGCGGCCTTTTTTTGTTAAGGCGTTAATTGTTGATTTATACTGACGTCTCGTGTGTGGCTTGGAGCCTATGGTGAATGCCGGCGATCTTTGCGGTCCATGGTTAGTTAAATTGTCGGTTTTATAACGGGGGCCTGGTCCCACGCTGTACTCGGCTCGAGATGGCCGGAAACGCATACTGTATGCCGGATTTCTATGCTTGGATGGATCGTGATCGACATACCCAACTAACGTCTTCAGAGCGTATTTCGGCCCGGGACCTGAATAACGGCCAGCGATGTAAAATTTCAGAATCAATATATAATCTTGCAAAATTGGGCGAACCTTTCATCATGCAGTTTAGCATCTTCGGTTTGTTTTCCTTGTCCTCCATCGCGCTCGGAAACCCCTAAAAATGTAAATCGCTCGAAAATGTGTAAAGGACGTAGAAAAGGTTAGCAAAAGCGAGAACTTATGAAAGCGGAATGGAGAGGTCTGAAAACGGCATTATTTAACGATGTTCGCGTTCTTTTGTACATACCGTTTTCTACGCCTTGTGTCGCCAAACTCTTGTGCACGTTTCAACAATTTTCCTGTCTTTCTGTTCAGGTTAATTTCGTGCTGTTAAAATTCACAGTTCGGGAATTTTTAATATGACCTTTTTTTATTCGAATGAAAGATTAATTGAGGAACTAGGAAGATTTTACGGAGACAGGGAGACACCCTGTAGATATCGATTTCGTTGATAAAGTCGGTAATACAGGAAAATATGATGCAGCGCCATCTTGAATAACACTCTGAAAGTTGTTACTCGGAGAAGGCATGTCCTAACCTAAAATTTAATTCGACAGCGACGCTGTACGGACCTGCGATGACATTTTACGTTTTCAATAATTTCCTTCGATAATTGGTGAAATAATCGTTAAGCTGCTGAGCAAGTAAACTTAAAATTTTTATTGTTTTAATGGGTATTCACACAAATTAAGGATGAGTTCACAGAAAGGGAACGCCAGTCGCACGAGATCACAAAAGTATCAAAATACTTTTACTTTTAAGAATAATCTGCACGATAAGACACCGAAAACCAAGTACATTAACAGCATAAACGTTGGTAATGTATGCGAAAGATGTAAGAAGATTATTGAGTGGAAAATTAAATACAAGAAGTACAAACCTCTGAAAGCTCCGACAAAGTGCACCAGATGTCTGCAAAAAGTGGTGAAGGAAGCGTATCACATCAAGTGCACTTCATGTGCGAAGGAAGACAATACCTGCCCAAAATGCGGAGAGAAAGCTGAGCTTGTTTCACCTAAATTAACCGAAAAGGATCAGTTTAAACTGGATGCTGAAATGCAGGCGATGTTGAAAAGTTTACCCGAGCGTAGCAGGAGGACTTTCATCCGATTCGTCAACCGAAGAGGTTTGTACATATTAATCGTAATCCAAATTACAACAAAATGTATAATAATATCAATAAATGGCTCCAGGAAACTCAAAACATAAAGAAACAGAAGATGAAGATAAGGATAATTCAGCGAATAAAAAATCCCTAAGCGATCGTTCTTCCGAGGAACACAGAAACTATGATGCAGAGGATACCGCATTACACGAAGAATTATTATTGAAGCTGAAATCAATGGCTTGCGACGAAAAAGACTGTGACTCCAGTAGTGAGGATTTTGAATCTTCCGACGAAAGTAGTTAGATCAAAATATATTCCTACAGACTACACAAAAGTCATATTTTTTAATCTCAAACGATCCAACATAATTATATTTATTTTGGGGTGGACCACGAATCGCCAATAGCTTGCATGGGTCCCAGGAGTTTTCTCCCAAAGCTTCTATTCATATTATCCCTAATTGGCATGCAGATATCCTAAGATTAGATAATTGGATAATGCCTCCCCTCCTCGAATTAGGAAGCGTAGTCGGCGAATTCTAAATGAAATTGAATTAGCAAAAGGGAGGACCGACGTCTACATCCGCCGAGGTCATTTCGGGTCGAAAGTTCGCCAGGGCAATCTCTATAGATAGAGAGTCTCGCCTTTCCTGACAGGTGAAACGAGATTAAATATGCATCGGCATTTGCGCGACTGAATGTCAATCCGTCAACCGTTCTGCCGGCTTGGAGGAAGACTGGGCGGCGAATTAGCCAAACTTTGAAACGCTTTTAAAATATACATTATACATGTCTGACCCACATCTCCTCAACCCAACGAAAGTTGTGCATCCGTAAGCTGCGTCCGATTATCCGGCAAACCTGGGGTTACGGAAAGAATTAACGATACAGGTAGCGGGGTCCGTTTGGCCGGAAATAATCGCGCCTCTCGCGAATCCACTTGCCAATTTAGAGTTTGTCATTAACGCGGCCGTCTCTACCGAAGTCCAAACTTGGCGCGAGCGAACGTCAAGTTACACTGCAGTTTGCGATACGCAACAGGAATGCCGGATAAATGTTTCATACCCTCCGCGCAAACAATTTCGCCCTCGGCTCGCGATATCGCGGCATGGGCATATATTTTTAATCAACTCTGCAGCGAAAATGCCCGTCTCTTAAAAAATTAACGGCCGGTGGAGTCAGATCGGAGATAGGCGTTTCGGCCGGCGCATTCATCGCGCGACCTGCCGAAAATCTAAACACATCTTCTCTCCGCACCCTCCTCTCATTTCCCGACGAACTTCCCGTAAAAGGAGCTTATCGCTCGTCGACTATCCTTGCACCGCCGTAACTCGCGCATCTTTTTTCAGACCCAGAGGTCCGAACATCTGCCGGAGGCCGAAAAAACGTGGAAAACCCATTCGAATAAGAAAGATGGGAAAAGCTTGCGAGCCCGCTGTCCCCGAAATTGATTTGATTTTACGAACCGGAGGAGGGAATCCCAATATTCGGAGTGGATTTTATTCCTCCGACCTGGTGCCTATTAAAAATGTCGAGGGCGATCCGCCGAGGTTTACGGAATTGGATCCAGACGAGGATGGTATGATTTCAATAAATTTTTTATAGACGGAAATTAGTCTCTCGACGGCTGAGATATGAAGGGCGAGTTGAAGATGGTATTGGCTGGAGTTTGCAGCCACACTTTGGATGTTCTCTACGTGTTCACCACCAATACCATCCGAACGACTCACGCATATCGATCGTTTGACCTCGACGGGTTGGTGGTTCTATTCGGCTTTTGTATTTTTAATACGGCTCGTCTTGGTTCGCAAACCTGTCAAAGAGAGATCGTCGCTCATGCCGAGTCAACGACCGTGATCGAATCAATATTTTCTCTGCCACATTAGCGGAAATGTCTCGTAAAAGCCTGATAACGGACGTCCTCTCGCTTGCTGCAGCGAACGGGATTGCCGATCGATCGTTTATTATTAATTATTCATCATTTAGATCTAGCCTGATCATCGATAATGGAGAGATTTTCCGGACATCCCGAGGTCTGAAGTTCTATCGATTATTCAATCTACCCTGGCTTTTATGGACGACGAGATAGAGGTCGAAAATATTGAAGAAGAAATCGTTGGAATAATCAACGACTGTCTGCGCAGCTTGAAATAAATCTACGTGTAACGGGTGAGTGATCGGCATCGTTTATTTTCCAAAAAGTCATTTATTTCATTTCCATGACATCGTTATAACATTCTCTCTGACCTTGTTCCAGGAGTTCGCGGGGCTGATAAAACATTCGCGGTATGTAAATGATATATTATTATTTTTTATATAAAACCTATCCCACATGTTGCATTGAAATCAGACGTGCATGTTCTAGCTCTATAAATTCGGCAGTATTCTTCGAGATCGAGTCGGCCCGGAAGCGATGATTCCATACTCTCATATGTTCATGATTATTGCCCGAAAGCCAGTATCTCATCAAAGGCTTTCTGAGCAACAATCAAAAGCATAAAGAGTACCTTATCGGCCAGGCTCGGTGAGTGCAATTCCTGAAACAAAGAAGTTCCATTGTACAAGATTTTCTAATCGGCTTTCTTTATTATTAAAGGGCTGTCATCGAGCAGAAAAAACATATAGGCGTTTTTCGACGCTCCACCGGCAGCAACAATGGCGTAAATATTTGCGACTGGCCGTGTGACTCTCACGCGATCGCAGTTGGGCTAAATATTGATCTGCGAGCGAGATGACGTGGCCGTTTCTTTTGCAACAATAAAATATCGTCCAAGGGGTTAACGGCCGTGACTCTACGGGATTCGTATGCAACGTTTGCGTTTACCGGCTCGGCAATAAAGGACTCGAAGTGGACGCGACTGATATTTTATAGTTGAATACTTTGATCGAACGGACGCTTTGAAGTGCGGGAAATTTACAAGCGAGACGGCCGAGCCGTGCCCGATGTAGACGTACAAAAGAGAATTCGATTTGCAAGTCTATAAACGCGTGTTTCCGAGCGCCCGAGCAAAGAGGTGTTTGCCTCGGTATGATCTCTACAAGGGCAATTAAAATGGGCGTGCGAACTTGAATTTATTCCAAGAGGTAATCCCCGTCCTCATTTTTTTTCTTCACCGTCCCCTGTGCATTCGCGTTATCATATGAAAAAATAATGAAAATAAATTAGAAGTTCCTCGTTAGCGGGTCGCGTCTCGAGCCCGGAAATGCCCGGAGTGTCTGCAAATATAGATCGTCAAAGGTCTTCTCTCGAGTAGGAACGCTGGTCGATCTTGAGCGTTTCCTTTCGACGTTCAGAATTCCGTACATGTCGTACTTGAAGGGCTCTCGAAACCGCGGAGTACCGACTAGGGAATTTACTCGAGCAACTGTATGCGAAACTCGATAGCCATCGCCGTGATTGAGCGTAGGTAATTGACTTCGTTAAAGCGACCCCCGCGAATTTCTGGCTCCTCGAGTAACGTATTTAATTCCGAGTAATTATGTTACCTTCAAAGAAAGTACCGACGTCGACGGAAGAATATATAGTTTCCCCTGAGAAGGAAGGCGAACGTGTTAATTTAGCTCTACGAAGGAATTATATCAGAGATTTTTTAGGGCATTTTTTTCTCTCTCCAAGTTAATCGCACGTTGCTGTTCACTTTGTACATACATGGACACGTTAGATTGTCCGCGATACGGCGCGAGCGAAGGACGAGGAAAAATCACGAGGTGTTTTAAACGTAATTGCATTCCCTATGCGCAGACACTGAGTCAACACTGATAATTGAATTTGCGGCCTGGAACTGGCGAGCCTGCACGGTTAGCCGCAGTTTAAACAGAGACCTGTAATCGAATTTTATCGCCTATTAACTCCGATAACATATTCGTTTCCAATAAGAAATATTCTTTCTGACGAGGAAGGTTCACTTCGGTTCGAGCAATGAACTCGAGATGAGAACAGCCGAGAGATTCGGAATTGCCGCTCCGAGGCGTGACTTCGCGAGCAAGATTACGCCGGCAATTTGAAAAGAACCAGCTCTGGGGAAAGGACTGCAGAATTTTCTAATACAAGAGCGACGTCAGGTTGAACTAATCGCCGCATAACGTAACTCTGACATTCGGTCACGTGCAGGATCGCAGGTGTCCGGTTGCGTCTCGCGTCAAGAACACATTAAGAACATTCAGCCAGGCGCGGTGTATTTTCGTGGAGGAAGTCAAAGCGTGGATGAAGGTTTTCTAATCGGAGAAAGGCGCGAAAAGAGACAATACCCAGAGGATATTTACATACAGGTGTACTTTGATCCAAATAAAACGGAGATCGAAAGGGTACCGCATGCACAAATTAACCAAAGGCCGTAAAACATGGAGGTTAGGGGCAACTTTACTCAACCTTCCCTTGACTTCCAATGAACGGGTCCGAGTGGAGGTCGGGGGTCGACGCGATGGGCGGAATTTAATGCATGGTTTCCCCAAAGAAGACCGATTTACCGGAAGAAGGTCCATCGGCGAGAGGTCCTCGCAATCGTGAAAGTCCCAAAAGATCCGAAAGCGTGCTCGCCCGCGGTCTTCGAATGCCGGATAGGATTTCGATTCCACGTAGTGACGTAAAGAGACTCGCGGGCCGGCTGCGGTGCGCGCCAAGTACATTCGGGCACGCGGGTGCATTCCGCACGCGGGAGGAGCCGGAGCCGGCGCTGGGCGACCCATCGCCCTCGAAATCGTGAACGCGAATGGTCGGGATGGCTCGGTTGGCAAAATACTGGGAATGCTGGGAATATCGGGAAAGGGGTAGCTGCAGGGCAAACGGGCGGAGGAGGAGTCGCGGATTCTGCGCTGACGAAACCGCATAGTTTCCGTCCGCCGTGACTACCTTCCGTCGATTAGTTAATCGAATCGCCGTAATTTTATCATTTCTGCGTTAACCCGACCGCGGATACCGCGGCGCGGAATGACGCCGGCCTACGGGCCCCGGAAATTCCTCCGCTGGCCGAATTCCCGGATCTCGCGAAGAGTCCTGCACCCCTTTTTAAATTCATTCCCCTGATTACCGTGGCGTTACGCGGTTCGTTACGTTACGTTAAACCCGCGCACTGGCTTCGCCATTCTTAACGTTACGCAATCGTCCCACGTAACGCTTTCGTGGCCCGTTCGAAGGGCGCTTTTTCTCGACGAATTTCTAACGCGTCATTTCTTCGTTATCAGCGTATCGATGGGTCGGTGGGGCGCTCCTTTCGTATATACCAGATCGGAATCGGATTGGTGTGGCCCCGTAGGAACGAAAGACCGCCCACTCCCTAACGGGGCGATTTTTCTCCTCGCGTTCGCTATGTCAGGGTAGGCAGTTGGGCAGTCATTCAATGGGCGTGGGCGGTCTCTCTCGGACTTCGGTCTCGCGAATGGCCGCGTGGCCAGGGGCTTGGGGCTATGGGGAATTAGGGGTTCTTCCACGCACTTTCCCGCACGGCACCCGCGTAGTCCAAGTTTCTCCCAAACGCGTTCGTTTCGACATCCAAAGTCGTTTAACAAAGATGGCCGTACGCCATATATATACTTTGGATGGTCGAAAAGAACGCGTTTCGGGATTTTATATATATCATACCCTATGGGGACGCATGAGACACGAGGCAGGGGGAATAGGGAATTTTTTTCCCACTTTTCCTGGCATGGCACGCGTAGTTCATATTTTCCTCGGAACGCGTTTCTTTTTAGATTTTTAAAAAATCCTATAACGAACCTGGAGATACGAGGATGCGTTCATGTTTTTTCCACTTTTCGTAAACGTCCTAATTTAATTCCAAATTCACTTTCAAATTTCCTCGAAATTTGGGCGACGATGGTGGATGTCGTATCGTACTCGGTAGAGATATATGGGGAATTGATTTTCCCATCGACCATTAATTTTTTTATGCGGCATTCTCACACTCTAAAAAAAAAAGTATGATGATGGTCATCCGACGTGCGCGTCACACCCCATGGGGGGTGATCCGGTCATTTGCGAGATTTCGCCGGTCAATGGGAAAACGATTCCGTCCTGCGGATTACGGACGCGCGATTAATCGATCGGCATCCCGATCCTACGACCCCTCGAGACTCGGCCAAAGTCCCTAATTCCACTTTCACAGGGGACACCGAAAACGCATTCTAATTCGCGAGGAAAAAAAGAAAAAGCGCTCTCGAGGAGCACTTCGATATACGAGGACGATTCTTCTCGCCCCAACGATGGACGGGCACTTTCCTCCAGTTTTGTTGTAATTCGCGGTGGCCCCTTAAAAACGATAATCCCGAGAGGAAATCGATCGTTTCCTCGAGCCGAAGTTTTCATCTCGCCGGGTGAAATCCCTCCTTCGGCGCGATTATTTTCCCGTAATTTTTTTCACGGGGGTGAAAAAAAGTCGGAAAAAAGTAAAATGCCGTGCGCTCGTCCCGGACGGAAAAAGGAGACGCGATGAAAGTTCTCGATTGTTCCACGCTCCGGGCAATTCGACACGCCCGAGACAATGATGCCGAGTTAATCGCTTCTTACTTTTGCCCGGGACAAGTACGTACATAAGACGGCCGACACGCAACCGTGCCGTGCCGTCTCACGGTGCGACTCTCGACTCGACCGATCGGTCGATCTCGGATCGATGGATCGAACGGTCGGCGGACCGATCGGCTGGGTGGTCGAAAAATGGCGGCGGACACGCTTCCGCGGTAATCTCCTCCGATCCGCTCCGCCGAGAAAAAGGAATTAACGTTTACGAGGAAACTCTTGGCGATCTCCTTTTTGCAAACCACCTGTCGCGATCGAAGAAATTATCGGAGGTTTTGCCAACCTCGCCCAGCCGAGCGGATCGGAGCGAACTCTAAGAAGGAGCGGACGAGTTTATCGATCCCTGCCCCAAAAAAGGGGGAAAAGGGATGCCTCGTCCACTTCCTTTTTCCCGTTTCGAGGCCGGAAATCGGAGATAAGTGGAGATTCTTCTTCGTCGAAAGTTTCGAGGCATCAAGGCGGATCGCCGAAGGAGAGGACGAGGCTTATCGATCCTTTGCGATGGGGAGAAAAAAATATTTTATTGCCCCCCCCCCCCTCCCTTTTTCCCCAATTTTCTTCTACATAGCTACGTAAATCCGCAATGGAAATTGAGGAAAAATGTAGTTTCATTCCTCGCTAAATGTTCGGTATGGAAAAAAAAAAAGGGAGATATTCAGCGCGGATGGCTGAAGACAAGGACGAAGCTATCGATCTTCCCGTGGCGAAAGGGGGAAAAAATATTTTAATCCCTCCTCTTTTTTTCCCTCTTTTTCTACCATAGAGCTACGCAAACCCGCGCTCGGGAATCGAGGATAAATGCAGTTTCATTCCTATTCGCTAAATGTTCAACGTGGAGGGAAAAACGATATTCAAAGCGTCCGAGCGGATCCGGCGCTCATCCGCTCGAGATTAACCGCGAAGACGAATAGGATATCCCTCCTCGGTTGGAGATTTTTTTATCGACTCTATCGGAGACTAAATCCGCCGGGACGGAGATCCATTGTCGCGGAGGGGAAACAAGGAACGAAACGGAAAATGCAAAAGGGAAAATGGACGTTGTCGAGGTCGCCATTAATGACGGAAAAGTATATAATAACGAGCCGGGTTTTTGCTTTATCTTTTTGTTGGTCGCAAGGCCAGGTAAGTTAAGGACGCGGCCGACGGACTTAACTATTTCGACCGAGTCGAAAAACGTCCTCGTGCATTCCGTTACCTCTCTTTCTCCTATTTATTACCTCCTCTCATCACCTCCATTGTTCCTTTGCATCTCTCCGCGCGTATCTTTAAAGAGCGCCCGCGATCCGGCGCGCATTTCCTCCTTTTCCGGGAACGCGTTCGTGCCTTCTACTACACACCTGGATGAATTTCTGAACTGGGACACGTGGCATAATCGGATCGCCGAGTTCCGACTCCCAAATTTCTGGGATCTCGCGACAGGTTGATTAAAAGTGCTCGCCGATTCCCCGCGGGCTTCGACCCCGGCGTAATATCAATGATTAGTGCAGTCGCGAGGGTTTTTTCATTTCATTTTCCTTATTTTAAAATCGACACCTGGATTTTCCTCAGCGTAGATAAGGAGGCGCACAAGGGGATGCGATTATTCGACACGCGGTATGGATATAAAATCGCCTTCG